GAAAAAAAAAAAAAAGAAAGAAAGAAAGAAAAAAAAAAAACAGCCTGAACCCGTATCCATAGCAAAGTCAAGCATGTCTTGTAGTTGACAGTTCTACTCGAAATAGCTATTCAACACCCTCGAGATGCGCCCACGAACTGGAGGCACATAACCCTCTTCATAAGCATCAATCTCTTGCTTCAGGCCGTTGAAACTCAAATCCGCCGTACCGGGCCAGACGTACTTCGTCCGCTTGAAGACCTTCCAGGTAACAAAACAGACGATAAAGAAACCAATCATGGTGTAGTTGAGAAAGAAGCCAGCCAACTCCCAATGCCCCGGGAAAAAGAGGTCAAATCCGAGAACCAAAGTCATGATACCTGTTCCGAATACCGCGTACCACGCCGCGAACGGTTGCGGCAGTCGGCCTTTGTAGGGAAGCGCAGCGCGATCGATTCCGTTCCGACGCAGCGACGCATGGAAGTGCAAGTATGTGATGCAGGTGCCGAAATAGTTCAGGAGGTACGAGGCTGTGAGCACGCTGACCAGCCAGTCCAGAACCTGGGCTGAACTGCTACTCACTTGTAGAAATCCCAGTGCGGAGAATACCATAGTCACGCCGACTGCGATATAGGGGAGTCCACGCTTGTTACAATGTGCCAAAATAGACGGTGCCTGTCCGTCGAGAGCCATTCCGTAGAGAAGTCGGGACCCCGAGAAGACAAGGTTGTTCCCCGCTGAGAACACCGAGGTCATTATGAGGGCATTGACAAGGGACGGCACGCCTCGAATGCGGAAATTGGTCATGGATATTACGTAGGGGGATCTGTTCGTTTTAGTTAAAATCTGACCAGCCAGGTTCTTTTTTCCACAAGAGTTGGGCATACGCTGCGCCGGTTCCACTGCCGCTTTCGAGTCTCGCCTTGAGTGTTGGGTCGTCGTAAGGAAGGACGATCCCCATGCAGAGAGCACCTCCGAGGAAGAAGAACATCAGGCGCCAGACGAATGCTGAGTAGGCTTTTCCCATAACCGACCGAGGCCGCTCTGCTTCAGCTGCTGCCATCGATATGTATTCCGGGCCCACCATCCTATCCATGTTAATAAATGGACGATGAGATGGCCTTAGTATCATACGTGAAAGATGCTTGGATCATGCAGGCCAACAGACCGCAAAACCTACCCGCATCGCCTGGAACCAGGTAGGATACAAAAGCGCCCTAGAAACCCATTAAGACAGTGACCAACAAGAAGGGGGCAGACTTACCGGGTCGTTCCAATATCTGAAACCATAGCGATCACCTTGCGGATTACCTCCAAGCATCGTGATGAAAGTGTAGAGCATAAGTGCCAGCATCAAAAATATCTTGAAGATAGAAAGGTAGAATTCAGATATCCCAAAGTAGCGAACCGTAAGAATGTTCAAACCCCTGTTGTAGATCAGCCACCCCTGCGCATTTCCTCGAATCCAAGGTCATCATACGCGTAGAGCACTATGCATGCCGCCACCACCGCCGCCACCGGAACCTCATCGGTCCAGTAGGTGAGCAGCACATTTATCGCCACGATCTCATAGGGGATCCCAAGCGCTTATCGATCCGGAGCACGTCAGACCGTATCATATAAGAGCAACGATGTCAAATGGAACATACCCATATTCAAGAAAAAGTTATATCCCATAGCCAGCCCGAACGCTTCATCAACCCAGTGGCTGGCCAGTCGCACATATGGGCACGGTATGGGCAGGTAGCACACCATTTCGGCGAAACATTGATTGACACACAAGATCACCGTACCATAGACGATGAAGCCCAGAAACAGTCCCGCCGGTCCACCCTTGGGCAGAACAGCGCCCATCTGGACGAAAAGAGACGTCCCAATTGCACCCCCAACCGCGAAAAGCTGGACTTCTCGACCGCGCAGCTTCCGATGAAGATGCTGCGACCCAGCGGAGATCATCAACCCATCTTGCGGCGTCTCATCGTCGCGCGACTGCGACGAAGTGTTTGATGCTTTATCTTCTCCGGCTGATTTCGCCATTTTTCGTCTCAGACTGTGGTTGAGAAAACAAGAATTACGAATGCTCATTTTCGGGGATCGAGATCAATCGCCCCTTGCAATTAGCGGTGTCCATCGTGCATTGTTTGAAGCGTGGCCTTTATTGTCATCGCCCAGTAAAAGATCCGCAATATGTCTATCAGTTTATGCGATCGAGACGCAGAGCCAATGATGCTGAACAAGACACGGGCCCGTGCATTACCCCTCATTTTCAGGGCATGATACGATGAGACTAGGTTAGTCGCATCGTGTTATCCCAGATACTTCATTGGTATGATTATCACAGGATAGATCGATGTGATTTCTGGGTTACCGTGGTATGTCAGCGGGAGTCGTGTTAAAGTCCCAAAAAATTCTAATAATACCAGATCGGACAAGTGTTGAGATTGTTTGATAAGGGAGATACCACGGGCAGCAGAAATGACCCATACGGCATCCATTTCTTCCAGGGTACCAGATCTGGTCTCTAGAATAAAAACAGTCAGCTATAAAAAGAGCGGTAGGGAGAATCAAAAGCATAAGTAACATAAACATCACATAGTAACTTATACATTGATACTCTTCCAGGCTGCCTTGGCAGCCATCAGAGTCTGGCTATGAAGATCCATGCTGTGTGTGTTGATATTGGCATCTTTGCTCAAAGCGGCAGTTGTACGACTTCCTCGTGACAATTTGGAGAAGTGGCAGGAAGAAATCTGCCATAATAGCCAGTCTGGATATCGACATCAGCATCTTTATCAAGAAGGAAATTCATGGTCTCCTCGTGGCCATTTGAAGAAACAGGCCGAGTATTATCATTGGCACCATTCTCAAGAAGAAGCTGCACAATCTCCTTGTGGCCATATTGTAAAGCATGCTGGAGAGGGCTACTATAATCACCAGCTCGAGTATTAGCAGCGGCACCTTGTCGAGAAGAATTTCCACAATCTTCCTGTGTTCATCTCGGCAAGCAGCCCAGAGGGGAGTAAATTCACATTGACATCGGCACCTTTGTCGAGAAGCAATTGTACAATTTTCTCGTTGCCTTTCTGAGAAGCAGTTCGGAGAGCGTTGTCGTACTATTCAGCCTGTGTATCAAGGGACGGACAGCAGATCGGGACAGAATATAGCCGCAACATCCCAGTTCTTCGCAAATCCGGAATGACTATGGGGATGCTCCAAACATAAGACATTATGAGAGTTCTTCCAGCGTCTGAATTGCCATAGAGCCAAAGCAATGCGACACCTTGTTCTTCGTCTTGCCACGCATGGAACTCAGTACCCTTAGTGAGCCATTCCATAAATTCCTCGATTATCTGACCTCCACCTAACTTGGGGGGATAGAAAGCTTCATCACGTCATCCTCTTAAGGGCCCAACTTATCGATACAGACAGCTAGAGCAGCTTCAACATCCTGCAGATGATCATCAGAAACGGCAATGTCTACTCCTCGCAACCTTAGTCCAAATCCTTCTTCTGGCCCCACACGACAACGACCATCTCTCCATCTCAATGCCTTCTCGCACCCACAATGTAACCCATATAACAACCCCCCTACGCCCCTCTAAATGCGCCCCGACGACCTATCCTGAGAACAAGTCAAGTCAACAACCAACACCTGGCCCTCCAATTCCTAGAAATGGAAATCCTGTGACCAATCAGCAAGTTCATCCTCAAATACAACAGTGGCAATGCCGCCGAGATTACCATACTCAATAAAGGTTCCCACAATATTTCCCTGCGGATGAAGTTCATGAAGCGCAAACAGGGCCATTTCATTATACTGTTCTTGTAGTCGGGGGCTATGTTTTTCCTGGAGAGGAGGTTGTGAATGAGGTTGCTATTGTGCGGTTTCTTGCAGACCAGACGTCGATTTCTGCGCCGTTTATTGTTCATTCTGGGGCGAGGGAGAGTCCGGTTGAGTTAACACTGTTTATTATGATGGATTATATTGGTTATGAGATGAAGATGTATGATGTGCTTAACGTGCCTAGATGTCCAGCAGAGAGATCAAGTTTATAGGCATAAATGACAGGTATACAACGATAATATTGTTCAGGAATGTAAATAGGTTTGGGTAGGTTTCTTCTCGATTAACACATGATTCACGATTTACCAACATTACACGAAGCGGAACTAAGCCCTAGCATCATGACGAACATACAGTATCCGTAACTATAGCTTCATCGAGCGATGTCCAGACGCGACTCGCGGCAACTCCTCTCCCCACGCAATACGGCAATCCCAACGCAAATGGTCATCATCCATGCGGACAGCATCCTTCTCAGGCTTCACGATATCACGCCACACAAGGTCACCGACACCACCCTCTCCCATCAGGATCCACCGGTTCGCAATCTCCGTCGCCACACCATCACCATCACGCTCAGCGTCCAGCGCGAGCAAAGCCCCACACAAGACCCACGTCAGAGTAAACATGGCGCGGCGACCATCAGCCAGCAGTTGCGCAGCATGCGATGAACCTGACACGCGCTCCAAGAACGCCGCCCACGTCTGGCTAAGCGTCTGCGACCACTCCGGACGTCGGACGAGGCTGATCACGCGGTGGACCCATGCCGAAAAGACGGGTAGGTGGTCGCCCTTCAACAGGAAACGCACCAGCTCGCTGGCCAGCACGTTCGTGGTGCCCTCCCAGATGGCGTTGACTAACGTGTTGCGCAGTATGCGCGAGACGTTGAACTCGGGCTCGTCTGCCTCGTCCATGTAGCCGACGCCGCCCATCGCTTCTTGGCATTCCTGGATGCCTGCCACGGACATCTTGGCCACAACGGCCTTGGCGGATGCGGTTAACACGCGGAAGACGACGGTGGCTTCACGGCCGGCGTGGGGGAGGTGGGGTGCTGGCGCGGTGACACCGTTGTTCTCGACGACGCCCATGACAGCTACCGTGAAGAAGCTGAGGTTCAGCGCTCCGCGGTGGCGGACTTCCTGGTCACTGAGGAGGGCCAGGTGCATTGGAATCAACCACAGGGGCTCGCCTACTGTGGTGCGTGCTTTTGCGAAGTTCTTGGCGATGGATATGGCCTTGCGCCACGCCGATAGAGAGCCGATGAAGGTGTATGTACGCGTGATGTTTAGGAGGGGCGCGATGGTGGGCACACCGCGGTCGAGCGCTCCGACCAGGTGCGCCCGCATATCTTTGAGTTCCAGCTCGGCTGTGGGCAGCTCTTTGGTTCCGAGCTTGTTTTTGAGACGGTGGATGCGGACGCCGTTTGAGACCTCGCGGGGCTGTCCGTCGTCCCCGATGATGGTCTTGCGCAGGGGCGCTAGGAACGTGCTCAGATGGCCTGATGGAGTCTTGGCGAGGAGGAGGGCGACGTTGGCGTCGGTTGCCGACGAGAAGAACTTGAATCCGTTGATCAAATAGTCTCCTTGCGATGGGTCGGAGGAGGGGGAGTGAGTCGCAAATGTTTCTGAATTCTGGACATCGCTCCCACCGGGTCTTTCTGTCATCCACTGACCAGCAGTGAAGAAGTCGTCGCCCCGGGAGATCAGTCTTTTCAAAATGGCATGGAACGGATGATCCGCGGGCAGATGTGCGCATTGTTGGGTGAGGATGAGCGATGCGCCATCACTCATGGATACGGGGCAGCTGTACAACGCGGAGGCCGGCGAATGCAGATAATTTCTAATCAGTCAGTACATGGGGTTCAATATGTTCCGACGACCCATGGATGAATTCCATACACTGCATTCTGCGCCAATCTCCGCTCCGGGCCATATGTAGGCTCATATCCCAACGCAACCACCCTAAGACCTGTCAGCAACGTTCATAACAACCGGGAGAACGGATTGTCTATGGAAACAATACCCATGCTTGGCACCCCATTTTCCCAACTGTTTCCATCCCTCACTTGTGACTAGGCGGTCATAATCATAACGCTGACCCCAGACATTGTGTCCTTTAACATAGGGTTGGTTCCGTTCTGCGTCCGCACTCCATTCGAGTATCTGCGGTGAGACAGCCTCAGCGCCCAATTGCTTAAGCTGAGGTTCGATCCGCTGAAATTTTTCCGAAGGCAGATACCCTGTCCTTTATCAGTTCGGTTCAGATTCAGATCAGGAGGTTACATGTTTACTCACACGCGAGCACTCTCTGCAAGCTTCCATCGGAGGTATAGGCGTTCTGCAGCCTCGGTGGACGGGTAAAGTAGCCTGTCTCTGCTGTGGCTGGGCCGTTGGATGTGGAACTCATTTCGTGGTTTGGATTTTACAAGGCTTTCATTGAAAATAGAAGGTTGTTTACGAGAAGTTCTTTGAGGGGAAGGGAAGGTCGTATAGGAGTTCGGCTACGGTCGGTCATATGAGATTTGACCCCAACCTCGGCTATACCCCAGATGATCAGATCAGTATCCATCCACTAACAGCCATGTTTACTTGGAAGAGCTTAATATGACCCCTGTCTGTCAGTCTCAATGCCACTAGTGATGGACAAGCACGTTCATTCTAGATCTAACCTCCGACTCAGGTTACATCCTCGCATCACGGTCACATAGTGGGTATAAAGCGGGGACATACGCGATCTGACTCCGAAATACTCTGTACGGAGTGCTCTATACAGAGTACTTAATAGGTCTAATTATGAGGTAATGATTGTGTAAAGCAATCACCAAACATGTTGCTCATTTAATTGCTGACATTCTCCTCTGACTGTACATTTTGCAGAGTTCCAATCCATCCTAATATCACCACCTTTTCGTCATGAAATATTACTACTCCTACCACCATTTTATAGGCTTGAAAATATCGTCAATTTCAACATGATTTCGATTGTCTTTTCCAACCTTGCCCAACACCAGTATATATTCACTATACTTAACTGACTCCGTTACAGCATTGTCTAATTTCGAATCCTTCGAAGCCAGCGCCCTGGCGGAATAGTACTTGTGCAATCCGTCATATGAATAATGTATATGTTTTTGGCCGCTGCTTGCTGCATAGGTTCTGATTCAACCATACACTCTCTTTACCCTTGCAAATGACCTCCTCGCCACACCCTTACCATCTTTTCAATCAAAAACAAAAGTCATCAACCATGATATATCGCTGCCTGACACCCAAGGCACATATCCCCAAAACGGCTAGCGCCGGAGACTTTCGCTCACATTCGCCCGACTGCTTACTCACCTTCTGCCTGAGGAATCAACTCTGCCAGATGCCCGAGGCAAAAACCAACCACCATGTGGATCCAGGCACAGAAACCGTATCAGTAAGCAGGGGTCTCGTCATTTGCTTGGTTTTTGATTAATAAATCCCGGTATCTTGACATGTACTTATCTCGGGAAGAAAAAATGATAGAATGGAATAAAAGAATGGGAAATATGTGTCCGGGTCGGTATCCACTGCGGCGGGATTTGAAATCAGCGGTGGAGCCGTCCGTCTGATAGTGTCTTGTTAAAGATATAAAGAGTGTTGAAGAGCCTGGATAATGTAGATAGCACATCACAGTAACTGGCTCTCTTCTCCCTAAAGATAGTCTACTCTCAAACTACAAAATGCATCACCCCGATGTCGATATCGAGCCCGCTGCGGGCATCTCCTACTTCACCCCGGCGCAGTCCCCCCCAGCCGGCACAGCAGCGAGCCCTCAAACCAGCGGCCAGGCCGTTCCCAAGCTCTTCCAGCCTCTGACCATCCGCGGCGTGACCTTCCAGAACCGACTCGGCGTACGTCCCTTCCATATCCCTTCACCCCAATGAACAAAACTAACAAATGAAAAGCTCGCCCCTCTCTGCCAATACTCCGCCCAAGACGGCCACATGACTGACTGGCACGTCGCGCACCTAGGCGGGATCGCCCAGCGCGGACCCGGCATGCTCATGATCGAAGCCACGGCCGTGCAAGCCCGGGGCCGCATCACGCCCCAAGACGTCGGCCTGTGGAAAGACTCGCAGATCGCCCCCATGGCGCGCGTCGTTGAATTCATCCACTCCCAGGGCCAAAAAGTTGGCGTGCAGCTCGGCCACGCCGGCCGCAAAGCCAGCACCGTCGCGCCGTGGATCTCGGAGACCGTCGTCGCGACGGAGGCAGTGGGCGGATGGCCCTCTGACGTCCTGGGACCCAGCGACATCCCCTTCGCGGATTCCTTCCCGCACCCGCGCGCGATGAGCACCGACCAGATCAAGGAGCTCAAGGAGGACTGGGCGGCTGCTGTGCGGCGCGCGGTGCAGACTGGTGTTGACTTTATCGAGATCCACGCGGCGCATGGGTACCTCCTGTCGTCGTTTCTGAGCGCTAGTGCGAACGGGACGCGGACGGATGGGTATGGCGGGCCGGCGTTTGAGGATCGCGTGAGGTTGCCGTTGGAGGTTGCGCAGATTACGAGGGATATTGTCGGGAAGGATATGCCTGTTTTCCTGCGTATCTCGGCGACGGACTGGTTGGAGAGTGTGAGGCCCGCTGAGAGCTGGCGGGTGGATGATACCGTGCGGTTTGCGCAGGCGCTGGTTGAGCAGGGCGCTGTGGATCTGATTGATATTAGCTCTGGTGGTGTGCATGCCGAGCAGAAGATCAAGTCCGGGCCGTGCTTCCAGGCGCCGTTTGCGATTGCTGTTAAGAAGGCTGTGGGGGATAAGTTGGCTGTTGCTACTGTTGGGGCTATTACCGATGGACGGCAGGCGAACCGGTTGTTGGAGGAGGAGGGCTTGGATGTCGCGCTTGTTGGGCGCGGGTTCCAGAAGGATCCTGGTCTGATGTGGACTTTCGCGCAGCATACCGGTGTGGAGATCAGCATGGCGAACCAGATTCGTTGGGGCTTTACTGGACGCCGGGGGACTCCGTTTATCTTGCCGGATGTTTACAAGCAGTCGATTTTTGAATAGACTAGATTATAGAACTATAGATAGAGCATGGAGAGATAGAGATGTATGAATTTAATGACTGTTCGATTGCATCTACATATGAATCACGATCTGTCTATTCAAGATCTTTGGTATCTATTTATGATGTAGAACTCAGATCAAGCGAGAGATGTATAGTTTCATGATCTACCCGGCCATCTATGATACGAAACCCGATCTATGTCTATCAAAAGTCGATGACGTACGTCGAGCATATAATCAAGAATACAGATGAAGTAAGAGATAGTACATTTAATGATTGCCCAAAATGTAGATATGAATCCCGATCTATGTCTATTCCAAGATCTATGACGTCCATCGTATAATTACAAAGAAATGGGTGAAAAAAGAAATGAAAAAAAGAAAGGCTAAATCGACACGGACAAAACAAAAATGAAAAAAAAAAAAAAAAAAACTTAAAGCTTGCTGCTCTTCGGGCTGTTCTTCAGCACGTTCGCGTTCCACGGGTAAGGGTCGAACACGAGGTCGTTCACCGGGTTCTCCTGGCTAGCCCGGCGGAACAGGTCGGGGTAGACGTCGCCGTCGTACCGGCCCAGACTGCTGTCGAGCTGCCAATCGTCGAACTTCCACGAGTCGACCAGAGACACGGCGTGGGGGCGGATGTCGTCGAGAAGCTTCGACACGGCGGTAGTCTGCGCCAGCGAGATCTGCCGCGTCGTGACGGCACTCGAGGAGAAGAACTCGGCGGCCTCGCGCTCGAGCGTGTGCAGGGCGTACAGGCGGAACAGCTTGTGCAGGGTAGTGGTGGTCTCGGGGCCGAGCGCGGCGCTCAGTTGGGGCGAGTTGACAGCGTCGTAGAAGTTCTTCACCACCAGGTACTGCGAGTGAGCGGTCGACAGGCGCCAGAATTCGACAAGCAGCGAGTTCCACGAGCGCTTCTCGACGTCGCGGTGCTTGAGCGCCTCAAAGGTGAGGTGGGAAGCGCGCCAGGCGAAGGCATCGACAATATCCTTGTCCTGCTCCAGGACGTCGAACGAGGCACCCTTGTTGCGGCGGGACAGATAGTTCTTGAGGATACGGCAGGTGTCGTTGTTGGCGGCCTGGCCGGCAAGAACGGAACGAGCGGATTTGAGGAGCTACACAATCACAGTCAGCAAAAGATCAACGTGAGAACTAGAGGGGAAAGAAACATACGTAACGGGCCACCTGCTGGGTCAACATGTAGTTGTCACCCTCCCAGGTAAGGTTGGGGAGATAGTCGGCATACCAGTGGCCAACACCACTGTACTGCGAGTAACCGTGTCCACCCATGGCGCGACGGCACACCTCGAGACCCTCACCAGCAGTGGTACTGGCCAGCGCCTTGAGACCGCACGAAGTGGCGTGCAAGTCGGCCAGAAGCTCCGCACCGGCGCGCAGCTCATCAGGGCCGGCCTGGGCAGCGCCCGCCATGCGCTTCTGGTTTTCCTCGTACAGACCCATCATGCCGCGACCGGTGAAGTGCAGTGCATACATGGTGGCCAACAGCGGCAGCAGACGGATCTGGACCATCTTGTAGTTGAGGACCTGGTTCTCACCCACGCTGCCGGTGGCGTCGCGGTCCTGGAACTGCTTGCGGACGCTGCAGTAGCGCACCGCAATGGTGACACCGCGAGCCAGCACACTACCGGCCTGCAGGACAATGTTGGAGCGCACCCACACCATGGTGCCGTAGACGAGCGCGGGCAGGGCCGGGCGCATGTACTTGCCGGTGTCCTTGTCGATCCGGGAGAAACGGGCTAACATGTTGAAATGGGGGATCTTGACGTTGTTGAACAGGAGGAATCCGTTATCCATCGTGCTGCAAATCCCGTCAGTATGAATTGACCACCCACGCCACACTCCGCAAAGAACTTACTTGTATCCGAACTTCGGTCCGATATCACCCACGTAGACATTCTCCAACGGCTGGTGCGTCTCCATATCACGGATCTGCACGAGGAACGGGTGGGGACCATAGTTCTTGCCGTTGATGTACAGCTGCGCCATGACGACGGCGTGGTTTGCCGTGCGGCCCAGCGAGCCAATCCACCACTTGGACGCGGTCAAGCTCGGCGAGTGGATGGTGAAGGTCTTATCGTCCTGGTTCCACACCGCCCTCGTCTCCAGTCCACGCACGTTCGAACCGTGTCCCAGCTCCGTTTGGGCGTAGCAGCCGATGATCTCGTATTTCTCTGCGCGTTCGAGGAAGGCCTTCTTCTGTTCCGGGGTGGTTTGTTCCCGCAAGGTGACCTACCAAGCAATGGGTTAGCGGCACGTTCCCCCGCAGTTCGATTTCGTACTCATGGCTTACCAGGAACATAGAGGCGTGCAGGCCATACGGCGTGGGCTCACCCAGGATCTCGTTGGCGGCGTAAAAGTCATCGTAGCTCCAGTTGTGCTGTACGGAGAGCTGTTGGAGACGCTTGCCCTTGGCGAGGGCACGCTGGATGCGTTCGGTTCGGCCGAGGGTGTGGTTCTGCGACTTGTCGAAGATCTTGTCGTTCTTCATCAAGGCCAAGAGGCGGTCCTGCCGCTCCAGGGCCTCGCGGGTGTGTAGCAACTCGGCGAGCTTGTCGACATCGACGTTGGACTGGCTGCGCTCCTGGGTCAGCAGTTCAGAGCCGGGCTGGCCGGCCGGCTTTAGGGCCTTGACCCAATCGGGAGGAGACATCTTGGGGTATAGAGGAAGGGGAAGATCAAAAGGCGGGGAAGGAATAGGTAGGTGATCAAAGGGAGGAAAAATGAAGTCTCTCCATTCTTACTTATAAACGAGTCGGCCGAAAGGGAAATTGAGCGAACTCCACGGGGAATGATCAGGCCGAGGGTCATTGGCGCGCTAACCCATTGTGGCAATTACCGAGGCCCACGGGGTGGCTGCCTGAGTGCCTGGATCCGTTCACCAGGAGGATCAGAAAACAAAAACAGAGGAAAACCGGCAAAAAAGGAAATCAAAATTAGGTGGAAAGCAGAGGTTCTCTCCTCGGTCCAGCAGATCCTATCGGAAGCCCCGGTGCCGAGTCATCCAGGGATCTTCACTTTCTTGGCCCGAAACTGGCAATCCGCAGCCTATCCTCGCCTGTCATTGGCCGGCTGGGTTCCGACCCTGTTATCTGATCAAGATCGGCGGCCGCTCTCATTTACCGGTGATGACAACCACCACCAGCTCATTCGCCCCCTATCGGGTGCGATGGGAAAGGCTTGGATGGTGTGGGAAAAAGTCCAGATGGATAGTCTGGGGTTGTCTGGAGACGTCCCGATGTAATTATTACGTCTGTTCCTCCGGTGGATGAAGCCATTTTCTCTCGGATGGGAGGCGGGAGGCGGAATGCGGCAAGCGGCAGGCCGGGATGCGGCGTCGAATTTTCTTCCCCTGTTCCGCCCGCCTAGGCCGAGCTTGACTTTTTGAAGAGGCATGTTCACCACTCATCCCATGTACTTGGGATAGAAGCATGTTCTCCGCGTTGGTGTTCCTAGGAATAGTAATCATTCAATTAACGTACTTCCCTATGCCTAATCAGACATACGGCATTCACATGGGTGGTAGCCATATTCGAAAGACGGAGACTACATATCCACAATCACATGTGACGCCTCCGGCCCACCCACCGTACCCATCATTTCGCACGTCTTATGACTACGACAAATCCAAAATTCTTTGCCTGTCATTGCTCTATCCCAACTTTTCCCCATCCCCCTTTTCCCCGTATCTGTCTGGAATTACCCCCACCATGGTTGGGGCACGGTCTGTGGTGCTTGATTGAAGAATCAATCATGCAATCTAGAACCGCGATGCTTGTGATTGTCGAATTTTCAGATCCGGATTTCAGGTTATGTTTTCACGTGGGGTGAGCCGCGATAACGTCCCTTCGATTTCGGGGTGATGGCGGAACAAGGGAGGAATAGGAATCTCTTGCACTCCCAGCGCCTCCGGAATGGGGGTCGACATCGGCCCACTGCGGCACCCACGATCCCAAACCTGGAGCACCCCCGACATGGTCCCGGGGAACAACGCCCCCGCCGAAAATGGGTGGGCTCCAATGCCTGTGATGACATTAATACGCAGGAAAAATCTGACGCACAAGAAAAAACATCAGTATTGCTTGTGGATTTTTGGGCAAAAAGACGCCGCGCTGCTGTGAGCATCGTCAATTGTGGTTGATGGTGGAGTCGCTGTATCAAGGCTTACATCTTCCAATATGTTGACCAAATTTTTTTTCCATTTCATTTGCGATCCCAGAACCATCGGATGCGGGCTTCTACCATACCAGATTGTTTTCAAAACCCACCTCCCACCCAACACGGATTGGTAGTTTGGTGGCAGGATCTGTCGAGTTGCTAGCTTGCGTTTCCATTCCGAGCGCGATGATCCTCGTGGTCTTTGGTTTTGACGGGTCATCTCATGTCAAAGGTATCAGCGATGTACATCTCCTTTTACCTCTAATAAGACCAGTATACAACAGGCTCGCGGAAGCAAAAAGGAATCGACGACTGGCAGCTGGAAGGACACCATCGCATAGGTCATCAGGCAGATACAAGATAATAAACTTTTTCACGCGGCTTCAATCCATTCGTGCAGACAAGCGTCTTTCCCCGAGGCACTAGCAGATAGGTTGCAGACACTGCTTTTGTTGATACCCATATTGTCTCTTGTATGGCGGGCGAGATGTCATGCTCTCAGTGTCTACTCAAACTCCCGCAACCCTTTTGTTATCACTCGCATGTTCTCTAATGTAGGGTTATGTTCATGACAACATATTGATATTCAACTACATACTTTGGATGCGGTGTTTGATCCCAGTAATCAGAAACATCCCTTAATCAAACAACAAGAAATGAGTTGATACTAGACAATATGCATTCAATACCCCTCTCTATATAGGGTGTTGATAGACCATTCATCATGTAGAACAGACAGGCGTGCAGAGAATGCATCTATGGACTATGCATTTAGTTAGCCAAATCAGACAGTCCTGGTTCTCAGCTTTAGCACATTGAAAGAGACTCATACATAGAAGTGATCAAAACAAATACAACTATCCCATCCCTATCTTTAGTTTCTAATTTATTTTTGAGACGATCCTTGCGATATGTTCGCTATGATAAATCTACATTAACAACATTATAATCCCGCTTTCGTGTTGTGTGCGGAATGGGCCAGCCAACCGCGGAATATATATTGAGTATGGGATATACTGTTAGTTTTATTTCTTATGGCATTCCAAACTGCAGTATCTATTCAGTGAACATGACAAAGTGGATATTTACCTCTAGTGCTGTCAATAAATTATTTCATTCTTATGATCCGTCGTTGAGTGTAGGCGTTGATTAGCCATGTCTTATATTGATACAATGCTGCCTGAGTGAATACCGGAGAGCTACCAGCGAGAACTCTCTAGGTCACTGACCATCTAGGTATTGATAAAAAAGATCTTTGTTCCAGACGTTAGTATTGTAAATCAAATATATCTAATAGCATCTTAAAGCAGCTATAGCCCTACTCTCATATAAACATGACCAAATGGCGAACAAATTCATCAACAACCCTATCTCACCACAGAGTACCCAAAAGTCCTAACCCACCTGTCCCAACGTCGCGACAAACTGGAAAGTCCGAAAGAACATCATAAATGCTCCTCCCCTCCGCCACTCATCAACAACACCCTGTATCCACAGCCTAATAAACATCATCATGGATGACACCCTCAACCCAACCCAGATAAGCTCCTCCGTCTAACCGAGTAAGGTGTGTTATCTAAGTATGGTTTGCCTCCTGACGCCGGTGCACCCGCCTGGGGACCGGGTGCCGCGAAAGGGCCTTTTTGTGGTGATCGGTGGAGAACGCTGAGGTGACCCTTAGCCATCGATTTCATCTCGTATATGGATGTACGTTCACCGGTGCAGTCGAGCCTGGCTTACCTATAAGGTCGCTGAGTTGGCGACGTGCTCTGGCCGTGATGTTGGTTCGCTGTGATGATGAGTAAAAGCGCGAGGGTGTTTACTGAGACTGCGAAGGAACTTGATCCCATGATGTGTGGCTGTATGTGTCTGTGCGGGGTTTCAATGGATGGGGAACTAAGAGGGGTGGGGCTTGGTTTCTGCCTCTCGTTCAGCCGCCTCGTCCTGCGTGGTGGCTGTGCGTGGGTTGGCAATATGCTATTTAGGCGATGTCTGATTGTTTGTGTTTATTGAGTATGTAATGTATAGGTCGGGGAGATGAGATGGAGGATGTGAGGTTGGTGGAGTCATCGATGATCGCTTTGATACTGGATACTACTACTGAGGTAGTGGTGAACCCCCGCTTATGTACCTGCTAGCACGCTGTATATTTTCCACCAATCAGACCCTACATACTGTATATATACCGCTTGCACGTTCATATAAACAGTCTCCAATATGTCCACCGAACCGCACTCTATGTACTTAACTTGATTCTGTAAATAAGAAGGCAATAAGATGTACACAAACCCCATCCTCCCCGGCTTCAACCCCGACCCCTCAATCGTCCGTGTCAACGAGGACTTCTTCCTCGTCAGCTCCTCCTTCGAATACTTCCCCGGGGCGCCAATCTACCACAGCATCGATCTCATACAATGGACGCTGATCGGCCACGCCCTAACCCGGCCTAGCCAGCTGCAGATCCACACCCCGGAGCCTGGGGGCGGCATCTGGGCTACCACGCTGCGGTACCATCAGGGCACGTTCTACATCACGGCTGCCAAGTTCGATCGGTATCGTCCACAAGACGACGATCGGGTCTGGCCCAGGGGCTTTTATGTATCGACGACCGATATCTGGGACTCGGCGTCGTGGTCGGATCCAGTGTTTTTTGATCAGGTGGGGTTTGATCAGGATGTATGTACTATAACCCTGTCTGCTGGGCTACACATTGACTGGGCTGTGATTGAAATATGTAGCTCTTCTGGGACGATGACGGCACTGTCTACCTCTCGTCCACCTACCGCAAGTTAACACGCACCCCCGGCGCAAATCTCAAAGACTTCGCCATACACATCTCCACCGTCGACCTAGCCACCGGCCGCTCGACGTCCGAGCCGAAGCTAATCCGCGAATCCGCCTCCGGCGTAGCCGAGGGATCACATATATTCAAGCGGGGAGAATACTACTACCTCTTCACGGCGGAGGGTGGGACAGAAAGCGGCCACTGCGAATGGGTTAGTCGCAGTGAGTCTTCGCCGTTTGGGCCGTGGGAGGTCGGGCCGGACAACCCGCTCTGGCGGAATGGGGTGACCGATGAGGTTCAGAATACGGGACATGCGGATATGGTTGAGGATGCGCAGGGACGGTGGTGGGCTGTTTTGCTGGGGGTACGTCCTGTCCGGAGGGACGATTGTTGGGAGGAATCTGTGTTGGGTGAGTCGACTGCGTTCCCGACTTATCCTCCCGCCAAATTAATAGAGAAAAGGCCGCGAAACATTCCTCATCCCCGTCGAATGGTCCAACGACTGGCCTATCTTCAACGGGGGCCAAAAGATTTCCCTCACCATCACCACACCCCATCTCATCCAATCCAACCCCCCACCCCCACCCACCTGGCGCGACAACTTCGACACATCCACCCTCCAAATAGGCTGGTACAAAAAGAACACGCCCGTCCGTACAGCAGAGTACTCTCTCACCGAGAGAAAAAGCCACCTCCGCCTCCACGGCGGGCCATATGACCTCTCCGTGCCCGCTAGCCCAACCCTCTTCCTCCGCAAACAGACCCACCGCGTCTGTACCTGGACGACGAGCCTTTCCTTCCACCCTACCTCTCCCGCCACCGAAGCAGGCACCGTCCTCTGGTGGAACTATCTCACTTATAGTAGCGTGGGAATCCGCCGTGCTGCTGACGGGCGGTGCATTGTGCGGTTCCGCCCTGCTGATGGCAAGCATATCGACCGCGCCTTGGAGGAAGCTAGCAAAGGAGAAGGGTATGTTCAACTTGTCATCGAATGCGGCGACCACTATCGCTTCGGGTTCCGAGAAGAGAGTCCCGACTCAGATCTAGACCTCGAAGCCCCGATTAAATGGATCGGCGAGGTCTCGAACACCGCCATGACTGTCTCTCCTCCTGTTGGGATGGCCTTCACGGGCATGATGCTCGGGCTGTACGCTTTCGGCGAGAGACAGCCTTGTTTGGTTCCTGCAGACTTTGCGTATGCGGAGATGCGATGATCTAGACTTGTTGATGGTCGGTTGATGGCTGATTGAAGGGAGATGTGTCGAATTGGGGTTGCCGAGTAGATTGCATGTTTTGGAAACTAAGGGCCGTACCTAGGTAGGTATGGATGTAACGAGGTTGTTGGACGGGTCTAATTCCTGCTGCCGTGAAAAAAAAAAAAAAAAAAAAAAAGAAGAAGCGCATCTGTTACTACTTTCTTGTTATAGTATACTGCCTTATTAGCCTAGGTCTAGGTAGACACAGCCTAACAGTATAACCAACTGCGTGGGACAGCCGATCACTCGGTAATTTACCTCATCACAGTACTTTAGTACCAAACATGCGTTATGCTACATTCCAACTATACTAAACTTGATAATTGACAATGGCATGCTGCATCTGCCACTAGTTACCAATCTGTATTTACTGCCTTGCATAAACATGCAACAGAGTGAAGAATACCATACACACTAGGGTATCTACCGATTCACTTCTTCAGTCACGAGTAAAACTACCAGGGAAGTGAGTAGTGCTACCCCTGCATCAACCCCAAACGGGCTTCCTTCGAGGTAGTCATGGCTTTGAGAGTAAAAGGTAGCACACAACATTCGAATCCAATCTTCGAGACAAGCCACACAGCAGCCAACCGAGCCAACCGAGAAACCAACCATCCAACCAGCCAAATTACTAATTCTAAGACAAACAGTTCTGGTTTCGGCGAGATGCTGCACATTTATTATTTACTCGTGAATAAATAGAGAGATTACATAGAAATGAAGATAAGAGAAGAAGGGGAGAAAAGAAGAAAGAAATATCCACCATCGAGACCTCCGTAACAGCTAGACCGTGAATAGCGTGGCCATGTGATGATCAAGTTACGGATTTGGACTTTTCCCTGTGGTTGACGACGCCAACGGGCCACACTCTACTTTGGGTCCTCCATGGGGGATTTCTCAAGGTCGGTCTCGGGGGGGTTACCTCCGACTATTTAATTATAGAAGGAATATTACAGAAGATAGATGGTAAACTAGAAGTGTATGTATGTTTGAATTGCTATCTTGAATGCACAATCATAAAGGTGGATCCACCATGTCTAACCCAGGGTCATCGGCTGAAATGATGTATGTGCAGAGTTAACACGTATGTGTGCAATATGCAGGTAGAATGCGCGAGTATCGGCGTAGTAAAAACAAAGAGAAAGAAAAAAAGATTTCAGTGCTGGAGTCACGCCTCGACTGGGTATTTATGTGCAAGAACAAGAGAATGGAAATCAGAGACTAATATGAAAAACCCCGCCCATAAATCGGATGACGAGCCGTATGTACGAGGGGTATGCAGTGTCCAAGTAGACTCGGTTACTTTAAGTCGAGGGGTCGACGGATCGCTTGGTTACTCCCGCCGTGAGCACAGGCGACTGAAGCACCTTCTGCCAGTCGTGGACCATCTCGGTGTTGACCGTCGAGAGAGAGACCTCCCCGCCGGCACGCGCGATCATTTCGTCCTCGTACATGGTGATGGCGTCTGTGGGAGTGCTCTTCCCCGTCAGAAGCTGGTGGGTGGCCTCGACGAGTTTGGCAGCATCGGTGATGGAGTGGTTCAGGCCCTGACCGCGTTGGTAGGTCATGGCGTGCGCGGCGTCGCCGGCCAGCGTCACCCGCCCCCCGTGGTTATCCCAGCGGTGGCCTGAGACGCACGGGTTAAATTCCGTCAGGCCCATGTACCAGACCTGTTGGTCGTCCGGTACCCATTCGAACGCGCTTCGCCACGGGTTCGTGAAGCATTTGGAGAACTCCTTGACCTGCTGCAGTCGCTGCGCATTGTTCCAGCCGGCCGTGGCTTCTTGCTCCTCTAACGTGCTCTGCCAGGAGATGTAGAAGAAAAACGTCCACGTCTCGGGTTTGTCCGGGTCCTCGACGTCGTGCATGCCAAAGAACGCGAAGTGTCCGGCGGGGTGGATGCCGGCCAGATACATGGGGTGAAAACCGCGAAGGAATAGGGCCTGCTCGGCGGTAAAGCGAGCTTGCACAAAGGTCGCGCAGTACGGGAGCTGGCGGATGCGCCCGGAGTTGGGGCCCAGTAGCTCCTGTCGCACCGTCGATCGGGCGCCATCCGTGCCAACCACGAGCGAGGCGGTGATGGAGGTATTATCGTCGAACAGTGCGGTGGCCAGCTTCCCGTCGTCCGAGAATGTGAGGGTCCGCAGTCTCTTCCCATATTGAATGTCCAATCCCTGGGCCAGGAGCCCCCGCAGTTTGCGTCGTCGAAGGCGATAGAAGGACTGGACGGGGATTGCGGCCATGCATTCTCCGGTCTGGGCGTTGAGGAATTTGAGAGAATCATAGTCGGGGGGAGGCTCACTGGGGTCGACTTGCGCGGACTGGATGTGGGACCACATTTCGTCTGTCATAAGGCTTCTCAATGGTTCCACGCCCCAGTGGAGGCCCATGTTCCAATCTCGCGGCTGCGCATCAAAGCTGTCATGTTTTTCCACCACGACGCACGAAATTCCCGACTAGGTAGGTCTTCAGGTGAGCGGAATCCATCACAGGCCAGAAAAAAGGTCGACCCACCTGTTTGAGCCCTTGGGCCAAAGCAAGACCCGTCGAACCTAAACCATTAGTACTGATCGAGTGTATGATGGTTTTATGAATGATCCTTACCAGCACCGACCACCAGGACCGAGGTAGCGGGAGTCTTGGGCTCGGCCGTGGGAGAGGCCACACGAGATTTACTCTGGGGATCCGGGGATTGTTTTGTTTGCTGCTCCTGTGGCTTTCCAGCGACCAACGACCAGAGCCGTCGCATACGGCCCATAGCGAGAATGAGAGGTAGATGTCCAAAGGTGTGGCCAGGAAGAAGAGACAAGAGGGAGGCACAAGGTAGCAACGGAGCAGGGACCGCGCTGTAAGACTACTCGATCGGAACGCGTAAAAAACAATGGGATTAACAATGCTGGTTATTCCATAATGCCAAGTACTAGGCCGATTGCTCTAAACTAGACCAATAACGTGAAAGATTAGAGGGAATAGTAGTTAATGGAAAGGAAGATGACTGAAACAGAGGGCACAAGGTGGACTTGGATCGAAGCCAAACAAAGCCAAGTGAATGCAGGATAAGTTTTAAGGAAGAGAAACATACCTGTACTAATGATAGACTCGGGGAAGGAATGGGAAATGATCCAAGCGAACCTCTGGCCGCAAGACACTTTACATTCATCGCACCGTCGGTTTTAGACCGAGTCCAAGCCCACCAGACAATGAGACCCGGTTTTCCGGTGGAGCTCTAGGAACAGACCATCCTCAGGCCATGGCTCCGGGTTGACAGTACAGCTGGCCAGTCCGATGGGTTTCACCTTGCATGGTTATTGTGACGAGGGTCAATTACTAATTTTATCAAGTACTGGTTACCTCCTGGATGGTACATTGCTAGATAGGTCGGCACCTACATGATACATCCTCTCTCCATCATCATTACAACGGTCTTTCGTTTGATGTGGAGATGGATCATTGGTCTTCAATCCAGACTGAGGGGCCAATCGCTAATGAGGATCCGCTCTCTCCACCTTGCCGTTTCAAGAGCCACGACCCCACCACCGTTGTCTTCTCCATCTGTCGGGACATACTTGCATATATCCAAGGGACCATTGTGGCGTGTGTGGTGGTGCCAAGGACAACATCTCGCCTTGACCAAATGAGTTTGGTTGTCTTAGTGAGTCGATTCTACATATCGTTACTCACCGGAGCTGGTACTTGCCATAATAGCAACTATATATGGAAGCACGCTACAACATTTCGCCTGCACTGATGGTTGACTGCACATGTAAATTTATTAGAGATACCCGACTTTATCGGTATGTACCCAGTCATGTATGATGCTAGAATACTTTCTGTTTGTTAGGACTGCAACGAGTAAAGAGTTCATTATAATTCCGGTGTACTTTAATGACGGCTCTGGCCGACACCTGTCATGTGATCTTCCGGGGGTAATTCGTACGGTAGGCTTATGTAGACACATTGGTGGGTTCTTGTTTTTCGAAGCCTGGAGAATTATGCGAGTCAAGAAGACTTGTCATAATCTAGACCAATGAATATACATAAGTATCCTTATTACATCCCTCACAGTGTAGATTCAATCTCCCTTGATTGCTAGAAATAAGGTTGGAATATGGCATCTCCTATGGATACTATCGTACTCCACTATGGTACGAAACTGAACCACTCGCTTGAGTTATGTGGAACCCGTTCCGGTCTGGATTTAACTTTATCTCCTACCATCATACAGTCCTACTCCACAAGGGGGTTTATGTCAGCGTGCATGGACTAGAATTTTCAAGGGAAATGGTTGGTTTCGCTTGATTGCAGTTGAAGATACAAGAGAAACGGAGTAATAAAACATGTAAAACACATGAGTACAGAGTGCTCGGTATTTCCAGACTAGTTATGCAAGCCATCAGGACTATTGATCTGGCGGTCGTCGCTTATCCACTCTTTTCCCCGGTCCCGGTCGGTCTTCATCACGAATCTCCGATCGCAGATCTACTCGTTTTGTCTTGATCTTTCTGGATGGGAATAGCTCTGTAAATTTGGGATTCTTTGATCGGAGGTTCAACTCCGTTTTTCAAGATAGAATGCCTCCCTGCCATTTTCCCCCTCTGATCAGGATTAATTGTATTGTGCTAGTCATCAAATTTCCCCGTTCATCACTGAGTATAAGGTTACTTACTACCTGACCTAACCTACTCCGTACCCCCCAGGTCAATTTTCGTTTGCTGGTTCCTCCCACCCGTTTTATCCTACCCGTGCATCTCCGCTGTTCGGTCGCGCCGTTCTTTGCTCCCTGGTCTTATCCACTGCATGAGCTCGTGCGCCCCCCACCCCCTTCCCGTTTCCAGTTAACCCAGGATCGACAACCTTGCCATGGTCACCTCTGCTTGTGACGAAGAAGACTCTTCCTTCTCTGACACCGCCAGTGCGGCTTCCACCACCACAACCACTCCACAACAACGCGAATCAATCATCCAGAATATGCTCACCTATTATCCGACCGATGATGATGGGGATGGGGATTCGGCGTATGGGGAGGACTCGCTGATTGGAGATGATACCATGACCTTGGATTCCTACATTACCGACTATCGATACGAATTCGGTCGTCGCTACCACTCCTATCACGATGGTGCCTACTGGGTAGGCCGGTGCTGCTGAGATGGATCGATTCCTGGCTAACCTCCCCGGCTCCAGGGTCCCAACGATGAAATCGCAAACGAACAGCAAGACATGGCTCACCACATGTATTACATCACCTTAGACGGAAAGCTCCATCTCGCACCGATTTGCGAACCCCAGGTATCATCCTTCCCCTGTCGCCGGTCGACTGGAGCTCGTCTAAGCGAACGACCGCAGGAAATCCTCGATGTGGGCACGGGAACGGGGATTTGGGCCATGTCAGTTGGCGAACCTCCCTTATCGATCTCATCTCTCGACCAATTTATTAACCAAGTCTCCAGCGATATGGCCGACGAGTATCCGAGCGCCAAAGTCACCGGTGTCGACCTCTCGCCCATCCAACCCGCGTTTATCCCGCCGAACTGCGTCTTCGAGATCGACGACGTCACCCTCCCCTGGACCTACCCCAGCAATCAATTCGACTTTATCCATGTCCGTGAACTGTTCGGTTGCATCCCCGACTGGGACGAATTCTTCCAACAATGCTGGCGGTGCCTCAAACCCGGGGGTTACATCGAGGTGGTGGAGCATTCGGTCGAACCGATCTCCGACGATGGCACCGTTGGTCCCGACCATTTTTACAATCTATGGGGTCAGACGGTGGTCGAGTCGGGAACGCGATTCGGCAAGAGCTTTACAATCTGGCAGGAGAGCGCGTCGCGTCTCGAGCAGGCAGGCTTCATCGATGTGGTGGAGACGACCTACAAATGGCCGATGAACGGGTATCTTAGCCTTTCTGTCGCTTTCTCGGAGCTTTACTAATTTGGATAGCTGGAGTACCGATCGGAAAATGCATGAACTAGTAAGTTGCCGTGCTTATCTGGTTATTAGGATTAGGCTCCTAATCTATACAGGGCCGATGGAACCAGCTCCGACTACACGGCGGCATCGAAGGATACATGCTCCGTCTCCTCACAACCGCCCTAAACTGGTCCTACGAGCGATCGCAAATGTTCCTCGCGCAGATGCGAGCCTCGCTCCGAGACTATCGCACCCACGCCTACCTCCCAGGCACAGTCGTATACGCACGAAAACCGGAAGAATTTCCATCACATCGTGCTTTTTGAACTGAGTGGAGTACAGGAAGTTTATCAGGGATGGTCATTGGTTGGTTCTATAGGGTTTGCGGTTGTAATTTTTTTTATATTTCTTTTTGGTCGAGCTTTATACCCTTGTTGATATTGGTTAACTAATTATATATTCAAGCATAAATGTGACGAGGTGCTTATCACTTTATTCATCCACTTCACTTGGATAGTCTAATTCCTACACCTCTTCGTAGAATTCTACCCCGAAGGATCATCCCCGTGATCAGATAGATACCTAGATAATAAACACACCTCGGCATTATTCAACAAGTCGGAAGATTGAACGAATGTGACGCGGCAGAAACTCTATTCAGTCCGAAATTCTGATTTCGAGCTTTGACACGCCATCTCACCTGCAATAGGGAATCTCAAGCGATGATCCACTTAACGTGCAGAACACTTAGACATAGCTCTTGACCGGATAATCCACTGAAAATGTCATCCGATCCAGCTGGCGCGGATGAGATCAGATGGTCTTTGGTATGTGTAGCGGGAGGATTACACGGGCCCTATGAGTGATTCTACCATGGGTTGAGACCCTCCTCCGCAGTGTATGTTGGATGGATATCTCAAGGATCGCGGACGCATCATCATATACATTCACCACGCAGCACAATCCCTCTAGGAAAAATAGCTAGATACTCCCCGTATGAATCACCCAAACCACGCATGTAAATTCCCACGCTTGAACCCTCCAACACATCATACGCCGACTCTCTCTCTTTACCAAACATCAAATGATAAATCAAAAGCTACTATTTAGTAAAACAGCAACAGTACAACCTCGGACCCTCTCAACGGCCCGCCGTGGAACGAACCAACTTAACCCCGTTCCATGTCCAATTCTCCGCCCCCTCACTCAACTTCCTTACTTGCTATTCCTCGGAGGATAAAACCTGGCCGGTCGTATTTCTCAACTGACTTTGCTTTCCGGTTTCCACGGGTAGCAGTAGCACACACAGATAGGACGTTTGAGCGCGCGTGACACTTATGATTCGGTTATCCACGGTAGAATCATCTCTTGTGTAACTTAAGTATTCTGCTGTCTATCTATCTGTCTGCCTATCCATCTATCTATTTGCAGACAGGTTACCTATCCGCAGACCGGAATGTCACGTCCGTTATGCAATGAAATGCATTGTGCCACCCCACTCTGAGATGCATATAAGTCACGTGTAGTCACATGATACACAGACCGCGCTAGTGAAACCTCGCTGCGGCCAAATCCCCCAAATCCCACCAAAAACAGGCTGGCCAGTTTCCCAAGTGGTCGAATCGAAAGTGATCGTTTTTGGGTTGTAGCACAACATATCTTGGATTTGGAGTTTGAGGGCTTCGTTTTATTCGTCTTAATTAGCTAATTGTAACGGTACCTTTCTTTTTATGCGATTTTGTGTATTTGGGCCAATTCTAAGGGCGAAAGGTGGTCGAGATGGAGGAGGCCAGGGGCGGTCGGTTGGGCGGTGGGATAGTGTCGGCATCCATTTACAGTCACGTGACTGTCGGGATTTTGGGAAAGAAAAAAGAGTGTCTTGCAATTTTGAAATGGTCTTGCACTTGATGCTTAACAAGGTCTAGAAGTAATAGGCAGTATAGCTGAACTGGAAGGATAGTCCTCAATAGCCATTCCGAGTATACGGTATACCAAACTTACTGAGATCGTACCTGTACGGAGGTTTGTTGGACTTGAACTTCCACCCAATAGTATGACGTCATTGGTGGATGTCAGCCTGTTCCTATCGAGGGCTCAGGTTGTCAGAATAACAACCTGGTTAATACCCCCTATCACACATTCTGTGAGTTCAAGGTCATAGAATAGTATTTAACAACACCATACCAATTCAGAGACCATCTGCCAGGCGCTTTAAGCTTAAACCGGGGTCGAAACCCCACTTGGACTCCAAATTAGTCAGGGCAATCTCCCCGCATCCATACCCAATCGCCTGTCTCCTGCTTCAATCCTGAATAAGACTGGAAACCTACACTGCCCCTTCCATGGTTAGTCCAAACTACGAACACACCTACGTCCCATGAAGTGTATATAAATTCTTCACCCGGAAATCCATCCCACCGAGGCCACAATGTCGGCGTCTAAACGCTCTGCGTCGGTCGACCTGGCCGGTCCACCGCATTTCGCCTCGACCGACTCAGACGCGGCCACCGTGACAGGTAGGACGGGCCCAGTCCTTCTAATCCCCTCGGACCAAGCTAACAGAGACAGACGATGGTCGAGTCAATGTAAACCTGGACTCCAGCGCAGGCAAAGCAGCGCTTAAACGCGCCCTCTCTCTCCTACCCGCTACCAGCGAGGAGCCACCGTCCCCGCCTCCAGACTACACGCAATCCACTCCCTTCGACATCAAACTAAATATCATCGTCCAAGTCGTCGGAAGCCGCGGCGACGTGCAGCCCTTCGTCGCGCTCGGAAACGAGCTCCAGAAACACGGCCACAGAGTCCGAATAGCCACGCACAACACCTTTGATTCGTTTGTCCGCGGCGCCGGGTTAGAGTTCTATCCTATCGGCGGAGACCCCGCGGAGTTGATGGCCTACATGGTCAAGAACCCGGGGCTGATACCCAGCGTGGAGAGCCTGCAGGAGGGAGACATCAAGAAGAAGCGGGTTATGGTCGGTGAGATGCTGGACGGCTGCTGGCGGTCGTGCATCGAGGATGACCTTGTGTCTGGGATGCCGTTTGTGGCGGACGCGATTATTGCGAATCCGCCGAGTTTTGCGCATATACACTGTGCGGAGGCGCTGGCGATTCCGTTGCATTTGATGTTTACGATGCCGTGGAGTCCGACTACGGCTTATCCGCATCCGTTGGCGAATTTGAGGTATTCGGGGAAGAATCAGAAGTTCGCGAATTCGGTGTCTTATGGAGTTGTGGAGTGGTTGACTTGGCAGGGGTACGTTCTCAACTTTTCTCTATGTGTGAGATGATCCTGGCTAACTGTTGTAGGCTGGGTGATGTGATTAACAGCTGGAGATCGACGATCGATCTCGAACCGGTGCCCACGAATGAAGGGGCCACTATGGCGCAGACGCTCAAGATTCCGTTCACGTATTGCTGGTCGCCGGCTTTATTGCCCAAGCCTATAGATTGGCCTGCATATATCGGTATGCTCCCACATGACGCGTGGCTTGAGAAATGCTAATTGTCAGATGTGTGTGGCTTCTTCTTCCGTGATCCGCCCAGCTACTCCCCTACCCCTGAGCTGGCAGCCTTTCTTCAAAATGGCCCCCCTCCGATATATGTCGGGTTTGGAAGCATCGTCCTCGATGATAGTGTCGAAATGACGGCTATTCTTGAAGAAGCCGTCAAACTCACTGGTGTCCGGGCCATCATTTCTCGGGGGTGGAGTCAACTCGGTGGGGAGTCTTCTTCGAACATTCTCTATCTCGGCGACTGCCCTCACGACTGGCTATTTGAGCGTGTTTCTTGTGTCATTCATCACGGGGGTGCTGGCACCACCGCATGCGGTCTTCGCTACGGCAAGCCCACTACTGTAGTCCCGTTCTTTGGAGAGTAAGTCGACCCAGATCTGGCAAATGTCCCCCCCTAACAGTCCCAGTCAACCATTCTGGGGCAAGATTGTGGCCGCCTCGGGTGCCGGGCCCGACCCCATCCCACATCGCTCTTTGACAGCCGAGAAACTTGCAAATGCAATTCGCTTTTGTCTAAACCCAAGCACGCTCGACGCAGCCGAGAATCTAGCCATAAAAATGCTGGAAGAGACAGGTGTCGCAAAGGCAGTGGAATGTTTTCATCGCAATCTTCCGCGAGATAAGATGAGGTGTGCCGTTTTGCCAGATCGGCCGGCGGCATGGGTGTACAAAAAGAACAAAGGGAAGCCCATCTATCTGTCCAAAATGGCTGCGCAGGTTATCCTTGACCATATGCGGGTTGACAAAGAGGATCTGAAGCGGTATGTCTTGTTCTGATTTCCGCTGGTTCGAACTGACACTGGTATCCAGACACGAGATCAACCCAATCGTGCTCCAAAACCGGCGATTCGATCCCATCTCCGGTACGACATCCGCTGCCTTCGAAACCGGAGCGGGCCTCGCAAAGGCCACGAGCAATATGCTGTGGAAACCATACCAGGAGATCCAGCGCGGGCGAACCAGCAGCCCACAGCCCAGCGTTACCCGATCGCTCAGCACACCATCCCTATCCCAGACGGAACCAGAGAACCCTGTTCCCGAGAAATCGTCCACCGCACCACCCAGACTGAGCACCTCTCCCACCAGGATCGACTGGATGACAGCGGCGACCGCAGCCGCCACATCCGCCAAAGGTGTCGGCCAATTCATCGGCAAATACTACAAAGGCATGGCGGTGGACATCCCGCTCGCCACGACGGAAGGTCTCCGCGCTATCCCCCGGCTCTACGGCGAGGAAGTTCCCGAATACGTCGTCCGCGACTGGAAGTCCGGCGCTGCCGCGGGAGGGAAGAATTTTATCCATGGGATGCGCGGCGGGTTGACGGATATGCTGACACAGTCGTACCAGGGTGGAAAGGACAAAGGGCCCCTCGGAGTGGGCAAGGGGTTCCTCAAGGGCACGGTGGGCCTCGCGACGAAGGTGCCGTCTGCTGCGTTGGGCCTCGTTGCTTACCCTGGCCAGGGTATCTGCAAGAGCTTACATCATACTATACGGTTCCAGACGAGGAGGGAGATTACCGCTGCGCGGTACAGAGAGGGGGTGTTTCTTCTTCGAGTGGAGGGCGGTTCGTTGGATGAGGGGGATGTTGTTGATCTGTTTGAGGTTTTGAGGAGTAGTGCGGGTGATTTTTGAGCGACATCGTCTGGTACTGATGTTGCATGCTGAGTATATAGTATATATAAATGCAGGACATAGTTTAGAGCAAATCAAATGATCACAGCGTTATATCTGTACCGACATGAGTTCAAAGACCGGAAGTGTCGGAAGATTGTGGACTTGACAATATTTTCATCGATATAGATGCCCCACAGTGTTTAACTCCGCGGACCTCCCTAACTCCGGCCCATCATCTCCCCGCAACGTCAGCTAACATCTTTCTTGACTTACTTCCACCTCACTAGTCGCATCTGGTTCTCTACCACTGCATCGCCTATCCAATTGCCCATTACATCATGGACCATGATATCCCTACTATAGTCTCCACCCACAAGCCAGCCGATGACTGGTCGGGACTGAGCGATCCGCAAGAGAGGCGCAGGAGACAAAACCGGCTGAACCAGCGCGCACATCGTAAGTTCATGGTTCTCTAGAGCATTTTATTTGTCTAAACTAACCAAGACTAAACCAGGAAAACGTAAACAAGCACAAGCAGACCCCACAGACACAGACACAGAAAACATATCCAGACCAGCCACCAAAAAACCTTTCCCCACCACCAACGCCCTCTCCCAAGTCCAACCCATCACCAACCCCAAACGCATCGCCTGCCCCCACCCCGACACCCTCGCCATCCTCCTCGCCCGCTTCAGTCGCACCACCTTCGACATCCCCCCACTCACCTCGCCCACAACGGACACCAACCTCCTAACCCTCAGCAAAGCCAACGTCTTCCGCGCCTTCGCCCACATCATCACCCTCCTCGGCATGACCCCCCACAACGACTGGATGCACGACGACGCCCTCTCCCCCTTCAGCACACAAGGCCCCACCGGCGTCGACGCCTCCTCCCTCCCGCCCAGCCTGCGCCCCACCCCCGTCCAGCGCGAGTGCCCCCACCACCCATGGCTGGACTTCTTCCCGTTCCCGCGCATGCGCGACAACCTCATCCGCGCAGGCGACGGCTTCGACGACGAGCAGCTGTGCGTGGATATCATGGGGTTTTGGGACACTAATTCTGCGGCGTCTGTCGAGGGGTGTAATTTGCTCGTTTGGGGGGAGCCGGCTGATCCGAGGAGTTGGGAGTTGACGGAGGCGTTTATCAAGAAGTGGCCGTGGGTGGTGAGGGGGAGTCCGGAGCTTATGGAGTCGACGAATTATTGGAGGAGGAGGAGGGGGGAGAAGTTGATTTTTAGGTATCTTTAACTCTATTTTTTTGACTTGTTTTTGGGTTTGGGATGGGTGAGCGTATAGTACTGCATGTGCATTGGACTATGTATAAAATGTGATAGCATAATGTGACAATTTCAATGATATTATGGTGAGAATTGAAGAAGTACAATAGAGCGTAAGAGATATAGAAGGCAATCAGCCTCTTCCAAACTTACCCTCAAGAAAGCAAATTCAACACAAGATACATACATCCCCCATCCACATATACAAACGCAGCCACTAGCTACTAACTAGCCACTACACGCCAACCCAAAAAGGTTGACTAACACTCCGCCAACGGCTCAGTATACTTACAGCTCTCACTCGGCCCCTTGGAAATCTCATCCGGCTCCGACCCATCCTCCTTGCCCTCATACGAGATGCAGATATCCTTAACGTCGGTAGCGCACGTGTCGGTGATGGTGGCCACGTCGCCGAAGTTCTGGTTGACGCCGACCATGGACTTGCCGTCGACGGCGATGACGTTGGAGATGGTCACGGTGCGCTGGTACATCTCGTCGCAGTTGCCGCAGGAGCGATAGAGCTTGCCGAAGTTGTAGACGGTGAAGCCGTCGATGGTGACGTCGCCGCCGATGTTGTGCTTGGGCCCGGTTTAGCGGTGTTTATAATGTAGAAAGGGGGGAGGTGCTCACCTGGATCACCTTGTCCTCTGCGCCTTGGGCTCCTCCGCCGGAGATCTTGAAGGTGCTTCCGCCTTTGAGGGAGAGGGCGTCTAACACATATGTTAGTTATCAACCATCCAATTGGTAGACAAAAGGTGAAATAAACAAGGTAGATACTTACCCTCACAAACAGCCTCCCACCAAACATTCTCAACAGTGCAAGACCCCTTACAGTAAACACCTTCAGACTGATCAGGTCCAATAATAGCGTTCTTAAGGGTGCCTCCCTCCTGGATGATAAAGACAGTGTCGTCTTCTCCGCCCTCAGACTGGCCCGAGCACTCAACGCCACGGCCAAAGGTCTGCATGCCGCCATCGTAGACCTCGCCTTCGGCGATCTCGAACGGCTCGTCGAAGGTCTTGGAGCCCTTGGACTCCGGGAGCGGGAAGGTGTAGCGCTTGTTGAGGGTTGAGGCTAGGGTGGTGGAGGCCAGGAGGGCCAGGAGGGTGGTTTGGGGGAGCATTGTGGAAAGATATGTAGTTTAACGAGGTGTAAGCTTCAGATTTTAGAGACTTGACTGAATGTTGAAGATGTATCGTCGTCGGTTGATCCCATTTATATATACTGATAGTTGAAGACATCCGACGTATATCCGACTCCTGCGCAAACACATCCCGATCCTATCTCTGGACGGAATTATTTGTCGCCCTTGGCGCGTTTCAACCGCCCAATCTTTCCACCACTGTCTATGCTAGAAAGCTAGACACGATGAAACTGGAATGGTGTGTCTTGACCGCATCCACCGCCCGGTCTAGTAATCGAGCTATGGTCTGTCCATCGAGCGCGGCTTGCTTGTTCTGCCGCGGCTTCGGCTTTTCTCCGTAACCCTACATCATCAACTTTATACCGAGTAACACCCCTGCGGGGGTTTTGGGCCTTCTTGTGATGTTGATAGGTATCATTGGTGGTAATTGTTCTTCCTTGAGGGTATGCCGTCGTTGGTCGGATTTACTGCGCGCGAACGCGAGCCCTACACATAGGACGGGATCAGACATACAGCAGCATAGCATAGCATATTGCTCAACCATGCCAGAATGGATCAGGAAGTGGTTGATCCACCTATGGTGGAGAACCGACAACTCGGGCTATCGGTCTGTTTCTTCAGGGATGCAGCACGTTAGAGAATGAGTGACGGAGGGGCGGGATGATAATATAAAATTCAACACGGAAGAATTGTAGCTTGCCGCGTGTAGACAGGATGTGCTCCGTCCACTAATCGGAGTGGGTTGGGCTGGCATGGATGGGACGGAGGAGAGGGTACTGGGTTGTGAGTAGCTTGAAACAAACTCGAATGATCGCCAGGGGGAGTACCAGGGGGGGTACTAGGGGGAACGAGTTGTAACATTGTGGGTTTGGAGCAATTTGAATGAAACGGTTCTTGCGCCGGGTTGTGAACTTTGATGGTCTGCATTGACCATCTCTAATTTTTATTGCGTTCAACTCGTGTTTTGATATTTGTAGTGAATTGTAATTTTTGGTAGAATATCTTGATAATCGTAGCATATAAACACCTTATGTCTCAATAGTCATATGTATATCTTTAGACAAACAAAATGCCAATCTCAGCTCAAATGGCTCTATATAATTCCAACAAAACCAGCACGCCATGTTATACGAAAGTATGCCAAGATCTGCAGCATTTGTATTCACAGGCGATGGACGCCCGCTGAGACGAATCGTCCCCAGTATATCTGGCTGAATTGAACTGCCATGGTTCATGTAAGACAGCCGCAGCGCCTTCACTCGTATTCATGTTCGTGTTGGCGCCATGTAAGACCATGGCCTCAAAACTCGGACAATCACCGAGCATTCTCGTGGCCGCTTGGACGGGTCGTAGTGCTGTTTTCAACCCCCATCTACCCCGACAAGCACCGATAGAGTTCATCCTTCAAACGGCGGAGGTGGTTTCGGGCGGGATATGCGCTCGGCGCAGGAGGTCCTTATAGTTGTAATCGATTGAATGCGTTGCATTCCTCGTATTATCGCTCAAGTAGTCTCTCTCCGCGCGAGGAGAGCCTGGCTCTCGGTGGAGACGTGTGGAGTAGAAGACCGATCATGGACATGGATCTTGGTCGCCTTCTCTTTCTCGTCGATATAGTTCTGGGCGGAGAGGCACTCGACAAAGGTGATCTCGCAGGAAGCGGCCGCAGCCACGATGAGGGAGATGCCGATAGTGACGAGCATGTTGAATTGTTGGAGGGTTGTCAAGGGTGTAGGTGTATCTTGTAGGTATAGGTATAGGTATAGAACAAAGCTTATAGTATCGCTGGTATCACTTCAATTAGAGACAAAAACAGAGGAGTGATCCCCCCTTATGTATCCTCAGAAAAGAAGAGAATACCTTATCTGCGCATTACGTGGAAGCCGGACTCGCGACGGAGGAATGCAAGCATCGAGAAACGAACTAAAAAAAGATCATCGCGATCAGCAGGTCCCTCCAGCCAATGGAAAAACATCCGGGCGCAGGTTTCTCTGTCTCTTTCACTCGCCGAAACCTCCTGCCACGCCACTTGCTGGCGTCATCATCTCTCCAAAAATAACAAGGAATTGTTCTCCTTGTCCCCTCCCTCCTACTTTTTCGGTTACTTATCGGGGATCTGTCAGGTTGGGAAATGTCAAACCCAGCCATTCTGAGTCTAACCCAATTATATTGGTTTGATTCCCCCATCCCCTCGGCGCTGTGGGTTTCACCCCACCACCGTGTTTTTTTGTTGGGTTTCTTGCTGGTTTTCTATGATCTATTTGTTGGAGTTAGGCTGGGCGTGGCATATTAGCCGATATACGGAGTAGCTGACGTCAGGTTCGGGGGTTTGCGAGTTCTCGTTCGTACGGAGTACTCCGTACTCACCAGATCGACTTGTGGCGACGATACTATTTATGACAAAAGGCAACTTGACGTACATATTTGCCTACGACAAAAATAGGACGCGTATCGATCGTACTGTCGGAGTTCCACCTCCACACGGTCCACCTCCACATTATACTACCGAGGGTATATCCCCATGTTTATCTCTCCAATTTCGTGGAATGATATGCCAAAGCATCGACGATAATCGTTCTCTTATTATGTATGATATTTACAATGTACCACAGCTCAATACAAACGCCGACATCGTAGCGCCAAATTTAGTGAGGAATGCGGTACGACCCTCCCCCTCGACGCGCCTGGGGATAAAGGAGTCGGCAGGAGAGAACAAAACGCTCTGCTCCGGCCGGGCTCCTTCTCAGACGACACCGAGGAGTGTTGAGGGTCAAACTCGTTCTTCGCACAGTGACTAATCAGCACGTCATGGGATAGGATCGTGACAACTTAAAGTAGTGCGATAGGAATAAAGGTACAGAACAGCCGGGTCGCCAGACCATCATACTCCCGGCTACTGGTCTTTCCTACGTTCGGCGGGTTCTTCTTCCTCCTCATCATCCGCCAACGGTACGTCCATGACGCGTTCGCCCGCTTTCTCCAGCGTACGTCGGCACCAGCTGCGGACACCTTTGTACACCGCCTGGAGCGGTCAGCAGGGACCTGATGTCGGCCAGGAATGAATGCACCTACCCAGAGAAAGGTCATCACCCCGAAAAAGATGACCACCCAACTGATGGACGCGGTACGATTCCGACCGGTGTTCCGACCGCCGTTGAGCAGGACCGACGACCGCGTGTACCACCATTGCCATGGAGACAGGGCGAAGATGGCCTTGACGACCGACAGCACCCCCAACGACGCCAGGCCTTTGAAAAAGTGTTCCAACCAGGAGGATCCCGTCTCCGGGGCCAGCGAGTCGGGCACACTGGGCTCCCAGAAATCCGAGTAATACAGGGTCTCCATCGGATCCACGTAAAGATTGATGATCGGGTCAGCAACAAAACCAAGCAAAAACACAGTCAACATCAAGATGGCCACCGTCAAGCCCAGCTGCGTAAAGGTACTACTGATCCAGCGCGCCCAGGTGAGCCGCTCCAGCCGGTATTGGAACCCGCACGTCGGACACTGCCAGAAATTCCTCTTGCTGTAATCCGGGTCCGCATGGCGCCAGGCCTGCAGGCATCCTTCGTGGACATAACGCGAGGATCCCTTGCACTTGCACGGGCGCACCAACCGGCCGGATTCCGGGTCCGACGACTCGTAGACGACTCGCGGGCCGGACTGGAGGAAGTCCGGGATGTGTTCGGACGTAGGCAGGAGGGTAGGGAGGACCGTCTCGAGACAGATCCGGCAGACCCGAGGGGGATAATGCTTTTTGGGAGTCTCCTGCGCGGGCTCTCCGGCAGACTCGGACGCGTGGCTGCGATTGTGAGTGTCTGGGGACTCGGACTCCTGACTAGCTGGGAAGCCCTGCCAGGGTGGCTCATTGAGCGCGTCCATTCTTTGCGGCAATTTGGATTGAAATCATAATACCAACTAGGTTTCCCGTGACCTAGTCCTATGCAATGTAGGATAGCCTGTGGATTGTCAATCAAAGATGCAGACAGATCGATAATGGGAGATTGTGTGACGAGGGAGAGGGAAGGGAAAGAACAGAAAGGAAAAGCGGGCAGCGGACGAAAAGGTGTCACTAGTTCGGCTACTCGCCTAACTGTCGCCGGATCAATCAATTGTCCGAGGTCAACAACATCAATCAATATCTGAATCATCCTCACCAGCTTGTCCATCTTCCTCAAAGTTGTTCGAAAACTGGCCGGAGACTGTGGCGAGGGATTCATGGAGCAGACGAGGACGTGATCACCCACGATATTATCTCAGCCCCTGCATCAAGATATCGAATTGGCATTTGGTCGGGCTTGATATGACTAATATCTTGATATATATCATGATTGTTGAACCATTCGACATAACCGCCGTCATGGGGAACAGCAAAGGAATCCCGTACGCGAAATTGATGGATATCAGCCAAATTCCCAATCAGAAATAGAGGAGGTGAAAGATGAGTTTCGATTACTGAGGTCAGGCACGCTTGGAAAGTATTCGGGGTACATGTCCGATTCCCTGCGCGCGAAGGTAATCGCACCATGTTATGAAATCGCAGAGGATTCTGGTAAAGCGATAAGGGATGACGACTACCGCCTCGCTACGGAATACTAGTCCGACCTTGACCATCTGAGATGCGCGCTGGGCCTCTTGCAGAACATAGAAACGGATTGGACTGTGGCCAAGGAAGAATATACCTCATCAAGAGCCTCCTGACTTATGGCACGCTGTGCTTGGGAAGTGATCCTGGTTACGTTTGAGTGGATCAAGGATCGCGCTGTCTTCTGAGACAATTGGCTCTGTAGTACTATCCATGACTTCGATACATGGTTGCAAAATGATAACAATGAAGACAAGAAAGGATCACAAGAGGTCTGGGACATTGGAGCCGCAGGTTTCCACAGGCCAGTGACACATCCATTTTGGCGTCGTCGCGGCAAGACAATGGCTGGATTCTCCTACCTAGATGAGCTACAGAAGACTATTACCACGCTGAAAAAGATATGACGACGAGCTCCGGACGGCGATGAAAAGGACCCAAACCTCATATCCGCTGGGAATCTGGTCGTTCACGATGGCAACTGTCATTGAGATTCCGATCTGCATGGGCTAGGTGGGTGGCGAAACTTCAGTGTGTACCAAGCGCCTAGTAGGTGTCTTATGACTGTGGTGCCCTCTATAAAATTGGCGTTCTTCTCCGCCACGTCGATCTCACAGAGGTTGCCAACCAACTGACCAAGAGATCCTCGACTTCAAGCTTTTAGTCAAGGTAATATACAGCACGTACAAAACCGACAGCGCTAGGGTCCCCAAACAACTTGCGCCATCACAGTCGCGACACAGTCAGTCTTTAAGCTTTCATGTTATGGAATTACTTTCAACAACACCGGGGCCGGCCTATACAGTCCAATCCCTGGAACTAAAAGCCCTGAAATTCACTGGGACAGAGAACAACTACAAATCTTTACCTGACACGCCACTCAGTGGTCCTTCCTTCAGTGGGCCGTCCGTCAAAAGACACTTAGGAAACTGGCTGGCGTCTGTAGGATATCTCCAAGTCTTTACATTCGATCCAGAGCTCTCATCCCATTGCTCGCCGGTGCTAGTGTGACGCTGGCAATGGAGTCTGATTTCTTTTTACTACCGGACAATTTGGATGGATGTACTATCAGAGAGAGACGTTACGGATGGAGCGGAGGCCGCAGAGTATATCAACTTGTGGAATAGATAGTTAGGTACGGAGTTATTACTAAATGATATTATAATACATATATACCTATATTCGACTTGATAAACAGTTATAAGGTCTAACACTCATTTGGATATAATAAAAAATAGTCTGTGATCCTCTATAATTATATCACAATCAGCTTGAACCAGCCATGACCAGCGGCAGCCCACTGACATCGGCCTAGCACTCTTCACAGCCAGCTTTTCCCATCGTCCTCCATTCCAAGAATGCGAACTACATAGCATTTCCATCTCACCCCGCAAAGCACAATGCGGGGAAATGATTCAGGTAGCCTACACGAGATACATGAATCCTACTCATCGTTGACCTCATATGTAAGTTCACAAATCCCGGATATTCCACCCCGCTTTCTTTTATCCAATAGAACAAGCAGCGAGAAACATGCAAACCCCGTCTAAGCCAATCCATTCGATCTCGAGATGCAATGCGCCTGGGTCCGTTCATATTCTTCCGCGAGCCAGAGTCGAGCGCTTCAAAAGTACGGACAAACCTACCAGGATTACGCGGCGTTCTTTCGTTTGCCAAGGCGTCCCAAAACTGGCGCCTCAATGAGTGACGACTTGGCTATTTCAATCACATTACTGCACAACTTCCAATAAACAACTTCGGGAAAGTAGACGCCGAAGCCAAGGTGGCTGTGGGGATGGTCAGTAGACATACCTACAAGCCAAGGGGCTAGCAATGTCTCTTGCGGGGTCACAAAGATGTCTGAGGACGTGGGCTCCATTTTCAGGATCTGAGAACCAGTCTGGTGCGGAGACTTATTGCTTCTCGATATGGTCTAAAATAGTAGCTCATGAATCATGCAAACTTAGAATGGTGGATATAGGTTGTCGCAATTAACGAATCTTGGTGAGTATCGTCAGGGATCATTACATGCCCTCAGAATCTAACCACTCAATCGAGCTCTCTGGTAGTCGCCAGACTATCTATTCCTGCGCTGAAAGTGTTGGAATAGTTATCGGAAACTAAAATGGTTCCCGCTGTCTGTTATCCCCACTATCCAAATATATCTCAACGGGAGCATTTCCAACTAGCAACAATGACTGGAGGAAGATCATGGTGGAGTAACCCCACTCGGAGACTGCTTTGGACGGCTACCTTACTCTTTTAATCAATCAGCATCTAAGCCCTGAAATCCTTCTAATTGCTATACGGCAATTCTGCGGGGATTCGCACCCTAGCTGGCTTCCCCGCAAGAGTGACAGCCAACCCTGATCCGCGTTAGCGGCGCCATGGGTATGATGGTGCAATTGCCATGTTATAACCAGCAATGGAATACGCTATCGTTTGCACTTCGCACAGCGGAAGTAACTATACCTGCTCAAAGTGTCAGTGCTTTACTCCATTCTCGAACTCTCCTATTCACTAATATCAATCGCCTTTGGTTGGGCTAGGGTTGACTAATTCCGTCTCAAGCTTTGCTGGCAAGCACTCAGATGCAAGCTCATGGAGGAGTATCATTGCACATCTCCCCTGTATTGAACAGACCATACGGGGTCATTGCTGATACGAATACCTCCACATGCGGGGGAAAGCGGAGAAGTCCCCAAGGTCTCTACTGTGAGCTTTCTGCCCATCGTTCTAGCTCTCAGCACCTTGCGGATCGATTTATCTGCTATCCGGTACGCGAGACACAGTGGCTTCGCCCGCATGCGGGGATTCTACCCCATGCTTGAAACCTAATTCAAGTGGTTCTTGGTGATATTTGACTTCCTTGTAGCCGATATAACTGTGGGGTAGGATTTCCGTAGGCATATAAATCCCCCAGTGGGTTCCTGGAGTTCCATTGCGATCGTCACATCTCACATATCATCAAAGTACATGGTTTAAGAATCTGAGTCACAATGACAATTCCAGATGAGGTTGACATAATCATCTGCGGTGGTGGCAGCTCTGGATGTGTTCCAGCAGGCCGTCTCGCCAACCTCGATCATAGCCTTTCCGTCCTGTTGATCGAGGCTGGTGAGGATAACCTTAACAATCCATGGTAGGATGATCTCACTCCACTGTGTTGCGATTTGCTCATTTTCTTTAGGGTCTACCGTCCGGCGATATACCCCCGTAATATGAAGCTCGACTCCAAAACGGCTTCATTCTATCACTCTCGCCCGTCGGAACACCTCGATGGTCGTCGGGCTATCGTTCCATGTGCCAACATCCTTGGAGGTGGAAGCTCCGTCAACTTTATGGTATGCAACAACGTCCTCTTATTGACCCATTGGTTATACTAAACTAGTGTTGTATTAGATGTACACCAGAGCTTCGGCCTCGGACTACGACGACTTCCAAGCCAAAGGCTGGAAAACCGAAGAGTTGCTGCCCCTTATGAGAAAGCATGAGACTTACCAGCGCGCGTCCAACAACCGTGACCTGCATGGGTTTGATGGGCCAATCAAGGTGTCCTTTGGAAACTATACGTATCCTATCACGCAGGACTTTCTTCGGGCCACCGAGTCCCAAGGTATTCCGACCACGGATGATCTGCAAGACTTGAAGACAGCGTAAGGTCACACCTCTCCGTCTTCGAAAGCTAGTGCTAATGCTGATGACTTCTATAAAGTCATGGAGGAGAGCATTGGTTAAAATGGATCAACCGTGACACGGGTAACCACCACCGCAATCAATCGAGATGCAACTCATCTAACAATCATAACAGGAAGACGCAGCGATGCGGCCCATGCTTACGTCCACAGCACTCGGTCAAAGTATTCTAACCTGCACCTCAAATGCAACACCAAAGTGGACAAGGTGATTATTGAGAACGGCCGAGCAGTGGGCGTGGCGACAATTCCGACAAAGCCTCTCGATGGCCAGGATCCACCACGCAGGATCTTCCGCGCTCGCAAGCAGATCATCATCAGCGGTGGCACTCTCAGCTCGCCTCTTATCCTGCAGCGCTCTGGCATTGGTGACCCCGAAAAGCTTCGCCGTGTCGGAATCAAGCCCTTGGTCAACCTGCCTGGGGTGGGACGCAACTTCCAGGACCACTACCTGACATTCTCGGTCTTCCGAGCTAAGCCAGACGTTGAGTCGTTTGATGACTTTGTCCGTGGAGATCCTGAGGTGCAGAAGAAGGTCTTCGATGAGTGGAACCTCAAGGGTACTGGCCCGTTGGCTACCAACGGAATTGATGCCGGCGTGAAGATTCGACCGGAACCGCAGGAGCTGCAAGAGATGAAGAAGTGGCCTACGCCTGAATTTGTGAACGGCTGGGAAAGTTACTTCAAGAACAAGCCGGACAAACCAGTCATGCACTACTCTGTTATTGCTGGGTGAGAATATACATACCTATCACTAACCACACTGCGCATTCGCCTCTAACAGATAAACAGATGGTTCGGCGACCACATGCTCATGCCCCCCGGGAAGTTTTTCACCATGTTTCATTTCCTGGTATTACAGCGTCCTTTATCCTCCTTAATGTTCTTGGTGTCTGACAGGAGCAGGAATATCCTTTCTCTCGCGGCTTCACCCACGTCACCTCTCCGAATCCATACGATGCTCCCGACTTTGACGCTGGCTTCATGAACGACAAGCGCGACATGGCCCCCATGGTTTGGGGGTATATCAAATCCCGCGAGACCGCTCGACGCATGAATGCTTATGCTGGTGAGGTGACGGGAATGCACCCTCACTTTTCCTTCGACTCGCCAGCGCGCGCACGCGATATGGATTTGGCAACCACTAATGCTTACGCGGGGCCAAACCACATCTCTGCTGGAATCCAGCACGGTAAGATCTGTCGCCCCGACCCTTATGACCGGATCGAATACTAACTTGTGATAAGGATCGTGGTCCAACCAACTGGAGCCCGGAAAAGCACCGGCTGAAACGTACCTCAACTCTAACAAGCACGAGGCCAGAGAATCCCTGCAATACAGCAAGCAAGATATTGAGCACATTGAGAAATGGGGTAAGTTTTCAAACCCAGTAATACTGCTGTAATTTATCCTAACCATCCAACTTCAAGTCCAACGCCACGTCGAAACAACATGGCACTCTCTCGGAACGTGCAGCATGGCACCCCGCGAAGGGAGCTCCATCGCCCCACACGGCGGTGTTCTCGACGAACGCCTGAACGTGCACGGAGTCGAGGGTCTCAAGGTCTGCGACCTGTCTATATGCCCGGACAATGTGGGCTGCAATACTTTCAGCGTACGTACCGTCTCATCCTTTTTTCGTGACTGGCAGTGGCTGACGAGTTGGTGGTTGCAGACGGCTCTGCTGATTGGCGAGAAATGCGCTATGCTGGTGGCGGAGGACCTGGGATATTCTGGCGCTGCTTTGGACATGAAGGTTCCACCATATCATGCACCAGGTGAATTCGTTGGTCTTGCGCGGCTCTAGGATTAATTGTAGTTGGTTGTTGAAGCCATGTGGATGGGCTTGCTTTTATTCTGCGCGTTATAGTACACCAGAATGTCTCCTTAATTCTTATGATCCTTGAAACAAGCATCTTCTTGGTTTACAGGATAGCAAGTAAGCTGATTCACGTCTGATAACTATTAGTATAAGTGTTGTTATCTTGAGGGTTTGAAGTATCCCAGATAGAGTAGAGTAGAGTGTCTTCCTCAGGCAACAAAGGTGCCCAAGGTCATTACCCAAAGCGGCTAGCGTGCCCCCTCTTAGTCAGAGGAAACCGGAAGTGCGTCAACATCCTGCCGCCTGCTTCAACACCCCGACGACAGCAGACCCAACAGCGTCACCTCCGATATTCCCATCTCAATTCCTCCATCGTCATACTGTGATCGCCTTATTCCACTCTCTATCCTCTCCCTTTATTTCCCTCTTCTTCCCTCCAAGCTTGTGGGGGACCAGACTTCTCCATGGCCGACCGCTATTCCTTCTCCCTCACCACCTTCTCCCCCAGGTAAGAAGGAGCTCTCTGGTATATCAACCGGTTCATCGCTGATCTTGTCAATAGTGGGAAGCTGGTTCAGATTGGTATGACCGTTGCTTCTGGGTGTTGTATGCCCTACTAATCGACATGCAGAGTATGCACTCAACGCAGTGAACCAGGGTATCACAGCCCTTGGTATTAAAGGTATCATCCACATCTTATCCACCACCACCATTCATGCCCAATGATCCCATGGAATGAGAAAAAGGAATCCAAATCTAACACCCCAAAGCAACAAACGGCATCGTTCTCGCCACAGAAAAGAAATCCTCGTCCCACCTGATCGACCCTCCTTCCCTCACCAAGATCTCCAACATCACCCCGGACATCGGCATGGTCTACGCCGGCATGGGCCCCGACTACCGCGTGCTCGTCGACAAGGCTCGCAAGGTCTCGCACACCAACTACAAGCGCATCTACAACGAATACCCGCCGACACGCATTCTGGTGCAGGACGTCGCGCGCGTGGTGCAGGAGGCCACCCAATCCGGTGGTGTGCGGCCGTACGGTGTCAGCTTGTTGATCGCGGGGTGGGACGAGGGCGTTGAGCCCGAGGCGGCGGCGGCGGCCGAGGAAGACGTGGAGGGCGAGCCTAAGAAAGCGACCGGAAAGACGGGCGGTATCCTCAAGGGTGGCCCGAGTCTCTACCAGGTTGACCCCAGCGGTAGTTACTACCCGTGGAAGGCGACGGCCATTGGCAGACACGCGACGAGCGCCAAGACGTTCCTGGAGAAGCGGTACACGGAGGGTCTGGAGCTCGAGGACGCGATCATCATTGCGTTGTTGACGCTCAAGGAGACGATCGAGGGGGAGATGAACGGTGATACGATAGAGATCGGTGGGTTATTGATTTCTGCTGTTGTGGGAGACCTGGACAAGTGACTGACGTGATGTGTTTAGGTATCGTTGGCCCCCCGGCCGACCATCTGCGAGGCTACCAGGGCGTCGAGGACTCCCAAGGCCCCCGCTTCAGGAGCCTGACCAAGGCCGAGATTGAAGATTACCTGACCAACCTATGAGGGGTGGTGGTTGTGTTGGAAGGTGACTACTTGCGATGGAATTAAAAGGCAGGGCCAGATGCTAGCACTCTACTCTAGCAGAGTCCGCACAGCGTTTGGATTGTCTGTTGAGACCGTCACCTGGGGTCCGGGTGGTCTCGGGTGGAACGACGCGTTCTGACATGATGACTGGTGAGGGCTTGATCGGAGGTCTCGCCCGTAATACAGATATTTCAGATTATACGGAATGAAACGATTGACAGGTCATTAACTGGATGGCGTAGATGGGATGTTGTCGTAGACAGCCATACTGTGCCATGGTTTACCTATGGTCAGGCATTTGCGTGTCCTTGCTGTTGGATAATCTGGACGTTTCAAAAGCCAAATAACCAACCCTCTGACAAGACATTAGAATAGCACGAGCGCAATATCTCAATAATAGATTGAAGCGCCTCCACCATGCAGCCACCAATAGCCCATCCAGACCATCAGGTGACCCCATTCAACTGTATCTACCCTCATACCACCTACCCACCTGAGTACCCTACAGTATATCCCAAACACCCTCGAAGAAAACACCCAAAACCAACAAAACCCAAACCCCAACCCCAAACAACCCCAATCACAAACAACCATGGATCCCGACAACGGAGACCAGATCGGGGAACCCGTCCCAGCTACGAAGTAGGGGTTTACTAAAGCCCAAGCCATTGGGTGGGTTCAACCAATGGAGGGAGGGCTGGGGAGACAGTGCAGGAGTTAGGTTCAACTGGGTTCTTTGTTTGCTTGGATGGGGCGATATTGACTATTGCGGCTTTTTCTTTGTTGGTTTGGACGTGTCTCTTTTTGCTAGTTTGATCTGCTCTTGCTCTGCTGATTTATGTTTGTTTTTTCTTGCTGGACGGGGTGCATTGGTGTCTTCAATGGGACGTGCTGATAGTACTATTTGATCCTACTCTCCACTGGTGTAGATGAGCTTGGTGTGGCTGGCTACCTGCAAAGACGAGTTGAGTTTTTTTATATCTGCGAATGGGAGATCCCTAGTAGACACATAGTAATCTTAATTCAATGCCTAATACTGCTTTTTTCTCTTTCTTTCTATCCTATTCAATGCTGTTTATTTCGAGTTTCTTCTCCATATCTTGACTTGAATCTAGCGTCAATACTTCATTAGACTATATGTACCAATGTCGATCCATCCGTTGGTGCCTATATCTGTGTCACGTTCTTAACAAGATTATGCCTGGATTTGGATCGGTCCCTTTTTCATTTTGGATTATTTCATTGTTTTGACACCTAAATTCTCATTCTTTGCGTTTCATTCACTCACCCAACAAAAGTGTATCAGGCTCCATCGGGCATGGACCACCGGTTCACCGGGCTAGATTTTGAGGAGGGTACCGCCCGGTGGCAATCTAGTGCATATTACATTATATTGGATTAGAACAGTTTGGGCACGAGTTATATTGTGGACGGACGGACGGAGGGGTTTGTGGTGGTTTTTTGATGCTGAGCTCGTGAGTGTCCCGCCCATAGATGGGATCGCTTGCATTGTCGTTTATTGTTTGTGCTTTAATACCTCTCCTACTTATCACCGATCAGACATCGGTATACACTTTCCAATATCTAAGATGGGCGATTCCGCCTCCGGCGTCATCCTCGACCCTCTCACCGGCGCGGTACTCGAACACGATCAACTAGATGGTATCTCAGGGAGACTGAAATACTCCCACGACCTTTTGAAATTGCTCCACATCTTCTTCATCACAGTGACGTGGTGGAACGCGATCGAGCTGATGGTGCTAGTGCTGTCGACTTTCCGACGGCGGAAGGGGCTGTACTTCTGGAGCCTGGTTGTGACGAACTGTCTGGGGGTGGTGCCGTACTCGCTGGGGTTCCTGATCCAATTCTTCACAGAGGTCAATGTTGCCGTGTCCACGGCTGTCGTATGCGTTGGATGGGTGTTCATGGTGACGGGTCAGTCGGTGGTGTTGTACTCGCGGTTGCATCTTGTGCTGCGCGACAAGGTCGTGCTGCGCCGTGTGCTGTGCATGATTGCCGTCAATATCTTCTTGCTACACGTCCCGGACATTGTGATTTCGTGGGTGGGTACCTTCGCTGAGAGTGCCAAGATTATACGCGCTTTTAACGTCATGGACAAGGTCCAGCTCGTGGGGTTCACGGTGCAGGAGTTTATCATTTCTGCGCTGTATATTTGGGAGGCTATTAAGCTGTTGCGGCTGAGGTCTGATCGCCAGGACCGGAGGATCATGTACTATCTTGTTGGTATCAATGCCGCGATGTTCGTCATGGATTTGATCCTGGTGAGCGTCCAATTTGCGAATTATTTTGCTATCCAGTCCACCCTTCAGGGGATGTTCTATAGCATCAAGCTGAAGCTTGAGTTTGCTGTTCTGGGAAAACTCGTCGATGTCATTCAACAAGGGTCTAGCAGGAATGGGTCGCTAGGGTACGCCATGCAGCTGTCGTCGTTGGATCATATCGAGGTGCAGACGGGCACAACGGCCACGCCGTCATCGGCTTTGTCGAGTGATTTGAATGTTGATGACAGAAGACAGGGGATAAGGTTGTCGGAAGGGAATATTTTCGTGACCAAGGAGTTTTTGGCTTGGGTGGAGCGGCGGCCCCATGGTAATCGTCTTTTATAGTCTTCGTTGCTCTTTCCTCCTGTTCACGTAATCTTGACCGTTCCTTCCGTTCTCGTAATTTCAACCTTGATATTTGTTGGATGTCAAGATCCCTACCACCCGCCAGTTGGTCTTTTTGGTCGATTGGTCAAGATAAAAGACAAACGAATGACATTCAAGGTCGGCGGGAGGGGATGTGTATAATATGAGCGACGGAAGCCCTCGCAGCTAGGTATTTTTTTCTTTTGTCGGCTCGGACCGTATGGTGGATTAGTCTTTGCCCAGCAAGCCAGGATCATCACCTTCGGCCCATCCAAACTCCTCATCAGAGTCCTCATCTTGACTATCCGCGACCTCATCAACCTTCCGTTTCCGCTGACTAGTCGAAAACGCGCCAGCAGATTCCTGCACCTGCACCGCTTCATGAGAAGGAGCATTCTGTTCAACCTCTCGTAGACCATCCTAGGCAGAATTAGCCAATCGTCCAAGCCACTCCAAGACCGCAGATACCCACTGTTTCAACCACAAACGGGACAATATTCTCCTCCACCCTCACCGACAAAGCCTTCCCACCCCTCTTCATCACCTCCGCAAACCGGACCCTCCCAGCCACGTCCTCGCCGTCGCCCGCAGGAAAATCACGATACACCACGATCCGGGTATACACGCTATTCTCCCAAGTCCCGCCAGCAAGAACAGGACAAAGCATCGGGCGCGGTTGGCCTTTGATCCTTGTGTGGGTCTGATCGACCACGAGTGCGACGAGACGGTGCGTCGTGGCCAGCTTGACAAGGTGATTGGCGAGCTCGCTAGTTACATTCCACTTTCGGTTCATGAGCCACTGGATTTGTGCATTGTCTGTGACTTTGGCCTCCGCGAGACGAGTCCTTAGCTCTGTCGGGTTCGGGAAGTAAGCCGGGAATGGCTCCGACACTGCGTCGATGACTAAGAGCTTGGTGTCTTTTGGTGGAAATCCAACGGGTGGATGATTTAGAAGTGCTAGAAGATGAGGCAGTGAGCGGGCACGGAAGTAGACAAAATTGTGCATGAGTTCTTCTGGGCTCTTGGATGGAGGCCCTTCTTTGGCCCCGGAGAGCATCTCGCGGAGCCGTATTCGGGGAAGCGGGGAGCCCGCGTCTACGAGTAGTTAGATTAATCTTCCGTTGAAACAGAACAGAACCAAATACCCACCTATCCAAACAACCTTTTCTCCATCACGGAGTACATTCGATGCGACGCTCAGTCTACATCGACCGGGTTAGAGTCTCGCTAAGCATGAAGTGGCAGGCAAACTCACGCCAATGAGGTCTTCCCGACACCCGGCGGCCCAAATATCTCCGCAACATGCCCACTGGGGAGTCCCTTTGCGGAATTGGACGCCGTACACCCTGGCACGGGCTCCGGGCACGGCGGAGTCAAAGCCTTGTTCAGTTGGGCAAGACCGGTGGAGATTTTAGCAGCGGCAGACGCGCCCGACGCGTGCAGAGACTGTGACGCCGGGAAGGAGAATACGCGTGCTGTCTGTTATCAGCATGTGAGTTGGTGTTAGGGAAGCATTGTAGACCTACTCTCCTGGCTGGGGAGACCGAGATAATCTTGTCCGTTCATTGTTGATTGTGCGGGAATCTGATGTTTATAATAGGTGGAATAACAAGAACTCGTGCTGAGAGCTCCTTGTCTCTCGTGTTCAGGGCCATCAGGGATTGCGTCCGTTTTCCATCACGAAGCAATGTAAGAAGCGATAGCGATATGTAGGCTGGCAACAATAGACATCGATGACCCATTTACATTACGCCCACGCTTCGAGTCATCGTGTTGGTGCCAATGCACGTGACTTACCCATTGTGGCAACCATACATAAAATGAATTAAGTTAAAGTTCTTCAACAACATCCGATGTGGTGTAATGGTTAACATCGCCGTCTCTCACACGGCAGCTCGGGGTTCGATTCCCCGCATCGGAATTTCTTTTTTTTTTTTATTTTTTCTTAGAAATTTTTCATACAATATTCGGCTTATATGTTGTTCGTTTACTATATTTCTTTTTGGTTTTTGCCCCAGATGAAACCAAGGTCGTACACAGCATCTGCATTGATTCACCTCCGCCAAGGGGCGAGAATCAACATAGCAAAATACAGATAAGGTCATGACAGACTGGAATTGAGACTCGTTTAATATGGAGGCCAGTTCTTCACCAAAATACGCCCAGTCCTAAACGCCCAAACCCGAATGTTTCCCATCAAATGCTCAATATGCGTTGGAATCCTGGTCACAACAGCGACGAATAATTGCCACTCCCCTCCTTGCCGCCCGCTGTGATGTTCAGAGGAATACCTTCCTCGCTTCTCGGGGATGGCTTTCGCTAGGGCAGTAAGGGCACTTAAATCGACTCCCCTTGCACAGACGTTTGAGGGACTCCTCTGCGATCACATGCCCACAGGGCATCATCATCGGAGGGTTTTCGTCTGTGGTTTGTTCTTTGGACACGGGACAGACGAAGATGGAGTGGAATAAGTACGAGGGTGGAAGAGGGATTTCGACCTATACCGCAATTAGCGACGTGCAGCGACATGATGAGGATGTACTTTGCCTACCGGTAGCTCATTCTGCGATGTCCACTCTGTCCGCTTCGCCTTCATGATCGTTTGTAGCTTCAGTAATGTAGGAAGGGCGATTGCACCAGCAGTCGCGGCGATGTATAAGGGAGAGTCTGCCGAAAGTCCAAGCAACGAGCAGAACTCCCGCGTGAAAGATTGAGCCACATCAGCCCACGCTGACGGGTTGTTGAAGATGTTTTGATAAGGCGAGTCTTGGAGGTTTGGACAGAACGCCATTGCACCCATGAGCTGCTGGACCTCTCGCAGATAGCGGGGCAAGAAGACGTGGAACTCGCGCCGGGCGTATTCCAGAGCTGCCTGTCGCCCAGATGCAACGGGGGTCTGTGGGATCTGCCCGCCATGGAACAGCCAAACGAACTGCAGCCGGCACAGTTCGAATTCTAGATTACTGCCTCGGGCTTGTAGAATCTCTTTATTGTCCCTTGACCACTGGATTGCGGGGAGCAAATTGCTGTTTTCCTGCAGCTCGTGCAGGATGTAGTACATGGTGGCGAACTGTTTTCGGACCTCGTTCGAGGGAACTTCTTCGGGATTGAGGAGCGTCGCTGCATTCTCAGGTGAACTCGATTCGGGCCTCGGCTCTGGTAACCCCGTTTTTTTCTCTGTCATTTCGTTGAGGAACGTGGAGGCGACGGAAAATTGACCTTCCCGTAGAAGGTGCATGGCGATGGCTCGGTTGATGAGATTCTCGTGGGATGATAGGACGTCATGTTCGGTGCTTGGGAGGGGCCTGTCTTTGAAAAGCTAGGAGCTGTCAGTTGAGAGCCGAACCTGGCGATACGTAGCAAAGGGGCCTGCTACCTTATCTAGCGATTTCGAGTATTTGTTTAGACCGCTATGGGTCTCTTTGAGACTATCGTTGATTGTATCAAACGAGGATTTGACGGGGTTCTGCAGCTTGGCCAGGGTGATAGACGCCTGGCTCGGATCTAGGAAAGTACATTGGATCAACCAACTATCCTAACCACTTGGACGTACGAATCCGAAGGACATACCAGCTGCAATGGCATCCCGCGCAGACTGAAGAAGATCTATCGTAGATTGAACATTCTTGATCCCTTGGTTGGCCTTCAGTCTCTTGGACAGCCTCTCGTGCTCCTTCTGAACAAGGTCCATGGTGGCAAGCGGGACGTCTGAAAGCGGAGACCAAGTTACCGCTCTTTGTCAGGCGGGTTGGAAATAGCCATAAGGGAACTCCAGATCGATCAGCACTAGTATGAGAGGTGAAAACTTCTGATAGACGCAAATATGAAGAATCGACAAGAGAACTATCTCCACAGGGTCGGTGCCCGGGATCATCAATCAGGTGGGTGCATGAGAGAGCCTAAGTCCATCCGGCGGCCCATTACGCCATAGACAAGTCACGTGGACGATCAGTCCCGTTCCACATTGACCGACTCCGTTACCCCTCTCATCATATCACAGCTCTCTAGCCGTATCACAGCTCTCCAGCCAGTGAAGGAGTGAACAGTGCAGGGTTGGAGCAATCAATCACCATGTCTTGGAGGGTGTAATGGGGCCAAGATTGCTCATGGAAGGAGAGAATAATATGGCTCAAGTTGGAAGGTCAAGGTATCAATTGATCGGCCAGATGTAACTGCTCTGATTTCTTTTCTTTGTTAGCAGCCAGATTAATTCTTCCTAAGGCATTTTGGTCCTGAAGCATTGAACTTGTTTTTGTTATCCAAGTTGTCGTGTGACATGGTATAGACACACCCCTGTATGGTCGAGTTCTGACCCCCCCCCTAATCTGGCGTACACTGTACTTGATAAGGACTAGGGTACTTGAACTCGTGTCTAGCCGCTATATTCTGCCCTGTTATGGTGGCTGTAGATTGATAGGTATGAAAAAATAGTTATACAAGTGTACAAGTAAGAAATATCTATTAAAGAACAATTATCAATGTGACGGAACTCCTCAGTCAAGGCAGCCTAGACCTGGACCAGTCGAGTAGGCCGGAGACCTTGGCGGGAATTCACACCTCAGGCAATAAATTGGGCTTACCCATCATGAACCAGACATTGACCAATAAAACGCCGAGTGAACAGCCTCGCTTACGCTAGCGCCATGCGGGTGCCTTGGCAACACTATAAAAGGGGAGCACCCCCCACCCCCCTTTCAGAATTTTTTTCCTTTCTTTTCCCATCCTGGTGCAAGGGTTTTACACGTGTCAGTGAGGAGACATCCGAGACCGTGTTTTTGCTAGTTGAAAACTACCTAGTTTGACCACTCCAATTGGCCTTCGGGTCGGTTGGGAATTTTTGAATATAAATTGCCCTGGCTTGTATATATACAAGCCAGCCACAGCTCTCATTGAATTGGAGATGCTGGAAAGAAACTATTGGTCTTCTTTTCACTGCTGTTGTCATCCTTGTGGTGGCCTGTGGAGAAGAGTTGTTCAATAATCATCCTGCTATGCATAGTTATTTCATCAATCGTAGTACAGTAAGTATACTGTCAGTCCAGCGTCTCTGACGCGAGTGGACCGACGATGCTTGGGTTTCTGCCATAGATTGATAGAAATCCTCGCTTGATGGTCTATGTTTCAATACATGGTGGAGTGCTGGTTTTGGACATGGCTAAACTGTTACTGAAGCTTTTCAACGTAACATAGCTAGAAGTGTTGGCATCAGTTGTCGTCCCTACAGTAGATAACCCTGGCGATAGTACTGCAGCCATTTCAAGAAAGGTGATCCACAGTAGTCAGTTACAGTTAAATCGAGAAACGAAATGTCATTGTGTTGACAAGATACGATACAGATTCTGCCACTAGAAGGGTTGGCTTTCCATATAAGACCTTGTTTGGTACGCGTCTACCGTATAAACATGCCTCAGGTACAAATACCTCTGAGTGGATGATCGGCGCCTTCGATCTCTTCCTTCTCTGGACACCATACTTTGAACCTTGAAGTGCTTCATCCTTTAATCTTCCATATTTCTCCCGTTTCCCTCAATCTATCAATTGTCATCCACACCGTCCCTAGCATGGGCAGAATTGATTCCTTCGAATCGCTCATGTCCACTTCGTTACCAGGTCCATAGTGTCGATCAACCCTCCAATATCGGCCCATGATTCACCACCTCCACGGTACAGCGGACCGGCGTTGATAGCATTTGATTTTTTAGAGTCTTCAGCTTGATCTTACTGCAAAGATATTTTCCTCTTCAAGCAAGGATACCTGGCCTATTGGCTCGCTGGCATAGCGCACTATGGCTGCGTCAAACAGATCGTCCCGGAGAAAGACCTCGAACTCCTCAGCTGGTCGCAAAAAGCGTCGCTCAAAGCCGCGCCCTTGGCCCCCGGTTTCAGACGACCCGCTCGAAAAGGTATGTCGCGCAGATCTCTCATTCCCGACGAGCCCACATCGTTGCTCTTACATGCCGCTCCCGCAGCCGATGAGCTAACGCACCCGCTAGATCTGTTTCAAAAAAGAGCCCATCCCAGAGGGATATGTCTTCGTACCCAAAGGAGACGTCTACATTACTCGGAATTGCCGGGTTAAGACCAAAGAGTCTAAGCAAACGGTCTACGCAGTCTATGTAAGCCGACCAGTTCTGCGCCGTGAACGCCTTTCCGCCACGCAGCACTATCGATACTAACAGGCCACAGGACAAATCCAGTAAATGGTCGCTGGGTCTCCGCGTGCCGTCCGACATCTATGAAACGGTCTCCCAATCAGCGACCGAGACGGCGGATTCTCGCGCCTATGCTGTCAAGGTTCGCGATGAGCGGGATCAAGCGCACTCGCGGCAGCTTCTTCGCACCCAATTCCCGCTCATGCCTGAAGATTCCCTGGAGAAGATTCTCGATCATGCATTCCTCAAGGGCTCCGGCCGTGTGGGACGAACTGCGATGAAAACAGATGCGAAGAAGGCCAATCTTGCCGTTGAGGCTTACATTCGGCACAATTGCACTCCCTACGATGCCCTCCTCAATGACGGACTGGGACGTCTGGAGGCCAGGAAGGCCGTGTGGGACACGGTACGAGCTATCAAGGCTACGTGGGAGAGGAAATCCGTTGAGCCAGTGGATGTGGTGGACCTTCGGAGCCCGACACCGCCTGATTTGGATATGCAATCATCTGATGAGGACTGCCTAATGTCCTAGTTTAAGTGTGCACTTGGCCACGCCCCCCTAGGCGAAAGGTTGAATGGCTTTACGATGAATCGACATGGCGAATGAAAACCACGAGAGCGAATGCAGAAAGAGAATAATACTTCCGTCCATAACCACATATCACGGAAGGCTAAAATGGATCACCAACGGCCCAGGGCGCCGCAAAGCCCGACTGCGACCCCTGAAATACCGAATACGAATCGATTTGCGAAATTGTGGGAATTGAATTTGACAACAAACCAGGATTTGCATGCTCTGCGGACGCCCAGTGTCTGGCGTCGTCGCCGTCCAGCCCCAGCAGGTTAAGCAACGGGTCCGGCCAATCCGAGCTTCCGCTGGAACCTATCGGTGTCGCCGGCTCGGGCGTCCGTTCTTGTGTGGCCTTGATGAGGAGCTGAGTCACGACACGTGCTCCAGATGCAGCCATCTCGCTGACCTCGGCGAGCATCTGCAATCGACAGAGTGCCTGCTCCGCCGCTTGGAGTGCCTTGCCGCGCGTCAACCGTCCAGCCTTCACACCTAGAACCACGTTATTATCATCGCCTTGGTCAAAGGGGAAGTTCGCGTGGCTGCAGAGACCGAGCAGGAGCACGGCGGCCTCAAATGTGTTAAAGATGATGGCGGCAAAGCGCGTATGGGAGCCGCCAAACATGGCGTGCAGTGTCGTGACAGCGTCCAGCTCCGCGAGGGCTGCCAGGGCCAGCCGCCTCTTCTGCGACTGCAGCAACACCTGTTTGTACGGTGCGAGGCGGGCGGTCTGGGCGGGCTTGAGCAGCATTAGCGGGCGGAAGTTCCAACAGATGGAATCGAAGATGGCAATGTGGAGTAGCTGTCGCTGCATCGGTAGCTTGGGCAAACGCGCGTCCCACTGGGTGTCCGGCTCCAGTCCAAATGCGGGGGATACCGTCGGTAGGTATTCGGCACAGAATTTCTCATATCGTTGTTCGCCCTGCATGGGGTCGTACTCGACACTGCGTCGTGGTCCGAAGCTGCGCCAAAATCGACCTAACTGCACTTGCATAAGGCGCTCGGTGAAGACCTCCGGTGCGCTGGCGTCGGTGCCGATGTCTGGCACCAGACGCAGCTGGGGAAGGGCTTCTGCCACCAGATCATCGGGGAGAAACGGGACCCGATCCAACTGTCGAGATAGATGGCTGTCCAGGACGTAGAGACTACAGAGTGTCCTCCGCTCTATCTCGCTTTCCAAGTTCTGCCCGCCATCTGCCCCAGGAAGAAGGGCGTCGGTGTGAATGCCCGCTTTTTGGGCCGCGCGACTGGATGAGGCAATGCCCTCCCAGAATCGGTCGGTTCGGCCCTCGCACGAGAATTTGAGGGCGAGGAATAGAGTGTGTTGAACGCGTACTAGCGATCCCTTCCAATCAAGGGATAGGCAAGCTTGAGCGAGACTGGCCCCCACCTCGCTGCAGGTGTTGCTGATGTCCACGAGGGAAAGCCCGCCGATACGGTCCACTGTATGGGAAGGGGCAGGGAGAAACTGCGCGGCATACGAGCCGACGCGGAGAATCAGCACGGCAAACTCGGCATCGGCAACTGTAAACGGTTGGCCTTTGGTCCACCATTGCTGATACCGCGCTAGGAAGCTGGGAGCGTGGATGACCTGTTTCATCCTGATGACAGGCTCGATTAGCGGATTCTCGCTCAGACTCTTGACAGCTCGGAAATGCTCATACCAATTTAGCTCAGACACAAAATACTGCACGAGGAAGTCAAGCACTTGGCGATGGGGCATCCGACTGAGATCGCGCTTGATGCTTTGAAAGAGGCAGGCCGATGCATCGGTCTCGCTGCCATGGCTGTCACCATTACCATCCACGTTCCACTACACGAAGAAACTGGGGTTAGTTACACCAACACTCGCGGCGCCCGTCGCAATAATAATCAGCGGGGCATTTACCCTCCGGAGCAACGCCATGGTGTTGCTAGTGCTATCTTCAAAGTAACCAAATGATTGGGCGAGGGCTGAGCGTGGGCTGGACGAACCCTTTTTGGCTGCGTCCAGAACGATAGAGCACGGTCCACCGGGCTCGTGGACCCCGGCTTTATCTCTGGGCGGCCGCGCCGTCCCGAGCGCTTGTCCCTGCGCCTCGGCCCCAAGGGGCTGAGTCCGCGAGGATGGTCGCCCTACCGGAGGAGAACTATAGAGACATTCTTCCGGTCTTCGACGTTTTGTGCAATGATTGCATGGATACTGGCGGTTGCACTATTCGCCGGAAGAAGAGCGCACAGAAATAACAAAATTAGCCATACTTTCTATTTGTTGACGCTTTTTACGTGCCTTTTGTTTCCGCGTATGGCAAGGAATACACGTAGTGACCCGGCGTTTTCGGCCGTCGGGATGCATTGTCAGGGATTGTATCACAAAGGAGATGACGACCAGCAGTGATAGAACAAAGCCGTCTAACGCTTTCCCTCGAATTTGTGGTGTTATTGATAAGCTGAGAGGGGAGAATGCGTGGCTACCAGCTGTAGTCTCGTTCCCTCCGCGGCTTGCAAAGAGAGAAGAACTGGAATCCGGCTGGTAAGCACCAATCTAGTCCCTGCTCTTTTTTATCCATTGTTATTGGCGGTGTTTCGGCGAATCAACTACGGTGGTGTCGACCAAAGCTAAACCGAATCTTTCGTAGTACGCGAGCGCCCTCCCAGCCTATGAGGGTCTTATATTCGTGTCCCAGGATACACTAGCATGAATCATGGATAGATACAACAGCATGGGGCCTGAAAGCTTTCTGCCGCCCTTCTGCGGACAGGACACTTTCCCACGTATAGACCGAAGCAACAAGCAGAGGATCGTCAAGAATATAGTGCAGAAGAGCCTCGCGAGGCTCATTCGTTCGGTAAGGCCTTTGACCAATATCGGACTCAATCGTACCCTATTTCCTCTTCAAGGACAATAGAATATTGGACACTCGTCCGTATACAGCATCGGTGTCTCGCATATCCGTCCAACTGCTTCCTTTTCTATCACTCTTCATCAACATGGTACATTTCGATCCCTAAGTCCATGATATAATCATCTAACTCCCCAACCAATACTATTCGTTGCTTCGCAAATGGGCCGAGATCGCGTCGGGTATGAGAGCCGTCCGTGGGTCTGCATTACTTCGGCCGATGAATATCGGGTCAACCCAACCACCACGGTGTTAGTTGAGCTAAAGTCCGCCCATGATCTTGAATGATGTATGCTACTGTCGGTTTTTTATCCCTGTCTGAGATGATGATTTGGTTCTCATCGGTCGGGTTTAACGGATATAACCTCCTGTGATGGGGAGTCGGTCGGGTTGTATTCATGGTGAATCGTATATCATTCCTGGGGTGCCTCCTGATTAACCCAATCCGAGGAAAAAATACTCGCTCAAGCATGCGTCGTTGAAAGGTCAATGCTGCTTGAGACAGTCTTGTCCTTTTACCGGGTCATCTCCAAAATCTTCGTCACCAAGTCGCCCCCTTAACTCCACGGCATGGAGACCTCGACCTCTTCTTCGCCATCAGTCCACGAGAAAAAGGATCAAGAGACCTCTACAGTCTACCCTTCAACTATCGAACCCCTGGTGCCTCGAGACTCTCCGCTCCCTACCACCATCGACGAAAAGACCGGTGGACGGGACGATGCCACCGACGGTGACGTTCGCAAGGTTACCGGCTTTTGCTGGTTCCTCATCTGTGCCGCCCTCTACCTCTCGGCCTCGATGTACGGACTCGACACAACCATCGCCGCCGATGTGCAGGGGGCCGTCATCGAGACCTTCGGCGAGGTTTCGCAGTTGGCCTGGATCGGCGCTGGCTTCCCGCTGGGGTCGGTGGCGGTCATCCTGCCGTACGGATTTCTCTACACGACCTTCAACATGAAGTATCTGTACATCGCGGGTATTATACTCTTCCAGGCCGGGTCGGCCCTCTGTGGTGCCGCGCCCACAATGAATGCGCTGATCGTTGGCCGCGTGTTTGCCGGCGCCGGCGGCACAGGCATCTACCTGGGCGGCCTGAACCACTTCTCAGCTCTGACAATGCGACAAGAACGCGGCATCTATCTCACCGGCACGGGCTTTGTCTGGGGTCTGGGCGCCATTCTCGGCCCCGTTGTGGGCGGTGGCTTCTCCGACTCGTCGGCTACCTGGCGATGGGGGTTCTACATCAACCTCATCATCGGCGCCATCACAGCCCCCGTCTACCTCTTCTACCTGCCGCCCATTCACCCGGCCGCAGGCAAGCCCCTGAGGGACCGTCTCCTGCGACTCGACTACCTCGGCTTTGTCCTCAGCGCAGCTGCTTGGGTTACATTTACCATGGGGTTCATCTCGGCTGGCGGCGTGTGGGCCTGGCATGAAGGACGCACAATCGCCCTCCTCGTCGTCTTCGCCGTGCTCCTCGTCCTCTACGCCCTGCAGCAGTACCTATGTCTCTTCACCACGACCGCTACACGCTCCTTCCCCGGCCATCTGCTCCGCTCGCGCACGCAGATCCTGCTTTACATCACCACTACCTGCGCCAACACTGGGATGTTCTTCACAGCTTACTACATCCCCATCTACTTCCAGTTCACACAAAACGACAGCTCCCTAATGGCCGCCGTGCGGCTGCTCCCCTACCTATTAGTCACCATAACCTGCAACCTAGCCACAGGCTGGGCTCTACCCAAGGTGCAGTACTACATGCCGCTGTGTTTGATCTCAGGGGCACTGATGACCCTAGCCTCAGGGTTATTCGTCGGACTACTCTCACCCGATACCCCCACAGCACACATCTACGGTTTCACGATCCTCATGGCCATCGGCACCGGTATAACAATGCAGCTAGGCTACGCTGTCGCCAGCCTGAAGGTTCCCGCGTCGGACATCTTCAGCGCCATCAACCTGCAGAACGTCGCCCAGATCGGCGCCACCGTCCTCTGTCTCGTCATCGCCGGCCAGGTGTTCCAGTCGACGGCCGTACGGAACTTGACTAGCGTGCTGGCGGGACGCGGGTTCAGCGAAACGGAGATCCATGGCGCGGTGGCGGGGACACAGAGTGCGCTGTTTGAGAGCTTGAGGGGGGATGTGAGGGACGCTGCTGTCGGGGCCATCACAGCTGCTATGCGACGGGCGTTTGTCGTTCCGTTGGTGGCGGGGGGTGTGGGGTTGTTTAGCTCGTTGTTGATGAAGAGGGAGAGGTTGTTGAAGTAAGTGATATATTGGATTTGTCGGTTGTTCGAGGGTGTTGATTGTGGTATCTGAGGGGATGATAAGATAGACTGATGCGAGTCATGTCTTCTGCAGGCAGATGGCCTCTATATAGTATGTCCACGGCCAGCTCACAGTACCTTGAAAGTAGGGAAAGGGTTGTCTAGTTGGGAATGATCATTATCGCACATCTACAAAGAGCATAATGTACTATACGTTATTGTGATTATTGATCTTTTTTTTGTCTAATATATCAATAATTGATTTCTGCTAAAATTCGCTGGACCATTTGACACCACTGTTCATATATAATACACGACAAAAGTAAGACATGTAATGATTTGAGGGGGGAGATTCATTAAGCATATAGAGCGTAGATAAACTATCCAGTTAGTTCAGGATTGAGGTGTGTCAATATTCTAAGTATATACCCACTTTCAATGTATTGACCTCTGGCAGACAATTCAAGCCACCGAGTTAAGACTCGGATAGTCTGGCATCTTCCAGCCGCCCTCTTCTTCCGGCGCAAACCGCGCAAGAATGCTGGGAACGTGCAATAGGCAAAGCAGCCACACGATCCACTGGATAATAGCAACGCCCCACCGCGATTCGGGCATGAACAACCGGATGTAGGTGGGATTAATCTTCTGGACTTCGGTGATAAACGGCCTCAGCGTCTTGTCGTAGTTTTCCAGCGCCAGCGGCAGATTATCAGGGTTGCGGCTGATCTCGCCAGCGAGAACGTAAGCCCCGACGACACCGACCGTTGTCCCCATGCCGCTAAACGGCGAGGGACAGTATCCGGCATCGCCCAAGAGGACCACACGGTCCTTGTGCCATGTGTCGGTGCGGATCTGGACGCATTCATGGCAGAAGAAGTCGTCTGCGGTTTTCATTTCTTCGAGAAATCGGTCCATCTCCCACCCTGCGCCGCGGAACCTTTGCGCGAAGAACGCTTTTTGTTGCTCCACAGAGGCTTTTGATATACTGTGCAGCTCTGGGGAATCGTCCCGGAACATGAGGTAGACGCCTGTTTCGGATGATTCGGGGGATCGGCGGAAGATCAGTCGGCTGCCGGGACAGAAGTAGACATTTACCATGTTGTTGTCGGTCTCTCGCCGGGGGATGAAGAAGTAGGCGATGTAAATCCCCATTCGCCGGTACGGATCGGGCCCGTTTGGCGGTAGGATGGCTTTTCGAATGCGGGAGTTTTGGCCGTCTGCGCCGACCAGGAGATCGAAGGTGTCGGATGTGTTGTCTGAGAAGTGCACGGTCACCCCATTCCCATCTTGCTCGAAATGTTCGACGGACTTGCCGAATATGTATTGCACGTTGTCTTTGGTCGCGTCGTAGAGTGTGCGCACCATGTCTCCGCGCATAATTTCGTACTCGGACGTGAGCGTCTGGGCGCCTTGGCCTGATGTGTTCGCCATTGAGGTCGCAATTACCTCGCCCTGCGCATTCACGCAGCATGCGCCTCCTTCACCGACGCATGCGTCTCGGATGGTCTTGAGAAGCCCCATGCGTCGCACGGTCTCAATTCCCTGACCACGCAGGTCGATTTGAGCACCCTGGGCTCTGAGGACGGGGAAACGCTCGACGACGACGACTTGATGTCCGCTACGAGCAAGGAACAGGGCCAGGGCTGGGCCAGCGCAGCCGCCGCCGCAGATGAGGATTTTGAGAGGTGCCATGCCAGTGATTTCTGCTTGTGAAGTTCGGTTTGGGACGATATTAAGATTGTGAGGGATCACTCGTTATATATAGTAATCACCTTGTAATACTTTAGCCATCCTGAATAAACAGGCGATTAGGCGCCAATGCTTTATATAGTAGTCATGCTTCGGCCCTAAAATCCTGGCCGAAGCCCGAAGTCCGAGTCAACAGTCGGATTTTTACCCTAATAGAGACACCGTCGGGGTGCTGCAGACTTAACCTCAACGGGCGCCCGCGCATCCCGCATACTCCGTATAACACTCAATATTGTCATGGATGCATTATGATCCGCATGGTATTCAAAAGTCGGAGTTTGAAGCAGTTGTAGTTGCAGATGGAGAGAGAGTTGGCAGTTGCTTCACCGCTTGCTTTCCCGTCTTCAGGTGACGTAGGCAGCTCTTTTGATCGCTCTCTCTTGCAACAACCTTCCGATTCCTTCACTTCCCCCCCCCAAAACAACATGTCCCTCGCCGATTTTCCTCACCTGGTTCCTCCGATCCATATTTGAAGTTCTACACGCTTTGCTTTCTCTCGGAGATGCTATCGATCTTGTCTCCCTGGCGGATCGTACAAGAAGACCCCTGGAGGGTCCACAGTTGACTTTGCTTCTGAACCTAGCCCCCTGAGGACGACCGGGCCCATTGCCGAATTTCTTCTTTTCTTTCATGATATGACCTTTGAAGAGATTCTCTTGTGGCAGGCCCGCAGATAACCTGTTCCCCGACATGCCACAACCGACCGTTCCGACCAGCCCGCAGGCGGTTCCCTCGGCCGTAACTCGCGAACCAACAAGGACCTCCGCCGGCACCAAAGAAAGCATTCAGATTCCTCGCCAGGGCCACCAAAAACTGGTTTTCACCGATCCCATCGCCTTCCGCTACCTCGAGGAGGACCCGTCAACGTTCGTGTTGCACCGGCGCACGGTCATACAAGGCTACGAGATATATGTGGTGGAGCAGTGGGCGTGTTCTCGAATCCACCCGACCTTTATCATCACGACGTATACGGGAGAGCCGTCCCACAAGGTCGTGGTTGGCGTGCTGAGTGTTCCGACGGACGATTCGACATGGTCCCCGCGGCTGAAATTGTACTTCAACGCCGTCACACAGTGCCATGGACGGCAGAGGGAAACCCCGCTAGGAACACTGATCATCACGGATCTTAATTCATTTCCCTCAGCCTTGACGGTCATCCCGGTTCCCGATGGAGACGTCGTGCGGCATCGGCAGGACTTTGTTGTGAATGAGAATCTAAAGCGACTGAACTGTGCTGGCCGGGCCGGGTTGAAGTTACAGCGCCCGACGGCAGCGACCGAAGCCAAGTTCCACCTACTTTACCGCACCAGCGAGAGAGTGCCCCTATACAGTGCTGTCATCGAGTTGGTCAAGCAGTGCCAGATTGCCTTGATGATGTTTGGTGATTTGGCCCCGGCCTATGTAGATGGACTACTGTGTGATGTCACCGAGGTTGCCATCAATGACTGGTGGACAGACATGGGTATCGACTTGTACAACATCGAACCCAGCGACGGCGTGTTGGGCCCCACCACCGTTGCCGCCCTACTGGGGACCCTGATGGGCGCACGGAATCGGCTCCATGCGTTTGGGGCCCCGGTGGGTAAGGACGCCTTTGATATTTCGAACCTCAAACGAGGCATCTCGAGTTTCCAAAAGTCGCAGAAGATCCCACGGACACGAAGATTGGACCGTCAGACGTTGGACAGACTCCACCGAGTCACCGCCAAGGCAGCCAACCAGGAGGGCTGGACGGACACGGTGAAATCGACCATGGCGGAATTAGGCGGGCACGGTGGAGAGATGGTGATGGGTATGGTTCGCGGTCGAGAAAAGGGTGGCATTGCGGACATTGAAACCCTCGACGTGGACTATTTTGCGCAGCTGGTGACCGGGGCAAGGGCCAAGTGGCTCTGGAGAGGCAAGCCGCGCAAGGACGGGCTGGACAGTGCCTTTGCGATCGATTCCCCGGCAGACGATATGACGTTGGCGACTGGTGATCAGGGTGGCTATCTTTGGACGAGCTTCAAGCGACGGTCGAACGAGGACTTTGCTCCGGACCGCCTGCCCGGGGGGTCTGAATACCCATCAAAACCCCCGGAGCTCTCGCATGCCTCGGACGAAAAAGATCAGAATCTGGGCAGGATGATGCGACGGGGTGTCAGCGGGAAAGTGTCCGATGCGCGGATCGGCTTCGGCCGGTTTAAAGACGCGGTCGGATTTCGGTCCCATCCTCAAAAGCCACTGCGGGATGGCACCGAGGTTGTCGGCGACACGGTATATGACATGCCGGTGGAAAGCGATACAGAGGCGTCGCACTTGAAAGCCGTTGGCGATGGAAGCTACACCGAACTGGAGAGTATGCCTGGTCAAGAGGCACCGGTCAACGGGGCTGGTGATACCGTCGCCGAGCCAGCGCTGAATGTGCTTTTACCCAAATCGTCTGATGCAGGCCCCCCAGCAATCAAGGTGGAAACTGTAACAACCCCCGACGAACCACCGGAGCCCGCAAATCGACCGGATGACGAACCTCAGGACCTGGAACGCTGGAAGACGGTGTCCACCGACGTGTCGGTTGACAATCGCGAGCCGAACGAGTCTGCGATCATGTCCTTGCGGCGTCCGCAGAGCTGCAATGAAGTCCGGCGAGAAGTTGAACAGGAACGACCTAACGACCACTGGCCACGCCACTTGTCGTTCAGCACGGTCGAGGAGGTGGTCCTGGGGTGGGAAGACCTCGGAAACCGATCCCTTGACGAGAAACCCGATGCTCCCTTGGAGGAAGCGATCTTGCACGAGGAGACTCTAACGTCCGATGTGCGGATCTTCTACTCTCGACTCCAGGAGTTGGGCGGCGCTACCGTCCCGTGGGTCGAGAAACAAGTGGATTCCGTGGACGAGCTCAATCGGATCCTGCACGAAGACCATGAAAATATCAACGCGACGTACATGGACCGATTGGAGCGATACCAAAGCCTACGTGATCAATCGTGTGACATTCTCACGGAGGAGCACTCGGGCATCACGGATCGGATGCGCCAAGTGGAGCTGATCGGAGCCAAGTTGGATTACGAAGTCCACGCGCTGGAGTCGAAGGTCGAGGACGTGGAGACTGGTCTGACGGAGTTCGAGCGACACGTGAATGACATTGAAACCCGCATCAAGACGCTGGTTCGCAGCGACGAGGAGAAGCAGAACACCTCGTGGCTGGCCTGGTTGTCTAGGCTCGCCGGACTTTCGACACCATGAGATGACTGCGTTCATGTCATACATTTTTTGTATATCATTTCTAGTGTACATATATAATTCGAATCGACATCCGATATGCGCGCAATGAGCATACCACGCGCCTCATATCACACATATGACATTCCCTTTAAGGCCACCTAAAACCAACAGTAATGTATCGTATCGTGATTTGCACCCGCAGACCGATCTACAACGAAAAACCAACAAACCGAAAACCAACCGAGTGGAGACTCAAGCACAAGACAAGCAAGCAAGAGAGAAAAAAAAGAAGAGGGAAAAAAGAATACATTATACACTGGGCCCTCTATCGGTACAAGCCCACATCACCAAGAGAGAGAGGTTTTTACATCTGCATGCCCATACCTCCCTGTCTGCTGGCAGCATCGCCCTGCATCTTCTCGCTGACCTTGATGTTGACGTCGAAGAACTTGCCGACGCAGCGGTCGAGGCAGACGGACTCGCCCTTGTTCAGCTCGCCTTCGCGGTAGTCGTTGGGGATGCATTTCTTGGTGCAGGACTCGGTGAGACTGGAGATAATTTGTTAGCGGATGAGAAGTCCGAAAAGACGCTGCAATGGTATCACGGCGTGGGGGGAGGGCTACCGGTTGAACATGTCGGAGATCATCTCGACTTCGGTCTCTGCGGCAGCAATCTTCTCTGCCGAGGACAGCTTGGGGGGACCGCCGAAGAGGAAAGACATGGTGATTGGTGTAGGTGGAGTGGAGGAAGTTTGAAACTATGTTTCCTGTTAGTAGGTTGAATCTCCAGGCAGCTCCTAGGGACACAGAAGGACGGACAAGTGGATAGATAGATCGTGTATGCGTTGGAGGTGTCGGTATGATGAATGAGGTTGAAGTCGCAGTCTTTCTTTTTGGCAGTCCCTCACCGCCTTTTCACACCGCCTTGGCGGATTTTTCTGCGGCTTTTCGGTCAGTCTCCTTTTTTGTTCCGCACAACAACCTCTTGATTCTTTCTGGATTTTGAGGATGGGATGTGAGTTCCCTGCGTAGACCGTTTTTTTTTTTTCTTTACTTCACACTCTTTGCAATGATGTCTGTTCGCCCCCGGTGGGCGCTACAGCTGCGAGGGAATCTGCGAGTCAGGTAAGGCTTAATATCCCCTTTGTTACCTTGGCCCACCACACATTTTTCAAAGGATGAGTTATTCCCTACATCAGAACCGCTGCATTGAGTGCTTGCATCCAATGCAAGCTATGAAACTGAACGGAGTTTGCACCTCTCTGACCCATTTACTTCACTTCGATATTCATGCCCGCATACAATTGCTAGAAAACAATATGCTAATGTTTTTCGTCGTTCAGTGCAGGCATCTCCCACGTAAAACACTCTTTTCATGCGCAGCCTCTTCTGCGGCAGTCTCTCGCAACTGCCCAGACAAGGTGTAGCAGTACGGCGTCTCCGGAGAGAGCTTTCCAGGACCGGCTGCGGGAAGTCCAGAACGCCTACGCAGAGTCGTACCCTCGTTTGGCTTCCGACTCCCGGTCTGTGAGCTGCGCGGAGTTCCGCGAGCGGTACAACCAGCTAGCCAACAATGAAACAGTAGAAGACCAGTCGGTCATAGTGCACGGTAGGTCGTGCCCGGGACGGGCTCTACTACATTCGTCATTGTATATGTACTTAGATTAGTAGGAAGGATACGTACCTATAGACTTGCTGGAAGCAAATTGATATTCTTCGACTTGGTTCAAGATGGCCACAAGGTCCAGATCATGTGCAATCTCCGTCGACTCGAAGGGCTGTCGCGGGAGGAGTTTAAGAAACTGTACCGGCTTCTTCGCCGGGGTGATGCCTTTTGTATGTTCTCTCTTTCGTCTCGTCTCCTGCATCGCCCATCCAATCCCTAGGCTGAACGACCGCAATAGCTGTAACAGGTAGACCGCACCGAACCGGACGAGGCGAGCTCACGGTCGTGGCCACAGAGCTGCCCCAGCTCCTGGCCCCCTGCCTGCACGACGTGCCCCTCTATGCCACTGAACATGAACACTCGCCTTACCCTCGCCATGTCCAGTTCCTGGCGGATAAGACCGCGGCGGATACGATCAAGGCCCGATCGGCCATCATCCAATATCTCCGTCAGTTCTTCCTCGACCGATCCTTCATGGAAGTCGATACTCCCATCATCGGAGCAGTGGCTGGCGGCGCCATCGCCCGTCCATTCTATACAGCCGCGACGGAGTTTCCTGATCGGGAGCTGTCCCTGCGCATCGCGCCGGAGCTGTGGTTGAAGCGTCTGGTGATTGGCGGGTTTGACCGGGTGTTTGAGATTGGGCCTTCGTTTCGCAATGAAGGTAAGCTAAGGATCTGACCGATGCTGAAGTTGTGTAGGTGCTAACATGGGCCAGGAATTGATAAAACACATAACCCGGAATTCACCACCTGTGAATTCTACCACGCCTACGCCAACCTAGACGACCTGATGACCATCACAGAGAACCTCCTCTCAGGCCTAGCCTCTCACATCCACGCCCTCAACCAAGACAACACACTCACACCCACAACCGTGGACTTCACCGCCCCATTCCGCCGAATCGACTTCATCACCGGCATCGAGGAAAAGATCGGCCGCAAACTCCCCGATCTCGAATCCGCCGACGCCCTAGACCAAGTCAAACACATCTTCCACGACCTCTCCCTAACCCTCCCGGAGAACCCAACTCTCCCCCGACTCCTAGACGAGCTATGCGGCACCTACGTCGAACCAGACTGCATCAACCCAACCTTCATCGTCAACCCGCCCGAATGTCTCTCTCCACTCTCCAAGTCCTTCGTGCACCCGACTACAAGCCAGCGCGTTGCCGCACGCGGCGAGCTCTTCATCGAAGGCAAGGAGATGGTGAACACGTACGAGGAGGAGAACTCGCCATTCGAGCAGCGGCGCAAGTTCGAGGACCAGCTGCGGTATAGTCGCGATGCGAAGGAGCCCGGGGAGATCGATGAGAGCTACCTTGCGGCTTTGGAGTGGGGTCTCCCCTCTACCGGAGGCTGGGGGTGTGGCATTGATCGACTTTGTATGCTTTTTACGGGGACGAAGCGCATTGGGGATGTTTTGCCGTTTGGGAGTTTGAGGGCTGTGACGAGGAGGTCCTGAATGATATAGCTGGGTCTGTGTATACAGGCCCATATCCCATGATGTATAGATACTCTCGGAAATTTGTATTTTTAGATGAAATCCCTCTACCACTATATTCAGCCAGAGTTTTCGCTAGGAATGTATTTGATAGTATGGGTGCATGAAGAACATACCAAGATATAAATGCCAAGACTTGATCGCCGATCCAATCCAATTAACCGTCCTGATCAAACCCATGGACTCAAGAAATATACTCCGGACTTCGTCTACTGCCTACCACTGCAGAAACCAGTATCAATGTTCAAATCCATCGCCCGCACAATCCCAACCAGGCCCCTGCTGCGCCGTATCCCGCACACCCGGTCGCGGTCGATCGCAGACGGCGGCCTGCTATCCGGGTTCCTGCTCCCGCCAGTTCTCTTCGTCGGGCTGGGAGTCACGCTCTGGACGCAAAAATGTATAATGATGATTCTCTTTCAAAACAAGATCATCTACATGCCTAGTATTCCACCTCTGTCAAAATTCGAGACGGCGGATGATTACGCGGCTGAATGCCGTCCCGTCCGGTGGACAGAGGATTCGCTCGTCACGAAAGACCGCGTCCATATTTCTCTTTTGCTCGGAGAGATGCCAGATGAGGCTACGAAGACACCTCTAGAGGAAGTGGAGCATGTCGTCGTATTGTATTTCCAAGGGTTGGTCGTCCTCGCCCTCCACTCTCGGACATGGCCAAGCTAACAGGCCAGGAATGCATCATCCCTCCCCCCACGTCTCCCATTCCTATCCCAAGCACTGAAAAAGGCCAAACAGCCCCCTTCGCCCTCCCATCGAAAGATCACCATCGTAGGCGTCTCCTACAGAGGCTACTGGACCTCCAGCGGCCGGCCATCCCAGCGCGGCATCGAGATCGACGCCAAGGCGGCGCTCTCGTGGGCCCTCCACAAATACGCCCACCTGCCTCGTGTGAAGATCGTCCTCTGGGGACAGAGTATAGGTGCCGGTGTCGCGACGGGTCTAGCGGCGGATTACCGCGCGAATCCGGCTGAGTTCGCGACTGACGATTTACGCATCCCTATCAGTGGGCTTGTGCTTGAAACGCCTTTCACTTGCATGGAGGACCTCCTGCTGGCGTTTTATCCGCAGAAATGGCTGCCGTATCATTATCTGGGGCCGTTTTTGCGCTCGCATTGGGATAGTGTTCGTGCTGTGGAAAGGATTGCTGGTGTGGGCTTGGATGGAGAGACAGACACTCACACTCAGGATGGTCCCACTCCCCAAATCCTATTACTCGAGGGCGAAAAAGACGAAGTCGTCCCGGCAGGAAACGCAGAAATTCTAGAACGCCGCTGTCGCGAAGTGAATCTCGATGTACAGCGGAAGGTGATTCCCAGAGCGCTGCATTCGACCGTCATCATGGACACAACCGGCCAGCGTGCGGTGGCAGACTTTCTAAAAACGATTTAGGTATGTCCTTTTCGACCCTTTTGCCTCCCCCTTAATTAATTTATTGTAGTAGATAAGCCGGCCGTCCGTCGGTAAGCGCATGAATGGAGAGTCGGATTTCGGAGCGGGCCGTACGTTAGTTTGCGCGCTGCGTATAAAAGCACCAACGAAGTTCGTTTTTCGTGCGGGGAAGCAATTTCTTTCTCCATACTACTCTGGTCACTCTCAAGTGGGTTTTATCGATATGGGTTTGGATGATATTCCGCAGGCCCAAGCGGTCACTGTGAGCTTGAAGGAATTGACAGAGGGTATGCATCGTTCTTACTTCGTTTATTTAAATGTAGTTAGTACTGATGAGTGACAGGCTCCGTCTCGTTCGACACCCTCACCGAAGCTTTCGGTCCCTCCTCTCTGGGAATCATCGTTGTCAAGGACTTACCCGCTGAATTCGCGCGTCTGCGTGCGCAGGTCCTCTCCAATGCATCGTATCTCGCTGCTCTACCGGAGGAAGAACTCGGTATGCCATCACTCCCACCTGATGCATCCATATCCACCACCACTATCACAATTCCCATTCCTGAATATCACAGAGAAGAACAAATCTAACCCTCAAAGAATCCCTAACCTCCCCCCAAGCAAAATACCTCGTCGGCTGGTCCCGCGGCAAAGAAACCCTCCGATCCGGGCACTTCGACACCCTCAAAGGCTCCTACTACGTCAATTGCGCCTTCTACCAGGACCCGAACCTGCAGAGCGCCCCAGCAGCCGACTTTCCCGATTTCCCAGAGTACACAGCGCCGAACATCTGGCCGCCTGTGGACAAACTGCCCACTTTCAAAAGCAGCCTCGAAGAGCTATGCACGCTTATCATAGACACCGCGGCGCTTGTCGCGCGCGCTTGCGATCGCTTCGCCGTCGCTAATAACATCGAAGGCTACAAGGAGGGGTATCTTGAGCGGGTTGTTAAATCGAGCTTGACTACCAAGGCGCGACTCCTCCATTACTTCCCTTCTTCCACCACCTCCACCACCACCGCCCCAGACACCCAGGACAATAAAAAAGAAGAAGAAGAAGAAGGCGACGACGACTGGTGCGCAACCCACCTCGACCACGGCTGCCTAACAGGCCTCACCTCCGCAATGTTCATCAACGAATCCACCGCCTCCTTGACCCCCTCCACCACCTCCCCCCTCACCGAGCTGCCCACATCCCCAGACCCAAAAGCAGGCCTGTACATCCGGTCCCGCACAGGCGATATAGTCAAGGTCAACATCCCGCGCGACTGTCTCGCGTTCCAGACGGGCGAGGCGCTCCAGTTGATTACCCGTGGGCGGTTTAGGGCGGTGCCGCATTTCGTGAAGGGCGCGAGGGGAACGGGGGAGGGAGGGGAGGTGGCGAGGAATACGTTGGCGGTTTTTACGCAGCCGAATCTGGGGGAGGAGGTTGATGAGGGGGTGAGCTTTGGGGAGTTTGCGAGGGGGGTTGTTAAGAGGACTTATTGATTCTTTTCTTTGTGTCTTTCTTTATCTTTCGCTCTTTGTGGGTGGGTAGGTGGGCGGGCGTGTTTATCTTTTTTTTTTTCTTTGTACGATCTTCATAGCAAGTGACTGCTGTAGATGGGTGCTGCGAAGTTGATGCGACCATGATTGTTCTTTTTGTGTGAATCAGATATCGTGTCAGTTATGTACTTATGCACTGATTACATGCTACACCAGTAAAGGTCATGTCAAACATGTTTCGGCCGCTTCGACTCCGGCACCCAATCCCCCCCTTCACTCTCCTCAGTCCCACCCCGAAGCTGATCCAAACGCGCCACAAACTCCTCCTGGTCCTCTTCGTTCATCTCCTCTTCCCCCTCCTCCCCCTCGCCCTCCCCCTCATCCTCCCCATACATCCCCTGCCCAGACCCCTCCTCCGCCTCACTGACAGTATTACTCACGTCCGTGCCCCCCAACCCCGTACTAACCAACTTACTCAACTTCCCCACCTCCGCAAAGCTCGACTTCGGCTTCGACGGCCGTCCAGGATCACCCGGGATCTTCGCCATGCGCATATCGACCGGGTTCGCATCGCCGTCGATGATCTTCAGATTAGCCCGCCACATCTTAACGTCGCGTGTCTCGCTGTAATGGCCCACGTCCTCGCCGTTCAGCGAGTCTATTGCGAGCGTCTGCGTGCGGAAGTCGCCCCAGAACCACGTCTTACCCTCCGCAATGCGGTGATCTACCTGGCGGGAGTAGGCGCGCGCCTTAAGCACGCCTGCGACGTCGAGCGTGCAGTCCAGCGTGCCGAAGAGGAGCTGCAGTGCGTCGGGCTCGTAGCATCGCCCGATGATCATGTCCTGGGAGACGGTTATGGTTTTGCCTTCGTGTACGCGGTACCAGCTGCCGTGGTCCGTCATGCCGAGGGTTTGGAAGACGTCGGCGACTTGGTCTGGGTTTAGAGGCTGGGGGTGGATGTCGTGGCGGGATTTGGAGGCGTGTTTGGCGTAGACTTTGCCGGAGATGCGCACTTTGTATTCCTCTGCGAGTTGGGGGGAGGTGGGGTCTTCGATGCAGTTGGTTAGGTGGAGGTTGATGGTGTCGATGACCATTATATCTACCGATGGGGTGTGCAGGCGCACGGCGTCGCCGATGGCTAGGAGCTCTGCGCCGATGAAGATCCCGCGGCAGGAGATGGAGGCGTCAGGCCAGGTTCCTTGGAAGTGGTACTTGTCGAGGAGGCTGAAGGAGGACATGATGGTCATGGCGTATTCGATCGACGGGTGGAGCTGGGTTCGGGGGATGCCTTGTAAGAAGATCTCGTAGGCGTTGAACGGCTTGATGCATTTGAGAGGGACGTATCGGTAGTGGAGGGAATAGCTCTTGTCCATGCTGAGCGGGTCAGGGAAGGTCTCCACGCGAAACCCAGAGTAATTGATGCCTGAGGATTTAGGAGCTGTCTCTACCAGGTCTTGAAGCATGACCTCTTCCTCGGGGACCTGGCCGACGACGCCAGCCCGCCACTCGGGCGTTCCGTGGTACTGACCATCGGTAGGAGAGTAGATCTGGATGCTCTTCGTTGTCGGGTTCCACGCCAGTTCGCCCTCAAACCCAGTAGTCCAGAGAGCAAGCTCTCCAACTCGAGGGAGGTATGCGGGCTGCATGTCCAGTTTTTCAAGGTACTCATCCAGTCGGGGCCGCTCTGCTCTCCAATCCATACTGCTAGCCTCCTTGATCGCCGTGCTTAAGCTCCCACGCTTTCTGAGCTCTGCAACGGCCATCTTGAACACGTCTGGCGTCCCTTCCTTGTCGACAATACCAGGCTCTCCGGAGGTCATCGGTCGCCCCGGTGGTCTGCCGGGTGGTCTACCTACCGGTCTACCAGGAGGCCTACCAGCGGACTTCCGACTACCAGCAGGTCTCCCAGGGGGTCTCCCGACCGGTTTTGGAGACTCGGTCGATTTTGGAGTCGGTGTACCCATCGGCCTCCCCATCGGTCTTCCCGTCGGACGACCACGAGGTTTCCCGCCCCCTATACAACGGTTTAGATTTGTTGAACAATGGAATTAAAGGTTGAACTCACTTTGATCACGCTTTGCCATTTTCTCACACAGAAGACATTCGCAGGGACCAGCCCCGCCCGTCATGAGGTAATAGAAATGCGGAAAGAACTGAATAGTGGAATAAAAGTACGAGCCATACGGGTGGCCGTAGAGAAACCGATCACGGATGTCGGGATTAGTTCCGCGTGGGCGATCTATCAGAGCATATCCTTCTGGGAGTGTGTCGAGGACATATTTCATTCCTGGACAAGTCAATATGGACCAGTGGAATATGAGACAAAACCGCAAGATGTAAATCAGAGCAATTGATGGTAGAAGCTGGCTACGAGGGATCAAGCATGCAATCTACAATACAGTAGAAACCAGCAAAAATTATGCTGTCAAACAAGGTCGTTTGGATCATCCATATAAAACAGCTAGTATACGTACCTGGCTCTGCGGCTCCCGTCTTCTGCAACCATAACGAAGCCAGCTTCTCCCGATAAGTGTGATCATCTGGAAGTCCAAAACCCGGCCCCTTGGGCCAGGTGTTCTGGTCCCCGTCGCTAAACGTTTGATCAATGGGGATGACCATGAAGTTCTCATCGTCGCCCGACCCCGGGGAGGTGGACATGTTGACAATCGCAGCGAATGCTGTTTAAAGTGAGGGTTTAGAGAAGCGGCCTTCTTTGTCCTAGCGACAGTGAAGAGCTGGCATAATTGGACGGTAGGGATGAGAAAGAGAAAATGAGAACGAATACAGTGGAAAAAGAGACCGTCTCATCTGGAAATCCAGAATGCAAGATGGATGATGGAGAAAGTAGATCAAGATCATCCGTCCGGCGGTCTTGGCGCTCTTCTCACTGGACGAGGGTCATGTGATCACTGGCACATACTGCAAATGATGGGCACCAAGGCGAGAAAGAGTTTATACACAAAGAATAAATCAAATGGCTAAGATGTCTAGCTAAATAAATAGGGTATTCCCCGAGCAACAGTATCCAATCAGTCGGTCTCGGGCTGCAACTCAGCCACCACAGCCTGGCTGTCGTCCTCGGACTTCTCCACGTACGGCGGCGGCGCAATTTCACCATCCGCAGCCCACACCTTGTTGAGCTCGGTCTCAATCTCCTCGCGGCGCTGCTTCCACTCGTCCACCTTATCCAAACGCTGGCGCAGCTCCTGCAGTTCCCGCTCTACACCCAGCTTCTCCTTGGCGGTGCCGATCTGCTGGAACTCCCACTGGTCTCCGGCGGCGCCGAGGCCCAGGCTCAGGTTGTAGGTGTGGTACTTCTTGAGGGAGGCGCGGGTGGAGATGGTGATCACGGTGATGCCTCGGTCTTTGGCGCATTGGTACAGAAGGCCTTCGACGTCAGACGAGACCGCCGAGGTGCCCTCGTCGAGGAAGGCGTAACGCGGCTCGTGGTAGAATAACCGCGCCATGGCCATGCGTTGCTTCTCGCCGCCGCTGAAGACGTCCTTCCATTCTTTGCGGGCATCCCACCCGCCCTCGCGCGAGGGGAGATAACCTAGGTGGGCGTCGTCCAGGACCTTTTGCAGGTTCGCGTCTGTGAACCCGGCTTCGCGCATGTCGATCTCCGTGTGTGGGTAGATGACCTGGTCGCGGAGGGTTCCCACGCTGAGGTAGGGGCGCTGGGGAAGGAACATGATCCCGTCCAGGCCAAAGCCGCGCGGGCGGCTCACGAGTCCGCGGTAGACGGGCCAGAGTCCCGCGACGATCCGGGAAATCGCCGACTTGCCGACGCCGTTCGATCCCGAGATCAGGAGGTGGTCTCCGGAGTGCACGACGAATGACAACGACTCGAGGAGCTCGTCTCCACCCATAGGGTAAAGCGACGGGGCAACGATGGGAACTTGCTCCAGACGCACACCGTCGAAGCCGTTGTGAATGGTACCTTGCACATCAGCCAAGGAGTACAGCTCGGCGTGGGAATCCCGCGGCGGGTAATATGCGTCGGCATGCACACGGTGGAGTGTTGAGATGAGAGTATAGACTCGGGAGGTGTAACCAGCCAGTTCCGAAATGTCTTTGATACTGTACATCATCCGGCCGCCTGCATCTGCCAGGGACAGCATCAGGCGCTTATTAGTAATGAACTCTTTCATGCGCCCGCGCTCCCGGCCAATCTCCTGGGGCGCATCGATCATCTCCAGTGCACCACCCATGCCACCCCAGGCGGGCAGGAAGACCGGCAGAGAGCTGACCAGATAGCCAAAGGCAGACCAGGCGTATTTCAGAATCATATCCTCGATCATGTTGTATCGGATCTTGAGACTGTAGATCCTCTCCATCCACAATTGAAGATCCTTGAAGCTTCTCATGAGGAAAACGCGCTCGATGTCGGCCCCGCCGTAAAAGGAGATCTCCTCCGCATTAGCGAGCAGCCGCGAGTGTAGCCCTCGGAAGTCACCCTCCTTCTTTCCTTCGACCGCTTTCAGTTTCCCAAACGGCGGCGACAGCTTCCGCAAGACGACAGCGGTGCTGAAGTACGCCGAGAGCATTCCCGTCAGGGCCAACGGACCCAGAGAGCGATACAGTTGATAGTTAAAGACAAAGAGATCCACCAGAGGCTTGCCCATAGACGAGTAGAGAGACGCGGCGGCGGAGCAGAAGAGGGTGAGGTCCTGGGTGATGAACTGATCAGGGCCTTGACCGATGCCCCCATCCAAGTTCATCAACTGGTAGTAATTATCATCCTTGGTCAGATAGAGATCGTGGATATACCGCGTGAGGCGGGTTCGGAAGGCGATAGACACCTTGTGTTTAAGGAACTTGATCATCGCGTTGGTATAGGATGCAAGCGTCCCGATACCACACCACTTGACCACGCCCCATGAGAAGGATCGACCATTGCCTGCCACCAGGTCCCTGACAATCTCACCGTCCAGCCGCGCAATAAGCAGCGACAGGTATGTCCGGAGGAGCAAGAAAACGCCGTGTCCCATCAACAGTCCCGTTTCTTTGCTGCTCCAGCGAGGCACCATGATGCTCCCCAAACTAAGGAACTGGTGCAGGAAGGCCAGATTCAGACCCGGCTTGGTGGTCGGAGGCGGAATCTGACTCGCGGACTCGCCCTCACTCGTGCGGGCCGACCGGGGAGGATTCAAGAACAGTCTCCGGTGGGCATCGAAAGTGGTCAGTTTTGTTGGGGATATCTTGATTTTGGAAGTCGAGTCCCGATAAGGGACATAGATCGTCCGCGTCCCATCCTTCCCTCGGATCCCAGAATTTCGGCGGAGTAAGCGTCTCCCTTGGGCGCGCTCCTGGGACCTCGATCGCAGCCAGCTGTAACCGCCATAGCTCGACGAAACGATGGACAGGAACAGGGCGACTGTTGCGAGGAGCTTGGTTATCTTGGAGGAGCGGTCGAACCGGGAGCGAAGCAGTTTGGCGTAGTGGGAGAAGAGGGTCGCGAGAGGGTCCTCACGCGAGCGGAGTGTTGACTGGGCGGCCATTTCGAGGACCGATAGAGATAATTTTTGATATACCCTTCTGTCGTAGGTAAGGCCTCCGCCTCAGACTGAGTGCTCAAAGAGCCACCAACCCCCTAGAGCAGGGTGTCGGCCATGAGGGAGGCCTCCGAAAGGATACACAGGATATACTGAAGGAGGGGGAGGGGAATCGAGGGGTCACAGGTGAGACGAAACGCGTTGCAAGGATAGTATTCAGAAGTCAAGCTGGGTGAGTTGGCGACAGACAGAGTCAAGCATCTCCCGGGTGAGGAAGTTGTCGATCGGACAGTCCAGGGTCTGGGTGACGGCATCGCATGTGAACCTCGGCGTTCATAATGCGGAGGGACCAGCTCACGTGTATAGCCGGATGACTAACCACAGAGGTCATTCAGCGATCGGCTACATTGGGATGACTGTGGCCTTTTCACACTAAAATGGTAGAGATGATGCAGATATTTCCGTAAGGTATATAATATAAGCTCCGGGGGTTGGACTTCTATGGGGTTCGGGCATATTTGGCCTGTATACAAGCGGTGCTGATGTCATCATTCATTTTCTTGGGTAAGATCCGTCAGTCGAACAAACAAATAGTACCAGTATACGAGTGCAGCACAACGGACTTATCTATTCTACTACATTGTATACGCCATACTTCGAGCGATGCTCAACAGTAACTAGGTACAGACGAAAATGAAACTCACAGAGCCAAGTGTGATAGTACACAGGCTGCTCTGGGGAAAGATGTCGCGAGGCCGAGGCTGACAAGACCATTGGTTGTGGTTCCCCGGTAAGCGCCCGGTTGCCAGAACGGTCCAACAGTGGAGGAGTCAGGAGGGCCGACCCCCAGGTTATTGCCTTAGTGTCTTGAATAGAGGCCCGGGAAGAACAACCATTCGTGGGCCCTATGAAAATATTTGTCCTTGTGAGATCATCCTAAGCCCTCCTTGGAGTATGATTTCCTGCCATCCCCGGTACTACTCCGGGGATATCATTGTCAAATCAGGTGTCATCTGGGGTCGTCGCGTAATGGCTGATTCCTCGTACAATATGGTTACAACCAGTACGATACCAACCGATCCTATGAGGGTATGCAAGACCGGTGTAAATCTATGCACCATGAAATGACAGGATCTATCGATTACAAACACAAGCCAAGAAAGACAATCGCTTACCCGTAGAGGGTGAGTTCGTTCCTGTCCACGGTCTGATCTCGGGTTCCACGGGTGGCACTAGGGTCACAGCACGAGGCCCCGCCCTTATGCGGCCCATCTCCCGCCGAAGGGCAAACTTCTCGACAGGGTAGGAGATGAGAGTCTAAGCGATGCAGCTGGCAAGCGGCAACGAAAGGGGGGTTTTACCGGCCCTGACCTTGCAATGCAATGAAAATCAGTATCTGACTCTGCGCACCGGAGCAGCGGTTACGCATTTCAAGCATTTGGTTTCCCTGTCACCGATTGACTGTTCCCCCACATTATTGAAGGCATTGGAATGCTCTGGTGTCGAACTCTAGCAATGTCTGAACCACAGTCACGCTGGAGGGAAGGACGGAGGATCCCGTCACAGCAACGGGAGCTTGTTTGGCGTGACATTCCCGAGGACGCACAGCGTGATACAGGATAATTGATACGGGGTGGTGGGCAACTAGTGCGCCTGGGCGGGTCGGCCATGATCTCTTCCATCATCGGTCGACGGGAATCTCATCAAACGAGCGCCTTCTTTGCTTGAGAGCTCTGCACGGGCCCCCGAAGTCCTTCGCGGTTCCGCTTTGTGAGATATGAACTGATTTTCCCTCACGACAGAAGCTGGAGCCCAAATCAGATCGCCTGTCTGAGGAATACCGGATGATGGTGGAGAGTGGTATGGGGGCAGGCAAATCAATAGCGACGGAAAAAGTGGGTCACCAAAAAAAAGGGCAGACGGGGCGGTTTCCCATCTCCCTCCAATGAGAAGGGGCAAAACAGCGATAAACCCCATCCGCAGCAGGCGCGGACCCATAGGGCACACGGCTTGGTCGTATTTAGACTGGGGAATCACGGTGATGGGTGATTGAGTCGAGAAGGTCTGGACAAATAGGAGGTCAAGATGGCGGAATATTGTGAGGAGCTAGGATACCTTAATACTAGGATCTTGAGCCAGATGGTTAGAATCAGATCCCGTTGTGCTGAAAATAGCAATGATCGCCTCAATAGCTGTAATCTTGACAGGCCTGGTAATGGCGGATCACCCGTCACCTGAAGTAATTATAGTAAACTCCAGATATCGTCACGGGTGGAAGGGGGGGGGGAGAAGATGGAGGGCGGATGATCATCCTGATGATATACCTTGTCTTATCAGTTGGACCAGAGGAACGAAAGATTGCAGACTATATAGTCAGGCAAAGAAAGGGAAACCGATCCTGAAGTTGAGGGAGGGTAGTGCAGCCATCCATCCCACCCAATATTAGAAGAAATCAATAAGATAAATCGATCAAAATAAACCACTGGGAAGAGTCTCACGCCAAGCTTGTTTGCATTAATCTTCGATGTTGCATCAAGTTATCAACCCGGACACTATTCGTAATTTACATCAGCAGGCTACTCTGTGCCCCTGTGTTTGGTATCACCTGGTAACATTGATACATACGACCTGGTAGAGACTGTTCCGATAGATAAACATAGACATGTTCTTCTTCCTTTTTGATTATTACAGATGAACTCTTCGTATTGGTGTTGTTCATTGTCTCTCCACCAAAATATACGTCCTGGTCTCTCCTGGTAAACCAAAATACCAGGGAAAAACTCCGTGGGACTCCAAGCGCCTGACCCACTTGACTCTGTCTTGCAGCCCTGGGTCCAAGTCTAGACTTGTAACCTGGGTATGTATTTCCCTTTCATATCTTAGTGTCAATACAACAAGACAGTGGTACATAACATAGTTAGTTGTAGACATCTACATGACTCAAGACACCAAAGTATGCTCCTTTGTAGAATAACACCAAGGGGAATGATATTGAAAGGGAGGATTGGATATAGATCATCTTTCATTCTTCCTTCTCCCTCCAAGATTTCTACTTCCTCCCTTGTGTTTCGCAACCATTTCACAGGGCTAGTTGAGGAGGAATAACCATTAGTAACCACTCCATACCGGGCCTTCCTCCTTTTGCCCTTCTTTCCTTTCCCCTCTTCCTTTTTTGACATTGGAAGAAGTCTAAAGAGGGGAGAATATCATCCACGCAATAATACAATACCACTCAACACCTGATGAGATCCTATTACTTTCCTTCTCATCTCGCTCTGCCCGCTGACTGGCAATACCCACCAGACCAGGAATACCCACTGGAACGAAAATTACCACAGTACCAAACGGAATTTCACCACCCCAGGAACCGCCACGTGACCGTCCCCCCTCGAGCCAAATCGCCCCCCAGTCTCTTTTGACTCTTGACAGTCCTGAGTCTTTCCCCAAGTCTGGATTTGCGGCGTTGCTCTTTTTACGCCGAACAACCACGATCTTTTATTCCCGAACTGGATTCATTCCACCTTATCTTCCACCTCCTCCCCCCCCCCCCCTTCTCTTGATCGGTCCCTTTTCCTTTCCTCCCCTGGTGACTGTTTCTCCAACTCTCTCCAGTTGATCTCTCGGTTTTCCATGTGTTGTTAAACAGTTGATTATCCCTCTTGTTGTCTGGTGACCATCTGGGCTAATCGATATCCTGCCCTGTACACATTCGAGCCCCCCCCCCCAAATTGCGACTCAACACCACTCCTTCCTTCCCCCCAACACACTCTCTCTCTTCCTCAACTCACAGCCGTCGCATCTTCTTACCGGTCTATTTTCAAAGAACACAAAGGCCAAGAGAGTAGGCAGTGGGAGTGCTGGGCACTAGCCTCAATTCAGGCGGTGGTCCGGGAGCCAGAATCTCCTGCTGTGGACTAGACTAGTACAGGACCTAGTGCCTACTTACCACGACTAGCAGCTTAAGCCAGAGCAATCGACCGCCCTTCCAACCCCCCAACTCCTCATCCAGGAGGTGCGACTTGAGCTCGCTCTACTTTCGAGCCCGCCCCATCTTTTATTTCTTTTTCTTTGGTGGATTCCCGGCAGTCTCCTACCTCGTGCGCTTTTCCCCTCTGTGCCACTACATTCCAACCTTTTGAGGACCGTCTTGTCTTCGCGTGAACCTCGCTCTGCACCCTCCATGCCCCGAGGGACCTCAGAGCGGGATTCGGTACCATTCAACCCTCATCCGGCCGTCCAAGAAGCGCCCATGCCTGTCGCGACGGGCCCACCCGTATCAAGTAAGCTCCTCGTCCCTTCACCATCAACCCCCCCTATCCTCGCGCCCGACGCCCGCTAATACATCTGCTCTTTTAGCTCCTGAATCGGGACCGCAGGAAAATGATACCCACGCGAGTGCGTCGCCGCCGTCAAAGTTGTTAGAGACGCCTGCGGACCCGGCTCAGAACCCCGAGGGTGCGTCCACTTCCAGTGGCGCCGGCAACTCCAGGAGACATCTACTGTTACCCATCTCGTCGCGGGTGTCTTTGAGAGCCGATCGTCAATCCACGCCCGACCAATCGCAGGATGGGACCCACGACGATTCCGAGAACACGCTGCGTGGCTCGCGGAGGAGTATCTTAAAGGGCCACCGCGATCGAAGCCGGGGAAGTAGCATGCGATCCCGGCGGCAGAACCAGGAGGAGGCCAGCGTGGAGGAAAATAAAGCCACGGCGACTCCCGAGTTGCGCGATGCGTCGGCCGAGCGAAAAAGCAAGGTATCCTACCGGATTTTCGCCTTCCTGAGCTGCTGCTCGTCCAATGTCGATTCGGAGGACAATGCGATTCCGGCGAAGATGAAGACGCCGCCGCCGCGACAGCCATCGGTTCCTCACACCCAGCCCACGCCCGAGAAGGTTGAGACCAACGCGGGCGACGCCAGCACGGCCGAGTCCAAAGAACAAAGTTACTTCAGAGACGAAAAGCCCAAGTCAACCGTGACACCAGATCAGCCACCGTCTCCGGTGGTGGAGGAAGCGTCTGCCGATGGCCCCGACCGCGGATCGCAGCTGGACGGCGCGGCATCCACGCCGAACCCGCCGGAATCAACGCAGTCTCCCACCCCGAATCAAAAGGACGTGACTGTGGTGCCCGGGTTAGAAGAGGTCCCCCCTCCCCCTAGCACCGCAGCGGTCGAGAAGCCTGAAGAACAGCCTCAGGATCTCGCCGCCTTCCCGGGGCCACCACGGAACGGGGAGAGCACTCCCGTCGGCGTGCATGCGACGCCCGATGATGAAGAGGTCGGTCCTAAGGATGAAGTGAACTATCCAGTGCACAATGAAGACCAGACACAGACCGAGCTACCTCCCCCTCCGCCGCCACCGCTAGGCCCTCCGGGCAAGCAAGCGCTCGTGCAGGAGCGGTCTCACTTTCTGCTGCCTCCCGCGCTTCCTCACCTGCGGGATCGAAAATGTCTAGTACTGGATCTCGATGAAACCCTAGTCCATAGTAGTTTCAAGGTAGGCTCCGTATCTCGTGACCGTCTCGAATACCCGACTAATCACCGGCAGCAGGTCCTCGAACGTGCTGATTTTACCATCCCCGTTGAGATTGAGGGGCAGTACCACAACATCTATGTGATCAAACGGCCTGGCGTCGACCAGTTTATGAAGCGAGTCGGAGAGTTGTACGAGGTGGTCGTGTTCACGGCGTCTGTCTCCAAGGTGCGTATCTGGCTTCAATAGTGGGGTCTCTTGGATCCTTGCTAACATCTTCTAGTACGGTGATCCTCTGTTGGATCAATTGGATATCCACCAAGTCGTCCACCACCGGTTATTCCGCGACAGTTGCTACAATCACCAGGGCAACTATGTCAAGGTTCGTCGCTCGAGTGTCACTCTGATTATCGATTGATCATAGATTGTTGACTCTTTGCTTCCCTAGGATCTCTCCCAAGTTGGCCGCGAACTTCGAGACACCATCATCATCGACAACTCCCCTACGTCCTACATATTCCACCCCCAACATGCGATACCCATCAGCAGCTGGTTCTCTGACGCCCACGATAATGAGCTTCTCGACCTCATTCCTGTCCTCGAAGACCTTGCCGGTTCGCAAGTGAAAGACGTTAGTCTGGTTCTTGACATTGCATTGTAATGTCTGTAACTCTAGCATGTCTGGCATTTCCACACAGCGTTTTTGATTTGAATACTTCTCCCCTACATGCACAGCCCGGATCTTAGAGGCATTTCTTCCCTTTCCTTTGTTCGACTACTGGATCTGTCGGCCTCACCCTGTTGGGTAAGCGTGCGATCGACAGCGACGTCTGAGTGTATGTGTCCTACTTCTTCTCCCATTCCTCTGTGATAGCCATGTTTCTTTTTTCCTTTTTTCTTTCTGCCCACGCTCCCAGCGAGCCGATACCTCGATTCCCTTTTGATTTTGTTGTTCATTCCCCATCCCTGGCCATTCCCCCTTCCAGTTCTGCTTCTCTTGTGTTCTCCTTTTCTTTCTTTTTTTCCCTTCTTGCATCCCGCAGGCGTCTGTCTTGGCCCCTAGCCAAAATTCTTCTGATATCATGTATACACGCGTGATTTACTCTCTTTTGATTCTCATCTGTCCTTTTTTATTTTCTTCCTTCCCCCTTTGTTTTATTTCCCCTGAGTGGGACCGAATCACCCTGAGCGGCTTGAACTACAATCCAAGATTTCCTTCTCAGTATTTGTGATCACTATCCAAAACCCATTGTGTTTTTTCTTTCCTCGATCTGCACAACTCGATTTGTTAGGAGTGTTCCCTGCAAGGGAGTATTTGCCCCTGTGACCTCCACCCACCTCTTCCCGTAACTCCTAACCAACCACCTCGGATGTAGCCATCGCGGCAGAATTCGCACGATCACCGAATGTACATGTATAGTAGTACAACTTGAATCCAAAACCCAGTATTCCATATCAAGTTGGCACACTGTTCTGCTCATAACACACAAGAATGAGATGGTGCAAAATGCGGCACCATATAAATCACCATTCAACCTGCGGTCAGCAAAAGCGATAGGCTAGTTATCTCTACGTCAGCTTAGTAGGTAAATAGGTGCAGTGGGAAACGTGGGAAACAAAACCCCGCGGTCGAACATAAGTATGATTCAAGAGGGAAAACGAATGGCCAAGCCGCACAAGCATCAGGATCAGAGACGTCTACATCTTTCTCCTCCGAGAGCCTTGAGCAGTAACTCCGAGTATATGTAAGAGTCAGTAGATAGTGAGTATTATTCCAACGTCATGCTCACTTTTCAGTATAGACAACATAGACCAGGTCAAGTCTCCGACCAATGAACGGTCTATCTGGAGTACAGGATTCGAGCCTGTTGCTTCTTCGTGTAGACCGTGGTCAGGCCTCCTTCTGACTCTCACTTCGGACCTCTCCAGAGTGCAGATGTCAAACATGTTACTTCTTATCTGGTATAGACCTAGATCAGGCCTCCTATAAGCAAAGGCCTTCTTGAATGCAAGTTTCGAACCTGTTGTGTCTTAGCATAGAGACCAAGATCAAGTCCCCGACAAATCAAAGGCATCCTCGGAGCTGGTCAGGTAACTCACCACTCGGTCATCGCGCTTCATGTCACATTCTCTATGATCTATGTACTAAGGCATATAGGCAGTGGACATGAAGATATATAAACAGACAGAAACCCACAGTCTTTCTCCTAAAAATCACACCTTCAACCAACTCCCTCCTCTCAATACTTACCTCTACAATCCAACCTTTCCACACCAATCCCCACCATGCAATTCTCCAAAATCCTCGCCGTAGTCGTCCTGCCCGTTTCCATGGTCCTCGCTGTCCCCGTGGACCAGGAGAGCACCGGCCTCGAAGCGCGAGGCTGCAAGTGGAAAAACTGCGACGAATGCCATGAGAGAGACGAGTACTGTGTTTTCTGCGACAATGGCGGTGGTATTGGTGTCTCTTGCGCCGTTTGGTTTGTCTTACACTTTTCCATGACCCAAGCTTGTCTTGCGATAGCGAGTAGTATCTCTGACTTCAAGTTTTCTATATAGCCTATCTCACTGTGCTCCTTGCTGCTGAGTAGAGTGGCTGATACGGGGGCTTTGGTATGGACTTACCACCTATTTCCGTGAGGGAGATACAATCGGCTTACGGTGGCCAAAGCCCTACCTAACCTTGTCGGCATTGTTAGTACAGGGAAGATAAGAGGAGGATTCTTTTCTGTTATCTGACGGACTGGAAAGTTCTTACCTTGGTTGTTGACTTGTTATCCGTGTCTGTCTTTGTCTACACTCTTTAGTACATCTGAAATTACTCTTTATACTTGCTTAGCACTGATCATAACTGCCAATGTATTGTGCCTAGGAAAGTGTTCTATTCATAGTAAATTATTAGCCCATACTTTCGCTATTGTAGATTGCAGAATAAGCTTGTCATGCTTGCACTTCTAACAGGCATTTTCCAGGTAAGAGTATGTTAGGCAGCAGTCTTGAGAATCAGATGATATTAGAGCTGCGGCAGTCATCGACACCGCAGGCTTATTTAGCCATGCTAACTCAACTAACCCACCCCTAAGTCGCTCACACCCCGCAAACTCATGCAGGGCCCCCCGAGAGCGGGGGGCAGCGTCCCCGCGGGTCCGCCCACGATCTAAGCGGGGGTCGATGACCTACAGTAGTGGCAAGTCACCCGGGAGGTCTACTGGTTAGGTTGGGGGTCTTGATTGGAAGAGTCGCAAGTTTGAATCCTGTTGATTTTATACAGATACATCAAAAGGAATCTTAGGTCTCTTTCGAAGATTTACGCTGTTGCAATAAAGACATATTAGATTAAAAGTCCCTTTAACACATCTGTCCCCGTTTAGCTGGTCAGTTTGAACCATATATATATATACTCCGCGTGCTATGACGTTTGCGTATAGAATCTACTATCTAGCTACATGAGAATATCTCAATCCATCTGAGAAAAACTCATATAGTCAAGGGAAAACGGGTTATAAACATCAAGTATCTCTTCAACATATTTTAACAGAATAATATCACAAATTCGAAAGTCTTATAAAAATAAGTACATTTGCCTGGATGGTACTCACCGCCCGGACCAAACTCCGAGCATGGCTATCTGGACCCCCTCCAACGTCAGCTAACTAGCCCACCTACTGCCGCGAGGAGCTTTCCCCCGCATCGCATCGCATCGCACCACCACATCGAACCCCGCCAGTTGAACTACGCAACAGACGTTACGAACGGACAAATCAAGCCCTACGCAAAAAGGAAAAGAGAAGAACAAAATGAAAGACAGCAAAGGATGGGACGGCAAGCTGCGCGTCGGCGACGGCCCCAAAGCGATCATCACCAACCCCGAAGCCCTGGAAGACCCCGATTACTCGGATGAGGATGCGCCGCCTGTGGAGGAGATAGAGGCTGATGAGGGTAGGTTGTTATTGTTTTCTCCTAGAATAGGATTGAATGGAGGGGAAGTGGGGTTTGAGGGTTTGTTCTGACGCGCGAAATTTTGGTAGACTTGTTGGTGGATGAGGATGTTGATACTGAGGTACGATCACTGGTCTCCTGGGTTTTGGCTCGCGGGCTGTATAGGGCTTCAAAAATGAGGCGTTTGAAAAACTTTGTGCTGATGAGAGCAGGAAATCGATTTGGTACATTTTCGCATTAGCTCCATTGCTGCGTTGCGGTTGGAGAGGTTTTCCAAGGTCAAGGTTAGTCTCTCTTTTCTTTGTTCTCTTTGAGTTGTACTCTCTTTACATGCACCCACTTCACTGGTTGGTCTATGTGCAGTTGGGCTGACTTTGCAAGCGTCTCTGTCTCCGACAAAATCAAATCCAACGGATCGCGTTCCCCACCAACGTCGCGCAGTCGCTCGTCGAACTCGACCTCTACGATAACCTCATCGGCCACGTCAAAGGCCTCGACGAATTCACAGATCTGAAGAGTCTCGATCTCAGTTTCAACAAGATCAAGCATATCAAGAACGTGTCGCACCTTACAAAGCTGACGGACCTGTACTTCGTGCAAAACAAGATCTCGACGATCGAGGGGCTGGAGGGGCTGACGGAGTTGAGGAATTTGGAGCTGGGCGCGAATCGCATTCGAGTATGCTGCTCGTCCCTGGTATAGAAGAGACTATGCTGACGGGTTAGGAAATCGAAAACCTCGACTCGCTTAAGTCCCTAGAAGAGCTGTGGCTGGGGAAGAATAAGATTACTGAACTCAAGGTACTCCCTTCCCTTCCCTTATCCCAGCCTAGTGCGCAAAGGAATACTAATCGAATAGAACCTGGACTCTCTACCAAACCTCCGCATCCTCTCCATCCAATCGAACCGGCTCACCAGTTTGCAAGGGCTCTCCAAACTGCCCAATTTGGAAGAACTATACGTCTCGCACAATGCCATCACCGACCTCAGCGGCCTGGACGCCAACTCCTCGCTGCGCGTCCTCGACATCTCCAACAACCAGATCTCCAAACTAGAGGGACTGTCGCACCTGACGCAGCTGGAGGAGCTGTGGGCGTCGAACTGCCAGCTGGCGAACTTCGACGAAGTGGAGCGCGAGCTGCGCGACAAGGAAAAGCTGGAGACGGTGTACTTCGAAGGAAACCCGTTACAGATGCGGGGACCGGCTGTCTACCGGAACAAGGTGCGGTTGGCTATACCGCATATCAAGCAGATTGACGCGAGTACGTTTCCCCATCCGGTTCTTGAACAAACATGAGCTAACCTGGGACTACTAGCCTATGTACGAGTTTAACCCGGCAAATTGGACCGAAAGAGAGAAAAAGGCAGGACTGGAATCAAGCATTTTACACGTAGGCATCTACATTAATGATATAATGACATATCTATACAATCAACAAGTAAGGGTATCAAACGTAACAGCATCAACAACAACAATACCAATAACCAAAACCACCCAATCTAACCACACACCAACCAACCCTACCCACCCCAAGGGAATAGACATCCTCTAGGAAGAAGCAGAACCATACTCCCCAACAGCCCGACCCGACCCGTCCCCAGAAGAGTCGAGACCCTCCCGATAAAGCTCCAGAAGGCTCGCCCCTCCCAACCTCTCCACCTCCCCCATAACAGCCCTCTTCACCCTCCCACTCTCCCCCTTCTTCCTCGGCCCCGGCTCATCCGCCAACGCCGCGAGCGGCACCCCCGTATTGCGCATTAGATCCACATGCTGCGGGCAGCGCTCCTCCACGCGAAAGGCCGTATGGAACGGGTTCCGACGCAGCGAGGACTCGTGGTTGTGTCGGGAGGGTTGGAGCGTGCATGTTAGGGTTGTTTGCTCTGGTTTTGCTTGTGGGGAGGAGACCGCGGGATTGGATGAGACGGGAGAAGAAGTATGAATGATGGGGACTTGGATCGGCGAGGCTTGGAGAGCGGTTTGTGCGGCGGTGGGGGAGTCGAAGATGGCGAGGGTTGTGCCTGTTTGCGTGGTGGTCTTGTTGGTGTTTGTTGTGTCGTACTTTTCACTCTCCATTAGATTGTGCCTTTGTATATTTTACACAGAGAGAAGAAGTTGGGAAGAAAGAGAGAGATACCTTTAAATTGCGAAAAGTAACCACTTCTCCGAATCGCTGCAGCGCGGCGAGGATGAGACGGCTTTCGGCGAGCGTGCGCGGAGACGGCGACGTGGTGATGTGGATTGATTGGGGGGCGAGACGGGTCATTCTCTTTCTTGGTTTGTTCTTTGGTTTTCTCTTTGACTTGTTGATGTTGTCTTGTTGACTTAAATGGGTGGATTGGAGAATTTGGATGGAGTGCGGAGGATTGGAGATGTCTTGGCGTTTCGCTATCGCAGATAGGGTCAGGTGACTTCGAGGTATATACTACACTAATATACATACAAACATACGATATAACTAGACAAAGTTTTATACTTACCTTATTCAATAATAATTATTGGGTATTTCAGGAACCTGCCTCGATCAAGGGTTTGTTGGGGGCCGGGTTGTTGTCTGACAAGATCGTGTGCGGGCACGCATCAGCCGAATAAAGTCGAGTCAATATGCTTAATGAGTTGGCGTGGATTATTGCCATTGTAGCACACAGTAAGTATCTCTCAATGACCGTTACACCAAACCGTTGATCAACGTTTGGTATAGGCCTTAACCTGACTGATATACCCCACAGTATCTTGATGTGGCTGCAATACATTAGCAGGTGGACGTCATTCTCTTCTTCGAAAGTAGCCTCCTGTCCGAGCAGACACAGGTAGCTCGGGTGGCTGGGTGTTACCTTCGCCACTCGACCTCCATAGTAACTGTGCCTGTTCACACCATCGAAAGTGGCCCAGAAAGCCGTCTTGCACATATACTTTGTCTCGAGCGTCGTACCCCCATTTTGTACCCCTGGTGCCGATGATTTCTTTCTCAATGGCAAGTTGGCACCCGGCACATGAAACTCCGTGCTCAACGCTGCCAGTTTCCTTGTCGTAATAGGGGAGTGCACATGATCCCATGAAGTTGAACTTCTGATCTCGGTCCGAGCTCCCTGGTTGGACTTGCGGAAGTGGGTGCGATTGCGGTCTGGAAGCCAAAGCAGCCTGATGAACAGAAATGATCGTAATGCGGGAATCCTGCACGGATTCATCCATCGAGTATAATCCAGGCAAGGACTTGAACGATCTCAGTTGACCCAATTCAGCTTTGGCCATGTGTAATTGCTTTCGGACCCAGGCAAGAGTCCGCACTTGTGTCTCCGGAGACTCCTGGAGGCATTTGAAACAGCATCGCGTCCAAGCTGGTATGGAAATAAACCCGCCAAATTCGCCCACAGAGAGTGCATTCCTTAGTAAAAAATGCCTTGTTAAGGTCGAGTAGAGTAATGTCAGTGGCAATTCGTGTTCTTAACAAGGCGCAGAAAAGACTCAGCCCATGAGAGACAACCCTATGATACTGCTTGAGGGAGTCTACCATCTGCCTTGATCTGAGATTGATCTGTCAAAATTTGAACAAAGAATACATGTCCAGAAGGTACAAGGTGCTAAACAGGAGCTCGAGGGGCAGCCGATCAAGGGAGCCAAGTCCAGCCTTTGAGATCCGCTGGAAGGGTGTTGATATTGACGGACGAATCTCATTGTGTTCCCGATGTGAGTACCAGATTACAGACAGATAGAAGTCTTTACGGTGATAGGGGGTGGTTCGAATAATGGTGTCAGCTTGTTCTTTGTCGAAGGGCAATTCGGTGGCAGAGCAATATCCGCGGGGCATGAGCGGAGCCATCCTCGAGATTTGGTGGTACGCTTTATGAAAGGTGGAGTTCGGCACGGACCGTGAGACTGTAGTGCCCCTTTTGAACGATCCGAGGAGGCTGATGTGTCGTATTGGGCGACGTGATCATGAACAACGCGACTGGATCATGAGATAAATGACTATGAATAATTGCACAGGGATTTCAATTTGCTAAACTTGAGAGGCAAAGCCAGCCCGATGTTAGCATGTACAGTAACCAGAAAGCATCTACTGACTCAAAGTGGAAGTCTCTCAAGTCTTGTCGGAGTTGGACCTCAGTAGTGGCAAGGATAAATAGAGAGGACAATCTAGAGGGGTTGGTGGGGGCGGCTCAATGGAATTCTACCCAGAGTGGGAAAGCTTGAGTCATCTTGTCCCATCTTGACGCGTATCACTTCGCCTTTTCTTTCCAACAACCCCTATCAGAAAGACCATCAGTATACCATTAACAGCATGTGCAACCTATCTCACTCGGTCTCTGAGGGTGAGAGCCCAAATTTATCAGAATGGATCCCTCAAGACAAAGTCTGTCAAGAGGCATTTGAACTGGCACGATCAGCCCTACCCCCAGCCGTCCTCAACCACAGTCTCCGTGTTTGGGTGTACGCTAAATGGCTTGCAGAACGGCTGCAAGAGAATAGATCAGAACTCTCTATCGATACGTCACTCTATAATCTCCTCTTCGTGGCCTGCATCCACCACGACCTCGGCTGCGCAGATCGCTATAACGGCCCTGAACGATTTGAGATTGAAGGCGCAGATGCCAGTGTCAAGTTTCTCAAACAGTTCAACCTCAGCCAGGAACAAATTCAGCTAGTCTGGCAGGCGATTGCCCTACACACGACTCCGGGGATCGCGGAGCGGCTTCATCCTTTTACTCGACTGGTTCGACTGGCCGTTCGGACAGACTTTCATTCTTGGGATGAAGTCGACGCGAAGTTCCAGGATGATTTAGAGAAGTCTCTTCCGAGATTAGAGATCGAAAAGGTCCTGGGCGATGCGGTTGCCAATCAAGCTATTGATCGTCCAAACAAAGCACCGCCGAATTCGTGGCCCGCGGCTTTGGTGCGCGCCAAATTAGAATGGCCAGACTGGGAGGGAGTGAATAAAGGTTTTTGATGTGTTGACCGTGGTATATGCAGGAGATTCAGTTTAGCAGTGTCTGCTTAATTTAATTTCATCTTCATTGGTTCATGATATGGTTCAACTCCAACTTCTTCATGGTGGGACTAGCCAATTTCTTGCGTTGATCATGTATATTGAGAATCCACAAATCTAGTTATCTAGTCGAACGGATTCAATGACGCATTTCAAATTCTTCGAACGAGTGCTCAATGGTTTCCACAGAATAGCCATTTAAAAGCGCGGCTCATCGCCAAAAGCAAATTCAGCGTCATCGTTCAAAAGCTCCCACTGATGTTGCCGCTGGAACCTGATCTGCACTATGGACTCCACTCCAATGGGCTTGTGGATCTTAAAGGATTCTTGAACCTTGAAGGATTCTTAGCCCGGACACAATCTTGCAAGGAAGTCTGCGATACTTGGTTAGACATGATAGTGAGACCTTTTGCAGTGCTAAGCCAAACTAGCTTCTACTTGTCTTACTAGAGAGAGCTTCACTCCTGTGGTAGCAGGCTGTGAAGTATAACATTGATCTACATATCGTGATGTGAGGTTCTAGCACAGGGGTTTGGTTGGAATTGCCAGTGTCCTAGTTGGTTCGCTAAGTATATTGACTAGGTATGTGTATGTATGTTAGGAGGCCTCCTAGTTGTTCTAAGGAAGCAGGATACTTATGCTTTTTACTCTCCCTACTTGTATCGTATGATATCTTGGGCCTGGATATCTTGCTTTTACGGAAGTTTCCACATCTCAGTATTATTATGTGTCTGGATTGTTTTGCTTAGATAGCTTTACCTAGAGGTTATAGATATTAGCTGAATACTGTAGATCTTTACTCGCGATATTGTTTCTTATAGAGATATAGATATCCTTGCTATAGGTAACATAACTTATAACGCTACATACGTGACTCAACATAGAACATCACTCCTGGACATGGGCCTCAGTTATAAACATATCACTTCATTAACATCAATACTGCACAGAAACTAGAAACAGCAATCCAAATTTTACAATCTTCTCAATCACAACCAAAGAAGCTACGTCTTCCTCTTCACACGAATGCTAAGCTCAGAGGGCGGCACAACATTTCCTCCAATCCATTTATTTTGCGGCCTCTGGGCAAGTGGCTGGACGTCGTAATTCAGCAGCATAAAGGCAAGAAGCATTTTGAGCTCATATACGACGAAAAACCGACCAGGACTATAGAGATTAGCCAATGTTTCGCTAGTACGAGCACTGTATTAACAGAAGAAACTTACCAAGCATGTCGTCCATGGGAAAATGACAGGAAGTCACCACTAGTCGTGCTCATTGATTCCGTCTTCTTCATCTTATCCAATGCGTCCCCAGCAGATGCGGATGCTTCTTCGCGCGCCCTGGAGAACCGAAACGCATCGTACTCATCCGGAGTAGAATAGATTTCCGGATCGTGGTGAATAGAGTGCATGTCAATACCGATATATGCCCCCTGAGGAGCGGTCCATTTCTCCACAGGGTTGGTGACACCCCCAATGGGCATGACTTTTCTCATCGCGTTTCGCGTCATGAAGTTGCTCACCCGCATGCTTTCCCGGATGGCGGAGTCGGCTCGCACGAGCGTAGCGAGGGAGGCTTTTGTCCAGACGCCGTTGCATTCTGCGTACGCATGTTCAATCTCTTCTTGCAGGCATTCCAGGACGCCCTTGGATGCGCTCGTACTGAGGATGTCAATGACGGCGTTGGTGATGGTGATTGTCGTGGTGTGGATCGCGGCGAAGTTGATGGGCATCAGGCGACGGGAGATCATGATGGGGTCCATCTCGATGCTGTTGTTCTCCGCTATGGCGAGATTGATATGCCAGGTGAGGTAGTCGCTGGGCTGCTCCCAGTCGTAAGTTGGATCGTTGCGCTTGCACTCCATGTGGCGTAGCCGCTCTTGGATGATGGGGATCGTGTATTTCGCTGTCCGCGAGTAGTGCCATTGGTTCCGCAGCGAAAGAAGGCGTCCTATGACCGGATGAAGGAATTTGGGAAGCACCCTCAAGATCGCACTGTTGATGACGATATCCGTTGTGTACTTCATCATATTGGCGAGATACTCTTTGTTCTGACACACGGGCGCCCCAACGAGCATGCGATTGGAGGCCCTACCCACAAAGGTCATCATGCTGTCCATAAGCGGAATTTCTTTCCAAGCTTCACCATCGGCTCCCCAGATATCCTCGAAGGTGCTAGCGAGCTCGTCCCAGACCTCGGGAATTACGGACTGGAGATTGCGCGTGAGGGACCGGTAAATGACGTGGTCTTGAAATGGATTTTCAAGAATGTGTTTGTCGAGGAAATTGTAATCGCCACCCAGGGATTCACTGTGGTATTCCGCTGCCGATAGCACATTGTCCGGCTGTTCGAGGAGCCATCGTAACGATGATTTTGGGACGAGAATTTCCGAAGGCCCGTCGCATGCGGGGAAGATGTAGCTCTTGCCTTTGCTGCTATACTATTGTTCCACGTTAGTATACGATCTGTCTTTTCTTTAGCTTTTGACCAAATAGTACCTTCCGATATCCCTCAGTCAGCAATTCTTTGGACTTGGAAATGCTTTTTATAGTTGCCCTCAGCGAGGAGAACGCCTTCGAATTATCTCGACCGATCCATGGTAGGTCATTGGGCAAGGACGACGAGGCAAAGAGGACTGTCCACAGTACGTAGATAGTCAGAGTGAGTATGAGTGGTTTAGCAACCTGGGGGTTACTGAGGGTATCCAGTATGGTCTCCATAGCGTCCGGCTTGGGAAAGAGAGAGGAGAAGAGTTGTTGGGAGGGGAAGGGAGGGGCCAATTCTGGGCATATATCGCGGTTGTGCTGATTGGGGCGAAGAAATTAGTTCCTGGCGTAGTACGTGCTTTTAGGTACTACTAGCCTTGAAATAAAGTAGTCGAATTTAGACTCTGCGCCAATGAGGTCTGAACGATGTTGCCCAAGCCGTCATTATCGTCCTGAAAATGGACCTGTAACTTCCAGCATTAGAAATGGCAACGCGTATGGATTCGGCTGCTTGTCAAGTATTTGTAACCCTGTTTATTGGTTAGTTGACCCACAGAGATCAGCACTGCAACACTTTATATGGGTTTGGTGTTGTTTGTCGATTGCCCCGACCCAACTCCGAATCGCTGTTGTAGGTGCGGTTCATCCATGCAGGCGATAATATATGCGAAACTTATGGCAGTCTTCTGGGCCAATAGAAGGAATTGATACACTTGTTAGTTTGATAGAAAAAATTATGATATTAAGAATTTTTGAGACTCCGTTTTTCTAAGACGAATTTCCAATGATATGGAAACTAATAGTGCCGTGTTAGTATCTGTTAGCTTGTCTTATCTTGATCATTCGACCACAATCACCAATTGGCGAGTGGTAGAAATTTTGATATCTGGCACTTGTTCCCATTGCTCTACTCAGTCATTCCTATCAATAGCCTGTTTTCCGTATCGCAGGGCCCAACTCTCGCATAGTGAGAATGTTTGTCTCTATGAGATGGCGACATAGAATTGGGATTTGATGAAAGACTTGGAATACTGGAAATAGATAGCAACTCTGTGACCTTGGTACTGCTAACTATAGCAAGACCTAATTTGAAGTTAGATGCCAGATGTCAACCTTCGAAAGGGCATTGCATATCACAAAAGCTAGTGCAGCTATGGATGAAATTGCGTATCCAATTCATCATCCTGCTTATGACGATTGTCGAAAGTTTTGCAAACCAACCCCATGACTTTGAGACTCCAATATAGCTTCTCTGAACGCTCTCCCCACCCTTCCATCAGTCTGCTCTATATCCGTCTCTCATAAACACGGTAATCTCTCAAACCCCTAGAACGATGTTCTCAATACAATATACCCAATTAAGAACGGTGCTAGCCATATACCCACCCCAGGAGGGGGGGAGGGGGGAATGGACAGAGGCCGCCTGCTCACGCACTCAGACACTGAGCATGTTGGTCAAGTCGGCGTCAAGGATTTGCAGGTCGTTAATGGTCACGGGACTCAGAACGCAGGCCCCGCTGGTCAGATGTCTCTGCAGGATACTAACAAAAATCACCTCATGGGGACGTAGGGGGGACCAAGGCGCAGGCAAGACAACAAAACGACTAGTTGGACTAGGAGACCAGGCGATCTCTCTGACTCGCTAAAAATCGAAGTCTCCCAAATTGTTCGTCCAAAGCTCTATACTTCATTTATAGCTGCTTCGTCTACTCCTTCAATGGAAAGCGAAAGCAGCCCACCAGTAGGGCACATGTAATTTCCTTCAGATTGAGTGTGTAGCCTTATTTTCTTCTTCCTACTGAGAGGCAGGCAGGCTCACAGTGAGACAGGCAGGCGCAAAGGCTCCCGCAGTTTGTAAAAAGCATCTTGATGCTTGTCGATGTCTACGAGCGATCCTTCCGGGGGTCGATTAATGAAATTGTATATATACTACCTCGGTGGCTAGACACGCTTCATAACTTCCACATATAATTTGGAAGTAAGCATTCTATTTTCTGTTAGTATATCATAGCCATATTGCCGACATATGTCAAGTAGAGGTGTGGAATACACTGACCAGATTTTTTATCAAATTTCATAAGGCAAAGGGGAAAAAAAGCAACAAAAGACAACCGCGACGCGGCTTCGGCAGCCTAGGCGAGAGTCTAAGTAGCCCTGGACGTATGCTCAGGGTTCACCCATACCACATTTTGCTGGCCTACATCACCAAAATAGAGGTGCCATGTACCCGGTAGCAAGGGTGGTGAACATTCTGACAGAGATAGGACGTAGAATACCGGAGGAATGCTGTGGGAACGCCCACCGTTGCTCTCTCTCCACGTTGTACACCTTAGATAGGTCTTCTACCCCTAGACAAGGGGTTTGTGGAGTTCCAAAAGGAGGCAACCTTCTATGGAAGAGCCCTTTGGTTTTGCTGAGAATCTTGTTAATACATGACCATATGGTGGGAGGGGCAGTCTATACTCACGCAAGGTTTATATACATGTCTTCATCATTTATGAAGGTCCATGCAGCAGCAACGCAATGATCATCCGCATGTGACCAGGCTCTATGTCAGGAAAGATATAGATCCGTGAACGAATAGGTAACAAAGAGCATCGTCTTCGTGACAATCTGAGTAGGCTGATTAGATCACAAGATATATATAGCAGACATGCTGATATATTGCAAGATATACAGCCTGTAAAAGATACACTTGACTAGATCGTTGAAGGATTATGTAGATATATGTAGATATATACAGGAGAATGATTGGTGAGGGATGTGAATTGAAGGAGGAATCCCCCAGAAGGGTTTCTTTTGGAACCGTCTGCATTCACCGCGATAGCCTTCAATCAACCTCATAATGAGGCATTCTTTATATTCACTGGGCATTGTGTTGGTTGTGTTTCAGTGTAGTCACTTGAAGAGATGATAGAACAGTCTGTACGTCTCAGCTACTGTTCACCATTGACGTCTAAGAATATCTGAAACATTGAACAATGAGTACATCTAGAAACTCTAATTTGAACGCTAATTTCTACATCAACCCATGAAAACTATCTTCCCACAGAAATAGATAAACCTATACAACCAACTCGGTAAATTTTTCCACGAAGCCCAATTGCAAGATCATCTCCACGAATCAAGGAACAGAAAAGTCTCAATCCAACACGGAGCGATAGGACGGACCCTTGCCCGGAGTCTGCGGCAGCCAGACCTAGTAGAGTTCCCCGGTGTACATTCCGTAACCAAAGATGCTAAAAGATCAATTACATCATAGATGTCTGGTTGATGGAACCGATATGGGTCTATTTACCCGTTTAGCCGGGAGTCGCATACAGCCGGCGGGCGCATTCCCTTTAGCCTCAAGCAAGTGCCGGCGATACGGACGACCGGCAATTTACGTAGTTGGTGGAATTAATTATCTTCCTTTTCTTTTCTTTTCAAATTTTTCTCTTCTTCTTTCTTACTCGTGAACTTTCAATCTTGTGAACATACAACACAGAAATACTCAAAACTCAACAGACAAGATGACGGCTACGATCAAATTGAACAGCGGCTTTGAGATGCCCGCCGTGGGCTTCGGTCTGTGGAAAGTCGATAACAACACCTGTGCCGACACGGTCTACAATGCTATCAAGGCGGGTTACCGTCTGTTTGACGGCGCGTGCGGTAAGTCTCAAAGCACAATATTCCTAACACAGAAACCAAGGTGGGGGAAAAAAGAAAGAAAAAAAAAATTAACGAAGATCAAGACTACGGCAACGAAGTCGAATGCGGCCAGGGCGTGCAGCGCGCTATCGCCGACGGCCTCGTCAAGCGGTCCGAGCTCTTCATCGTCTCCAAGCTCTGGAACACCTTCCACGAAAGCCAGCACGTCGAGCCCATCTGCCGCAAGCAGCTCGCCGACTGGGGCGTCGACTACTTCGATCTCTACATCGTGCACTTCCCGGTCTCGCTGAAGTACGTCGACCCGGCCGAGCGGTACCCGCCCGGGTGGATGGCTTCGGACGGCAAGACGATCGAGCCGGCCAAGGCGACCATCCAGGAGACGTGGACGGCGATGGAGGCGCTCGTTGAGAAGGGGCTGGCGCGCAGCATCGGCGTGAGCAATTTCAGCGCGCAGCTGCTGATGGATCTGTTGCGGTATGCGCGCATCGTGCCCGCGACGCTGCAGATCGAGCATCACCCTTACCTGGTGCAGAGCCGTCTGGTTGAGTATGCGCAGCGCAATGGCATCGCCGTGACTGGGTACTCTTCGTTTGGGCCGTCTAGCTTTGTCGAGCTGGAGGTGAAGAATGCGGTGGATGCGACGATTCTGTTTGAGCATGAAACCGTGAAGAGCATTGCTGCGGCTAAGAAGCGCACGCCTGCGCAGGTTCTGCTGCGGTGGGCGACGCAGCGTGGAGTTGCTGTCATCCCCAAGAGCAGCAGCTCGACCCGGATGGCCGAGAACCTGGATGTCACTGGGTGGGATCTGGAGGCGAAGGAGGTTGAGGCGATCAGTGCTTTGGACCGGGGTCTGCGGTTTAACGACCCGCTAAACGTGAGTGATTCCGATCTCCAGTTTCGTTGGATGGTTGCTAACTGTAGTAGTATGGAATGTACGTTCCGATCTTCTAAAAACGTGGTGTGGAGACGTGAGAGCATGGACTCGTTGGTATTGCCGATATACCGAGGGGGGAAGTCATGCATACGGCCTTTCTGTCTATTATGATCAATAAAAATTTCTGAACGCATTTTCTTTTTCTTCTAGATAGACGGATACACCGTAAATGATATCCTGATTAGTAGAAAGTGGAGGATGATCACCAAGCAAGGGAGGCCCGCGGACCACAATAACGGCAGTACTGGGTCTAAGTGAGACACGGTGGAGTGAGCTGTTCATCGACAGGAGCGCACAGCCTGCAGGAACTTTTGTCAACTCATTACCACCAACATTTCGTCATAATACCTCAGTTGATGCTATATCGTGTAGGAAGCGTATTCGGTAATTACCAGAACTCCACCGCGAGGGCTGGGACGTTACTGTTGTGGCTGGCAGCCAAGCCCTCAGGGAGGCTGGTGCGACACGGGCACAGCCACAGCCACAACAGGATGGGTTAAATGGGATAGGATTGACGGAGGTTGCAGTGGTTCAGTAATCAACATCAATCAACTTGGTGATTAATCAATCTAAAATCTGTAGACCGGTTGGTTCACACGGTGATGGGTGGGGATCTCAGACTCCAGTGGTAATTGAGATGAGACGGACACCGTAGGGGTCTGGTGGAGTCTCATGCACTGGGCAATATAACCGTAGGCCGACGGATGCGATCTCATGGGTTAAAGACCCCGAACGACTAGGTGGTTTTCCGAGGTTGTACAGGACGTTAAGCAGAAGTACAGGTACTCTGTACCTTGCCTTTGAATGAATAGGAGACAAGCATGGATGAATAGGCCAGTTGGAAATCCCTGACCAAGAACACGGAGGCCTCCCGTACAGATGCTATAAATAGGGCGGTGATCAGAGAGGCGCCCAGAATGATGTGCGCGTCTTGCATCCTGTCGTCTCGCCGCCCTCTTGACGTATGAATGTTTGACCTGCGGGGGATCCCTGTATTAGAGCTTATGTTGAATAAGACATACGGAGACTATTAAATACAGTAAACTGTACTGTATAGCTCCAATTCTACAATACATACTGGATTTTCCTTGTCAGACCCAACCACACAAAGGAGAAGACACAAGAAAAGTGATGGGGACGCTAAGCTGGCTAGTGAGAGAAAACCACGGGCGAAGGAAGCCCTACAGATTTCGAGAACCGCCGGGCGGAACTCTGGGCCGTTTCACCACCGGCCAGACCCACTCAGGGGTTTAATCTCGATACATTCAAGGCTCCTCCGAGTTGGTAGTCGCCTTGCTATTCTATCAGAAGATTGGGAAAGACAGTAAATAAATAGGTAAAGTAATAAAAAATACTCAAACATATACCATATCTATCATAGAGCTCAATAGACTGAGAATGGATGGGCCTTTGTCTTTCATTAATATAGGCAACCAATAATGCGGATTGAATAAATTGGATCGGGATAATTATAGCATCAACCGTTAATTGTCACTCCTTTTTGCTGTGAGAATGGGAGCTCCAGACTAGATAGTGGATTCAATCGAGTCCATAGGAATTGTCATAATCATGGTCATTAGAATCATTCCCGCTAAACTATTCAGTTGATAGTCCATGGGGAAGAAAACCCGAGTAGTCCGTATTCCGTAGACCGAGTGATGAGTCCAGACTCCGGAGCTGACCCTGGATGAGCCTGGAATGGACCCAGCCCATTCCCGGTATCCTTCTGGGTATCCTTCTTGTTACGGTTATTTTTCCCCAGGCACCTGTATTTACTCTCCTCATTTAGGGTTGTTGTTGTTGTGATTGATTACTGTCCAAGTACTCCGTACACGGTACTTTCTTCGTCTTTTCTTCTGTTCCTCCACGATCCTCACTCGTTCTATCCGGTCGTTCTCTCCTCTCTTTTGTTTTCTCACCTATACGTTCTGTCTTTCTTCCATTCCCTCCTTTCAGTCACTCAGTCGTGACGCTCACTCAGCTTCAATGCTCGGACGGAATCCTCTCAGCTGCCACTAAGACCGCCGTCTCCCCGCCCACAACACACGACGTTTCACCGGGGGCTTGGCGCCTCCCCCAGCGATCGCTTTTGGAGCATCAAAGCAACTTCACTCTTTTTTTTTTTGCTGTGCATTACACACTTCTCTCTTTTGCAGTCCTGAATCTTTTTGTTCTCCTCCCTCCCTTCGTCGCTCGTTTTTCGATCCCCCCCCCCCACTAGACCACAGAGATCGTCAGCTGTCCGGGTCACACGAAAATTTTCTCTATCAGAGATCAGACCCCTGACGTTCTAACCAGTCGGGAACTACAACAAGACACCCATCCGGCTGCAGCCAACTTCGTTTGTCACCTGAGGGTCGCCCCCTCGTCCACATCTACCATACTGTGTTGAGCCGCCATCCGGTGGTCCAACCGTCATATTGTATCCAGAGACTGAACCTCCGGCGGACTCGAGCTCCGTGACGGAGCATTTCGTCAACATTTATTCCAGCAATTCACGGGCGTCCCTCCTCGGAGGATCATTTGATCCTTCGTTCCGAGGGCCGGGCGGTTTTCGCGCGCGAGAAGGCTACACCAATGTTCCCCCCCATCCGCCCCAACGCAAAATGTACCGGCCCAACTCGCTCTGGACGTGGTCGTTCGCCATCGTCACCTTGATTCAGACCATCATCACCTTGGGATTAGAATGGTTCGTATTCGATGATGCCCTTCTTTCCCCGCCTTTCCGGCCCGTACCCGCCCGCTGACCACGTGCAGTTATGTGTTTGCGAATTTCCAGCTCCAGTTGAAACCGAAAGCCGAAGACGTGACCGCCTCCAAAACCATCCCCACCTTCCTCGCTCTATACAGTTTCGGGTTCATCTACGAGCTCGTCCTGGTGTACGATGCGCTGCGCCTCAAAAATACCATTCAGGTGATCGGGCTATGTCTGTGCAATGTCGGGCTCTTGATCTACGGGGCGGTGCAGGTACAGCAGATCAAAGAAGCCGTGGGGGTGTTGACCGTCAACAAAGCGATCGATGAGCATGTCTGGGCCGAAACCGAACCGTTTTTGATCATCATCCCGTGCGTGGTGGCCATGGGGACGTTGCTGATGATGATTGTCGCCTGGAAATTGTACGATGAATTTGCGTGGTCCATTTACAAGCACATCAGCGCGGACCTGCGCATGAAACGTCGATATCTCACTTACCAGGTTGGTTGGTCTTGCGCCTGCTGTGGAAAACTGGAAACTGACCGATTGCTAGATTTACATTGCTCTGCTTAAGTTTGATTTTTTCTTCTTCCTCGGATTTACGGTCCAGTTTGTGGTGATCGTCACCAACCGGGCGGATATCGAGTTCGGTCTCACTCTGGCGGCGGTCCCGGTGACCATCCTCATCCTAGTGTCTGCGGCGTTCTTCGTCCGGCGCGAAAGCTCCGTAGGGATGATTATTATTATCGTATGTTTCACGATGACCTCATCGCGTCCCGTCCTAACAATTCTCTAGCTCCTGTACTTCGCCGCCATGGCCTACTTCCTCTTCAAACTGGTCCGCATGTACGCCCCGACAACCTTCCTCGAGTACCTGCCCGCCCGGCGGTCTCTGACCTTCTTCGCCATCATCACCTTGGTCTTGATCGTCTTGACCATCGTCAACGCCTGCATGTGCATGCACAATTTCCACAAGGGCTTGAAGCCGCACATCAACCGGAAGAAGGGCGGTAAAGAGACTGAAAAGACCACCGAGTTGTCCAACGTCGCTGGCGGCCAGGTGCCTGCTCGGATGATGATCGATTGAGCGAGTCATTCTGCTTTTGATGCGTGATCAGCGCGGATTGTATATGCCGCACATGCGCACATATGACCTGTCAGAGGGTTTTGGATATTCAATTTGGAGCGTGTTTCCCTGCATATGATACCTTGATCGCGTTGATTTAACGATTTTCCTTCCCCCATTTTTTATTTTTTATTTTCAGGCCTTTTTTTCGCGATTTTTCTTCGGATTCCGTCCTTGCCTATCTGCAATTTATCCTCCCTCAATGGCACCAGTTCTGTGCGATTGATCACCATCTGTCCTTAGCCTCATGTCGCATATTACGATTGTGCATCTTCGATTTTTGTACTGTATTTACAATAATTAAATAGATTAAACAAGATCAAACATTAACGGATTGACCGTATAGAGAGGCAGCGTATCTAGAGTTGAGAGGAAAACATAGTGCCAGAATCGTTGATTAAAGTGTTCATTAACCATGGATTTCTCGATACTACGCAGTGTGTATTAATAGCGTATTGCGGCAATAGAATACATATTTAGAAGGCCATGGTTGGTGGTCATGGCTAGGGTGTAACAGTACAATACCACACCTGACTAAGGGTAACAGCGAGCGTGGCCTCTTCGCCTCGTCACTCCATCTCCATCAATTCGCCCGTCGACTCCTCTCCTTCAATCCAGCTGCCTCCGTGTCTTCTCTCCTAGTCCCTTTCCTTTCAATTGCTCATTTGCATCTCTTCAGTTGTACTTTATACCTTTTAATTACTTCTCCTTGACATCTCTATCTGCTTTCTCTCCCCTCGATCTCAAAATGGTGAGTGTCATTCAATCGCTGATCGCCCGCAAAACGAATCCCATCCATCTGTCCTAGCCAGAGAACACCCATCACGATCATCGAGAATTACATTCAATTCCCCAGTCTCTGCAACACAATAACTAACACAATTGCACACCTCCAGGCCTCTCCCCGCGCAGCCTCCCCTCTCACCTCCGGCGCCGAATCCGGCCCCGACAACAAGGCTCCTGGCTCCGGCGCCGCCGCCGCCTCGGGCTCCAGCGTCAACCGTCCCTCCTCTCCCACTCCCCCGGGTGGTCCTCGCGCTGCGCTGCGCCGTCGCGCGGCCGCCGATCACAAGGAGACCCTGCGCAATGCCAGACCTAGCTCGACGCGCTCGGCTGGCGCTGGTGGCTCCTCCGGTACGATGCTGAAGCTCTACACTGATGAGAGCCCCGGTCTGCGTGTTGATCCCGTCGTCGTGCTGGTTTTGAGTCTCGGATTTATCTTCTCGGTTGTTGGGTTGCATGGTATGTCTGAAATCGATTCGATTGGGTGTGGGGACGGATGAATGTTGTGCTAATTTCGATTCTTCTTCCTGGTAGTTATCGCGAAGATTACCCGCAAGTTCTCTGCGTGAGCTTGAATTGCACGCTCATTTCTACGGTGTCGTGTCTATGCACTAGTCGAGCGGGCGATGTCGAGTGAGCAGCGCGGTGTCTCAAACCGTGACCTTGCTCCTGACATGGTGTGGCTACGAGTTGCTACAGCGATGACATCGGTGGAAACGTGTCTACAACCTTAATCCTCATACTCATACCTTCAATCGCATATACCCCCTTGATGTCTCCTTCCCCGCCTCCGCCTCACCCCGGTGCCATATCCATATCGCGGGGCAGGGACCGTTCCTCTTGAAATCGTTCTGTTTTATTGTCTGCAAGTTTGGCGTTGAAAACCTGTCTGCTGAACAGGTGGGAAGATTTGAGTTCGCTCGGATCGTGTGGCCGGTGATTTGCCGGCCGTGGGGATGTCGTGCTGGGGAGCATGGACGGACTGGAATGGAATGGATTGGCTATGTATAATACCAGTGCTTGCAATGGATGTTTATCATGTCTGTTCCATTTGCTTTTGGACTTCTGAAGCTGCCGTAGTTTACTATAATTATCATTGTATATCCATACTGTCTGATGGCCCTTGTCAAGCCAGGGAGCTGGCATCCATCGATGACACTATTCTGTTTCGAAGTGAATCTGCCTTGATGCCTTAGCAAGTGCGCGGACCCAACCATCATGAACGGGGAACACTCGAGCTTCCACCTCACTCATTAATGTCCTCAATCCTAATCCCATCAGAATGGAACTCGAAATGATGGACGATGTTTCAATTGATGCTGCAATACACTTCTCAACCACTAACCGATGTATTAGTACAGCGTTCCCCCGATTCTATACACCGCGGAGATTCCAACAATCCATTAGTCGCGGCTTCACCTAACAGCGAAAGATGTTTATCAAGATCAACCACACTTCCATTATCTCATCAGAGCCCGGGCAATGTCCGAGATGGTGGCTTTCCAAAGGGCTGTTGAACCTGGGCCATTGGCCTATCTGATTGATATCGCGGTAGTGACCGAGTCCGATCCTTATCAACCTCAGGCTAGTGAGGCCAATCATCGGCGATCGACTTCAGATAAGACTGTCTGCGAAATCAGACCGGCCAATAGCACTTTCGATGGGATATTGATAAGGATTGAACTCTATTTGGGTCGTTTTGCTTTTGTAATGGGTTCTCGAGGAGGTTTTGGTTGTGTCGTTGCTAGGTACGATCTAGGTTTGGCTGCTAGGCGCATTATCCTTATCATTGACGTCTTTCTCTAATCGGGGATTCGTTCATTGCTGATGCTCGTGCTACTGGACTTTCCGACTCAATTAGGATGGAGCTTCTCAATATGCTGGTTTAAATGGCGTCTGTGGAGATAAATAAAAAGAAAGATGGGCCCCTTGTCTGTTTTATACTCCTGTGGTCATAGGCTTTGAACTGTCGCCGATGATTGCAGCTTGGTCATTATTCCACGAGCAATAGCAGACCGGCATACTAGTCTGGTTTATTGATTCGATCTATTCGTGACTTGTCTGGGATACCTGTTTGTGGTGTTGCAACAAGAACGCCATTGACCAACTAATATACAGTCGGCGACATGGCCGAAGACGTGGCTAGATTTGTTGCCCCTCTCTCACAGGGCTTTGGCTATGGTATAATTATCGGACTCGGCTTTGCTTTTGCTCTGTTGATGGTCTTTATTACCTGGGCTTTGAAGAGGTAAACTTGATCCTGTCAAGCTACCACCCTCTTACCCTGCTAATGACATGGCAGATACCAGTATGAAGTGCAAACCTCGGAAATGTTCTCGACCGCTGGACGATCCGTCAAATCTGGCCTGGTTGCCGCTGCAGTCGTTAGCAGTTGGACATGGGCCGCCACACTTCTCCAGTCTTCTGCCGTGGCATATCAATACGGAGTCTCGGGGCCGTTCTTCTACGCATCAGGTACACACGGGACCATATACGGCACACTCGGTGAGGAAGCAGTTACTGATTATGACAGGCGCCGTTGTGCAGATCATCCTATTCGCAACCCTCGCGATCGAGCTTAAACGACGAGCCCCGAACGCGCACACCTTCCTAGAAGTCATCCGCGCACGCTATGGCACCACTGTACACTGCGTCTTCATCGTGTTTTGCCTAATGACCAACACTCTTGTCACCGCTATGCTCCTTACAGGCGGCTCTGCTGTCTTGACGTCTTTGACAGGCGTTCACACCGCCGCCGCCTGCTTCCTCCTTCCTATCGGTGTTGTGCTATATACGCTGTTTGGTGGGATCAAGGCGACGTTTATCACGGACTACTTGCACACTGTCGTTATTATTGTTGTTATCTTTATATTTGCGTTCTCGGCATACGCAACGAACGACACATTGGGGTCTCCAGGGGCTGTCTATGATGCGCTTGTGGCGGCTTCCACGCGGCATCCGGTGGAGGGAAATGCCCAGGGGAGTTATCTGACTATGCGATCCAAGGAAGGTGGTATCTTCTGGGTGATTAATCTTGTGGGAAATTTTGGGTACGTATTGACTCCATGCTTGAGGGGTCACCACTAATCCTGGCGAACAGAACGGTGTTTCTGGACAATGGGTACTACAACAAAGGTATGTCACTATCTGCGGCAAATACGACGGTTGAATCTAACATTGTCAGCCATCGCCGCCAGCCCCGTCCACGCCTTCCCAGGATACGTAATCGGTGGTCTATGCTGGTTCGCCATCCCCTGGCTCTGCGCCACCACCATGGGCATATCAGCCCTCACGTTGGAGGGATCCCAACGACTCAGCTCAGACGACGTCACAGCGGGTCTCGTCTTGCCGTTTGCTGCGGTCAAGCTGCTAGGATACAGCGGAGCAGTCTGCACGACACTGATGATTTTCATGGCCGTGACATCTGCATTCTCGGCCCAGCTAATCGCTGTATCCTCGATCCTTACCTACGACATTTACCAAGCCTACATCAACCCCGATGCTAAAGGTAAAACGCTCGTTTGGGTCTCGCACATGTCGTGTATTTTCTGGGCTGTTGTAATGGCCGGGTTCGCCACAGGACTCTACTATGCGGGTATTGGCATGGGGTATCTGTATCTGCTCATGGGCGTGATTATCTCGTCTGCCGTGTTTCCTGGCGCGATGACCCTGGTATGGAAGGGACAGAATTGGATCGCCGCGGCGGCCTCGCCGGTGCTAGGCCTTGCAGTGTCACTGATCGCATGGCTTGTGACGGCGAAGACCGAATCAGGTGTATTGACAGTGGCTACTACTGGAGCGAAGTATCCTTTTCCCCTCCTACTCTCCACCTTTTAAACGAACAACACTAACAACAATCCCATCAGCTACCCAATGCTCGCCGGCAACGTCGCCGCTCTCCTTAGCCCAATCGTCTTCTCCCCAGTCCTAACCTACCTCTTCGGCGCCCAGAACTACAACTACGCCTCAATGCGCGCCATCCGCAAAGTCGACGACAGCGATGTCGCAGCCGCAGCCCACATCGACATCGAGCTGATCCCCGGCGAGGCCGCATCCCCAACATCATCCCCCAACGAATCCAAGCAAGAGCAACGCAAAATGAACCAAGCAGCCACGTACTCGCGCGCTCTGACCATCGCCATGGTGCTGTGCTTCCTGCTGCTGTGGCCGATTCCCATGTACGGGTCGAGTTATGTTTTCAGCAAGAAGTTCTTTACGGGGTGGGTTGTTGTGGGCTTGATTTGGTTGTTTGGGACGACTTGCGGGGTGGTGGTTTTTCCGCTTTGGGAGGGGAGGGTGAGTATTGTGCGGACGGCTAGGTTGATGTGGTTGGATGTGGTGGGGAGGGGGAGGGGGAAGGGGAGGAGTGTGCTGGAGGGGCGGGGAGAGAAAGAAGGTAGTAGTATGGAGGGGGTGGAGGGGGTGGAGACGCCGACGGAGGAGGTCAGTGGGAAGGTGTGATGAGTGTGCTTTTCCCTCCTTCGTATTATTTTTATCATTATATACCCTTACTACACTACTGTCGTATCATAAGTATACTATATGGCATTCTGCATTCGATGTGCCAATTAAAACAGTATTAATATTTTATTCCAGCAGGAACACAACAAGTAATGGGATTCAAACAAGACACAAAACTCCCCACACAACCCACGAACAGAATAGAATAAAGCCATAAAAGCAATGGTATCGTCCATAGGCAGACAAACAAGAAAGATATCAACACAACAACAGCATCAACAAACTCTTTAAACAGCACATAAAGCATGCATCCCCTATCAAAGCCGACAGAAAATAGGGTCCTGGCTATTTATACCCATACCCCTGGCCCTGTCCCGGCCCCCCCGCTCCAGAAGCCACCGGCGGCCCCTGCTGCTGCTGGGGCGGCGGATGCTGCGCGTACTGAGGATAATTGCCGTAGAAGCCCGGTGGAGGGGGACCCGGTCCGCCAGGGATGCCTTGTGGAGGACGCGTCTCGGGGGTGATGTCGGGACGGTCTTTGAGGTCCTGGGTGAAGTTGCAGGTGTAGCATCTTACTTCCTGTTTTTTGTTAGTATGGTGTTTAGATAAGGGGCGGTACCTAGGTAGGTGGGAAGGAAGGGGAATTGATAAGTACCTTGTATTTACCCATTGAGAGGGGGATTGCGGGCTGGATATCATTGTTTGTTAGTGGGCTTGGATGGATGGGGGGGGAGGTGATAGGTAGTGAGGATTGGCATACGATGAAGCAGATGGTGAACCAGGGCCTGTATGTATATTAGTATTTATTGATTTATATATACATATATATATATTCTTGTCTCTTGATATAGAGGAATATGGATAGACATACCATCTCGTCACGCAGTGTCCATTGTAATGCTGGCCTATCATTGGTCAATTAATCAGGGACAGTTCAAAAGTGGGATGCCTAAGGCCGGTCTCGTCTCGGGCCGGACATCACATCACGTTCATGATCTCTTGTCCAGCTATTGCCGACTGGCGCTAACACCCAGATAGGAGGAGCTGTATCATAATTCGATATGATAAAGGGAAGAAAGACTCACAGTTATAGCAGTAGGCACGCACCTGCTCATACCCCTCCAGCATGGAGCTGAACTCTGCCCGGTCTGTTAGTAATGCTGTCTGTAATCAGGTGATAAAGGGAGGGTGTTCCTGGCGGGTCAGCGCCGCGGTCGGCTGGTACATACCGTGTGTTCCGAATGTGATGCAGATGGCCATCTTCCTAGTTCTGATATCTGTCCGATACAGGGGATAATAGGGTTGATAGCTGGTAAGTCTTGGATAAAGAGATGATTGAGTGACTAGCTGGGCAGGCTGAACTGGGAGGTCGTAGGTTGGAGGCAACCCTATTCTCTGGTTAGGACGGAGACGGAGAGGCTGACGTGTGGCGGCAGTGGCTTGGCGCTTGGCGCTGTGCTGCGCCGTACTGTTATTGACAACAACACCTAGGAACTATCAGGTTTTGTTTGGTTGATGGTTGCAGAACTATTGTTGGATAGTAAGTAGACAATTTACTTTCTATCGACTATGAGGATAATCGGCAAATAGTGGGCCAGGCGCGAAGGCCTCGCAACGGCTACGAATGACGTATCTAAGTAATATATATCGCATCCTCGAACAAAGCAATACATCATCAACTATATTCGTCGTGCATTATGCTTCGATTTCAAAGTTCAATATGTTCATGACTGTATGATTATTATGGTACACACAACTCGGGATATATGAATTGAACCATAAAGTATATAGTCGTAGCACGTAATTTCGCATCCTGCTCGAAGAGAATTATGTGTGAGGCTTCAATCTTCATCGCCTTATCCTCGATATCTTCGACAAGGATACTAACGGATTTGTCCACAGTCTCCAGAGCGTAGCAACTTGTAATTGCACAGCAGCAGTCTTCCCTTTCCAGACAGGGTTCTTTAAGCCCCCTAGGCTTTTTCCATTGGTAACCATCCACCGTGTCACTTGCAACATCATCAATATCCCCAAAAGGTGACAGAGTAGTAGATGGCGTTCTACCTCCACTCGCTTTCATTATTGAGTCAAGATGTTAGCCATAGTATTAGTACGATATACAACTAGATCGTAAATGTCATCAGTAGGGAGAGCAGTGTAGACATACTAGGTATTAAGATTGTTTGTTCATGTAATTTGCCAGAACACGCAGATCGTCTCGACGGCGTTTCGAGGCGACGTATTTTTCCATCCGAAGGCAGATGATCAACGAGACTTTGTATAATCGGTTTCGTTATATCTTTGGAACCATGACTATATATGCGTCGATTATTACTCTTGATTTCAAGTCATCAAAAGCTGGCTGAGTTGAGGCTGTAATATCAAGCGGGCGATGAGTGAGTTGCTCAAGTCACTCAGGCTCTGGGATAAGTTTTCATCATCCATCTCAGCAAACTTAGAGATGATATTTCAGTTTTGAATTGGACAAAAAATTTCCTAAGGCTCAGTCTTAATTATATAATGATAGGCATATAGCAATTAAAGTAAGCAGGTTGACAGTTGATAGCCAATTACCGGGAAGAAGGTAATTTTTTTCTGATGTCGAGATTTTGTGATTTGAGCTTCAGACTTATTTATTGGTTATTTGCAATGTGTAAAAGAACTGGTGATAATTTTGATGATCATTATGACTATGAACCAAAGGTTGCGAATAGTTGCTAAACATGAAGAGGAAAAAAAAGACCTATAGGGGAAAATTCTGCAAGTCAGCTGACGTGTTGGCCGATTGCATGTCCCACAATCCAACAAGCTTCAGACCTAAGCCTTGATGACCTGCAATGGGATGCGAGAGTAGAGACAAGAGAGGCAAGTTTAGAACTGTAGAAGGTACGCTGTAACGCAGTGAATGGTGTCGGATACTGTTTGATACCTCAGGTATCAATTATCATTGCTGTCGGAGTTGATGTTGTTCCGTCCCTGATTAGCTGCTGGGTAAAAGCGGCACTCCAAGGGTTTACTAGAGTAGGGAGCGAATGCGCCGAGGTGCTTGCAAATGCTTGTTCGGTAGGTATGAAAAGAATGATTCAGAGGTTCAATTTCTACAAAATAGGATATTATTATGCAACCTTTGATATAACGAATTTGATCCTCACGTGCTGGATATCCTTTTTGAGTTATCATCGTCCCAGCAGTATGATCGGAGTGAGATCTACCATACTACCACCAGGATATATATACACACTAGAAGCTACACACGCGACAGTCCCTAATATTGAATGTTTAGCCAAGAGCGCAACTCCAGCTCCGGACATCGAAATTGATGATATAATAAAGAAAAATAATTGCAATGAAATGTACTACCACGATCCGTTATCAAGCAACCCTCATCCCCTGATCCATCCACTTCCCTCCAATCACCCCCGCTCATTGTGTCTTGAAAAGGAGAATGGCGCAGTGTCCCAAATAGAAATAGATGAAGTGTTTCGTCTCTGCCCACCATCAGCCGCCGCTATGTTATTTTAACCAGACCACCTACCGTGTGTCACAAAGCTGCCAAAGTTCCGCCCCACCACGCAATGCCATGTCGCTCCTTTGCGCGAGTCGAACTGTAGGGTGTAAGTGGAAGGATTCGGAGGGTGGTGCGGGATTGCGGACTTCTCTCTTGATATATTGGGCAATGTCCTGCTGTCATCAGTACAAAGCTTTCCCTAGAACGTCACAATCCAAGATATAAACTCACCTTCTCAATGTGATATTTGTCCATTGCCTCGATCGCTACCCGGTGTTAGTCCCCGCGTTACATTCTACCCAAACAATAAGCAAACACATACCAAGCTCCACCGCCTCCTGTTGCATGTCCTCGGACTGTCCCTTGTTAGATTAATTCTCAAGTTATGTTAGATTGTCCTCACCATGTCAACCGACTTGATTTGCGCTGGGGTGTGTTAGCTGTCATTCTGACGGAAGGGCTCGAACGACCACTCACGCTCCAGCTTATCCTTCTTTTCGGTGGCCATGTTGTCGGTATAGAATGTATATAATCACGGAAGAGACTGGAAGATAGGAACAGGGACTGAGGGGATTGAAAGGAGAGCAGGAGTGATAATCAACCCAAAAGTGACCTGTGTTGATTGCGCAGTGACGGGAGAGCGGCCGCATGGACTCGCACGGACCAGCAATCCTTCACCGCCCTCGGCACTAATTTTTTCTCCCGCCATAAAAAGAAAAAAAAGTTTTTTTTTTCTCTTCCGGTTCCCTTCACTCTTTCTTTTCCTTCATCTTCCCAACGGGCATCATGGAGAGCACACGGGTTTTTGTCTCGGGTCTCCCTCCTACTATTTCAAATGACCAGCTACGGAAGCACTTTGCTACTCGCTTCCAGGTCACCGATGCCCATGTCCTGCCTAAACGCCGCATCGGCTTCGTAGGCTTCAAGAGCCACGATGACGCTCAGCAGGCGGTTGGCTATTTCAACAAGACATATATGAAAATGTCGAAGATCTCCGTAGACATTGCTAAACCAGTATGTCTACTCTTTTGTCCCCAACCGTTCTCTCTGTTTGCCCCTGTCCCTCGCTGACCCGTCGAAGCTGGTCTGGAAACTGACCATATTTTAGATTGACTCCGAGCCGGATCATTCACATAAACGTGCCAAGGAGAGTAGATCTTCCGATGCCACAGATACGCTCAAACGTAAACGGGGCGATGAAGATGCCCCCAAGGACCCGAAACTGCAAGAGTATCTTTCCGTAATGCAGCATTCGTCCAAGACCCAGACCTGGGCTAATGATGATAACGCCCCCAACCCCTCCGAGGAACACTCACTTGAAAAAGACCAGCCTGAGGAGGAGGACACCCAGGACCTCACCTTTGCCCAGCGCAAGAAGGCTAAATTTGGGGAAGCTGAACAACGCACATCCTCGAGGAAGCAGGAGCAGGAAGAGCCAGAGCCCATGGTGGTTGATGCTACCGGCGAAGATCACGATGAGCAACAGACGGAGCAACATAAAGATGAGGAGAAAGCGCCTGTCTCGGACATTGACTGGCTTCGGTCAAAGACGAGTCGTCTACTGGGCTTGTTGGATGAAGACGAACAGGCTGAGTTTGAATCTCGCGAACCGCCGAAACCGGCCGTTCAAGAAGCAGTATCGGATTCAGAAGAGGATACCGCGCATGCTGAGAGTGCGACGGTGAAGGTTGATGATACGCCCGCAACACCTGCCGCTCCTGAGGTCGAGGTCGATACGAATATCGAGAACATTCGTCTCTCGGCTCGGTTGTTTGTACGAAACTTGGCCTATGACACGACGGATTCTACGTTAGGGTCATTATTTGCTCCGTTTGGCACAATTGAAGAGGTTAGTCTTAATTCCCCTTCTGTTTTGTTTCTTCCGCTTCTTTTTTCCTTTGCTTTTTCTTTTTGTTTTTTATACCCCATGCCCGGCCGCTCGCGTGATGAACATCCTGATAGGGACATCCGATGCAAAAGCATATGATGTGAACAGGAAAAGAGTATTTTAGTAGATGCCTCTCCTATCTGATGAGCAATGGTCATTTGAATGTCGTGTCTTTTACGTATCGCACTTTAGGAATACGCGCTGACTGCTTAGATCCATGTTGCTTTTGATACTCGGGTTTCGAAGAGTAAAGGGTTTGCCTACGTCCAATTCGTCGACCCGGATTCGGCTGTAGAGGCTTATAGGAATCTCGACGGCAAACAATTTGAGGGTCGTTTACTACACATCCTACCCGCATCCGCCAAGAAGACGTATAAGATTGATGAGCATGAATTGTCGAAGTTGCCATTGAAAAAGCAAAAACAAATTAAGCGGAAGTTGGATGCTTCGTCAGCCTCATTTAGTTGGAATTCCCTTTACATGAACGTGAGTTACCTTGGTCACTCCAATCACATTCGAAGCTAATTTTCGCAGGCTGATGCGGTTATGTCTTCCGTCGCCGAGCGCATCGGCGTCTCCAAATCAGATCTTCTGGATCCCACGTCTGCCGATGCGGCCGTGAAGCAAGCCCATGCTGAAACGCATGTTATTCAAGAAACGAAAGCCTACTTTACCGCCAATGGCGTTAACATAGATGCCTTCAAACAGCGAGAACGTGGAAACACGGCTATCCTGGTGAAGAATTTCTCGTTTGGCGTCAAGTCAGATGAGATCAGGAAGCTGTTCGAGCCGTTTGGGCAGATTACACGCCTATTGATGCCACCTAGCGGGACGATAGCGATCGTCGAGCTCTCGCGACCGGACGAGGCGCAAAAAGCCTTTAAGGGGTTGGCCTATCGGAAAGTAGGAGATTCAATTCTTTTTCTCGAAAAGGCCCCAAAGAATTTGTTCGATGGGACGGCAACGCCGTACAAGCCGGCAGAAGCCAAGGCTGTCTCGCAGGGATTCTCTACAGCTGACACCTTTGCGGCCAACGAACCCGATGAGGCAATCGCTACTGCCGCCACCGCTACGCTCTTCGTAAAAAATCTGGCCTTTTCCACAACCAACGAGGCCTTCCTCGACGTCTTTCGGCCGCTGGACGGCTTTATTTCGGGTAGGATCAAGACAAAGCCGGATCCGAAACACCCGGGACAGACCCTCAGTATGGGTTTCGGGTTCGTTGATTTCAAGTCAAAGCAGCAGGCCCAGGCTGCTCTGGGTGCCATGAATGGCTACAGACTTGACGGCCATGAACTGGTCGTAAGGGCATCCCACAAGGGCATGGATGCGGCCGAGGAGAGACGGCGCGAGGATACGGCGAAGAAGGTGGCGGCGAGGAGAACCAAAATCATCATCAAAAACTTGCCATTCCAAGCCACCAAGAAGGACATCAGATCGCTTTTCGGTGCCTACGGACAATTGCGGTCTGTTCGGGTGCCTCAAAAATTCGATCGGTCGGCTCGCGGTTTCGGCTTTGCGGATTTTGTAAGCGCTCGCGAAGCGGAAAACGCCATGGATGCCCTGAAAGATACGCATCTTCTGGGGAGAAGGTTAGTGTTGGAATTTGCCAACGTGGAAGCCATCGACGCCGAGGAAGAGATCCGGCAAATCGAGAAGAAGGTAGGGGAGCAGTTGGACAGGGTCAAACTGCAAAAGCTCACGGGCACGGGGCGCAAGAAATTTACCGTAGGAGCCCAGGACGAGGAGGACTAAGACTCAAGTGCTCGCTGTCTTCCCTCCCTACGCATAAGAACGGGGGATCTGATCAATGGTGGGCTCCCCGGCCAACACCCCCTTGCGTGACCGAGTGTCGAAGAGGAGAAATAAGACGCCCAACACGTTCCCTGTGTCCTGTCAAGGCCGGCCCTGCCTACCCTCCGACGCGTCCTGCAAAGGCCCGTCGCCTCGTGCAGGTAAATTTAGTTAGTTATACCCCATTTTAGGATATCCTTAAACATCTCGAATTCAAGGCTTCTTATCCCCTCATCCTATATCGACTCCTATATCACACTAGTCTACCCGACCACGTCCCCTAGATGCCTATGGGAGACCAGGTTCGGAGTCTGATTCCTCTGCCTGCATTCCTGCTGCTCCTTCTCTCAAGAGTTGTTTACATTCCTCACCCGTGGAGATTTGTTTCTAGTTGGCCACGGCGCATTCCAAAACTGATCTTCGCTACAACTGCTCCTCATCGGTGATGTTTACCAGGGTAACCATCCGCATTTGCGGCCTGGTGACCGTCCGACATGCTGGGACGGTCACCGAAGAGGTGTTCACTGGATTGTTCGCCCTCGGTACCCCTTGCGTCGAGGGATCGTTCGTCCGCATCGAGCATGCTCGCTCTTCCTGATTTGCTGCCACAGGGCGACGCCCACTCTCGTCCCTACCCTTTGACAGAGCGCGCCTTGACAAGGGAACCCGCCTTGGCTAGTCGTGGGGATTGCCCTAGAGGGGTGCAACCGAACGTGAAGCGCGGTTCAACAATGTAGATACCACCCTTCTTCCCAAGGAAAGGCAATGGCGTTCTCTATAAACACCTTGGACTTCGCTCCCACATTCTATTTCCCAGTTTCTTACATTCTCTTCCAGGGGTCTGCGTGCTTGGTCTTTGGTCTGTGACTGCTGCTGCGTTCTTTGCCTGGTGGTCAACATTTGCGGTCCTGTCCCATCGCATCTCTTTGGAATTTGCCATTCTTGAGAGAGCTTATCCAGGTCTGCTCCCATGGCTACCGACTGGCAGCCTGAGTGCATCATCCCCCAGAGCCAGCCAGCGCTGGAGAGTGTGGGAGCCCATTCAGAGCGGGTTCTCCAGAACACCTCTGGCAACGTCCAGTCCTATTCAGAAGACCTTGCCCACAGCGACCCGATGGGGCGGGATGCCTATTTGCAGCAATTCGCCTACAAGTATCCTTCTCATCTTCCGCCGGCTGCACCCACTCCAGTACCGTCGGTATCAGCCAGCGTTCACAACTCGCAGCTGCTGGCCAGCAGGGCCCATGCGAGGAGGCAGCGGCGGTTGAATTCCGCCAACCACTTTCCCCCTGGCCCTCGGAGGCGCAGCTATCTAAAATCCCAGAAGTATCTGGAGTATCGTCGTCGTCCTCGACGGGACACCGGAAAGGATGGCGAACCCGTGTGGTCTGATGAGCTAGAGGATGCTTTCCAGCAGGGTAGGCACATGCAAACTCACCAGCGATGGAAAAGTGAATACTAACGTAATCTAGCTCTCGAAGCGAACCCTCCAATGGGTCGAAGGAAATGGTCGGGCCGTGGAAAGTCGTATGGGCGGAACGAGCTCATTGCAGAGTTTATATACAACACCACAGGCAAAAAGCGGACCAGAAAACAAGTTTCTAGCCATTTACAAGTCCTGGACTCGTTCCTGAAGGGAGATCCCGATTGTAAGATATTTGCCACAGTCCAACTAACGAAGACTGACACCATACACAGGGGAGCGCTTAGTCCGTGAACAGCAAGCAGAACGATCGAACAGCCAGTCTCACTCGGCTGGTTCCAGTTGGCGGACTTCCATGGAGCATCCACTATCGAGTCATTACAGTCACCCCTCGAGCTATCATGACCCCTCGCGGTCTATGCATCTTTATGGTGGGGAGCTCCCCCCGCCACATTTTGCCTTGAGCTCGATGAATAACTCCACGCCAAATATGATCCACGGTCTTAGTTTCGACATGTGGGTGAGCGCACCGAACAAACCGGATCGGGTCGAGGAGGCTTTTCACGCGTACACGTGTTTGCAAGGCGACCAGCGACACCCTGTCGGGCCTCCAATGCCGCTGGAGAGCCTTATCAACTGGCGTCATTCATTCCCCCGTCTTGGTGATTTGATGGCTGATGTGAATACCCCAATAAACTGCGATATCATCCTGCTGGAGACCAATCTGAAGTTGATGGATGATTTCCCACCCACTGGATCCCGGCTGGGAACCCAGCTGCAACTCGACTATTCCCATCCCACTGCGGGGGATACTTCGATGATCCACGATATGGACAACTGGGGTTGCAGCACCTATATGTACGAGGATGGCCAGACGATGTTGGAAGCCCACCACCGGGTCTCTAAACCAGCTTCTCCGAAAATCAAGCCCCCGTTCGAGTCGATATGGTGGGCCAAGCTATTCACTGACCTCACGCAAGAGAAGCGGGTAGCAGAGAGGGAGGGGAACCACTATGCTGCTGACGAACACGCCCGAAAATACTTTCGCTCTCTGACCGCAGTCCAGGAAATCCGGGCCACCCCGAACAGCTCTCGGCGGCTATCGAATCCGTACGGGGCGCAGACGGGGGAGGAAAGCCAGCGCATGGCGATCCTGCTCTGGAAGTTCCGCCAAACCCGACCTGGGGAGGCAGGAACAACCACCTGGCGGCGGCTGATTCCCCCACCGAGCCGAGTCGCTACGAACAGTCCACGAACAGCATCCGGCATCGACCTTCCGCCGCTCTCACTGGATGCGCTGCTTTCCAAGCCGGCTTCTAGCGCCTACCATGCACCACAACCACAGGATTCACTCCACAACAACGCTTCTCAACCCCCCTGGCTATATCAACCGCCAGCAGAGAACCTTCCTAATATCTATTCGACAGGGTCATTCGATTTCCTCAACGCGATCACTCGACCCGAAGAAGGCTTAAACGATAGAACCGCCGTCAGCTCGGTGCTAGACCCATACCCTGCTATACCACCAGCGGATACCAGTCAACCTTCGCATCTCAGCGGCGGAAATTCGGGCCCGATGATGCTTCAGGTGCCCGATATATCCTTGTCTCACTCGAACCTCGGTGGGTATGGAATGAGCCATGATGGGCACTACGTGCCATCCCAGTCGCACGGAGTCGGCGTTCATGATAATCAGGGCGTGCTCAACAACATTTTTGGATCATCCACGCAGCCCCTTGACGACCTCAGTCACAATCATGCGGCGTGGTCCGCCACTCCAGCGACAACTCTCCCCGGTGACATGGGCAACAACTACAGCCATCTATCATACCAACCGTCGGAGCACCCAGCACCCGTGTCGCGGGGATCGCATGGCGGTCAGTTTGAGGGTCTAATGAGCGCGGATGATCTGGGCCTGGACAAAATCGTGAGCAACATGCCGAACGAACAGAACCTGAACGGCGCTGGGCAAGACCACACGCATCAATCATATACGGAGGGGAATCATGCGGAGGCTGGCTAAGCAGCGTCTTCCGGTGAATGGGTTTACTTTATGATATTCATGGGCATTAAAAGTATCGTTCGTGGGGGCGTGTTACTGTGGAGTTTAGCGAGTGTCGTTGGATTGATTGGTTTACAATATCTGCTATTTGGCATACCTGCCCACCTACCCTAGTATCTAATACTCTCTCATAATGATACCATAATTGCTGATCGATCAGTGCTTCGGGTGTGCAATGCATAGTTCCATCCTTAATGAAAACACCAGGGAGTATAAGAGAAGACGAGAACATGGAAATGCTTTAAGTCAATCGACGACAGGTCTCCAGGGTATAGTGTATCTTTGTACTTCGCTAGGAGGGGAAGAACGACGCTCTTTATATGGGATCTACACTTATCGGCCAGACAAATCCTGGAGGAGAGATATATGTTAGTCTAAATATTGATCATTCTTGATCACATGATGCAACTGCCAGTCTCAGCCTCGTCGCGTCGACCCCGCTCTTCTCCTATCCACACAATACCTGACCGCGACTTGTGGGTCTTCGACTTAGTGTGATCGCAATGATCCTTGTCGTGTAATCCGCCAAAGGCCCTATACTGAATGACTTTCGTCAAAGCAGTATACCTTCTCCTATCATGCCCATCGAAGAATCAAGATGACCAGCAACATTAGGCCATTTGGGCTGACGGTCATTCATAACCCTCCCGAGACGGCAACAGTTGAGTATGTGGTAGCCTTGCAGGGATCCTACCACAATAATTTCGTCCATGCAACTGACATGTATGGTTCGCTAGCATTGTCTTAGTCCACGGGCTCAGTGGCCATCCAAAAGATACATGGACTAGCGACACGGGCACTTTTTGGCCTGCTGATTTGTTACCACATGCACTGGGCCAGTCTCGGGCTAGAGTGCTCACTTACGGGTACGATGCCTCTGTACAAAATTTTACAGATGGTAACGGCTCTGGTGGAATACACGGCGTTGCTGAGACCCTGGTGTCATCACTCGCAGCGAACAGAAATGTGAGGGAACCGTGACGGCATGTGTACTGTGGCTATCTCGTTCGACTGACACCTGGACAGCTTCGAGGATGCTCTGAGAGACCCATTATATTCATTTGCCATTCTCTCGGGGGCATCGTTGTCAAAAAAGCTCTCATCTATTCGCACTCCGTCTCCAACAAGAGAGTGAAGCACCTGAGATCGGTTTTAGTATCAACATATGGATTGATATTCCTGGGAACCCCACACAATGTTGACGATGCTGGGCAATGGAGCATGGCTCTGCAAATGCTATGCGAAGCGATACTGCCTCAGCAGCTCGTCCAATCTTCCCCACAGCTAATAAGGACCTTGAGTGAAAATAACGAATCTATAAGGGACACCAACAGCCTTTTTGCAGATTTGTGGAATAAATTCCATGTTTGTTTCTTTTACGAAACCGAGGGCATCAGTCTTGAAGGATACAAGTATGTGGTAGTGGATGAACGCAGTGCTGCCCCGATCATAGAAGGCGCTGAGCGTGCTGGAATCGCAGCCGATCACATCCATATGTGCAAATTTGATGATGCAAGCGCCACATACTGGAAATTCATGGCGGGAATTCTTTCGAGATATTGCATTGAGGCACCCCACGTCATCGAAACTCAATGGATCCAGGAAAGGCAGGAGAGACATATTCAGGAAGAAACAAAATCCGAAGGTACGGAAATTTACTAGGACAAGTCGAGCTTTGTGCTGATTATACAGAGTTTGCACCGTCTATCGAAGACAAGCCCAATGAGCAGATCATTGGTATGCAGTACAATGTCCCTGTCCCAAGACTACTACAAGAACAACATTTTTTGTGGGATGTACAACAAAACTTAGAGCCACAGCCGCTTTTTGTAGTCCCCCCAGGATTCCTTCCCAATAAGACTTTTTTTGGACGGCAAAAGGAGCTGGAGATACTGCATTATCGCTTTTTTAATGTTAAACGTCGCGAGTCAAGTCCGTCTTGCATCCTTATAAGTGGACAGCCTGGTTCTGGGAAGACGCATCTAGCGCGCCAATATACCTGGTACCACCGGAACGACTATCCAGGAGGGATATTCTGGATCGATGCCACGTCTCATCAGTCGATGCTCACATGCATTAAGAGTGTTACAAGTGCCATGCTTCTGGACGAAAATGAGCGAGCCATCAAAAGGGGGAAAACAAGCATCTTTGATTCACAAGATCCTGTTGTCTTTCGAGAATGCCTCAGTACTAGAGAGGGATGGCTCCTTGTTTTTGATGGCCTCATCTTTGATAACGACAAGGAGCTCTCGGATTTCAGCCAATTTCTAATCCCTAACAGGAGATGCAGTATTCTATATACCTCCGAGGATGTGACGCTGAGCAAAAAGCAGCAGTTGTTTGAGCCATACTGTGTTTGGGTGCCACCCTTGCAGATTGAAGATGCCTGTAAAATGCTGTTCAGAGAGCTTGGTATCAGGAGTCCAACCACAGAGCAGAGGGAAAAGGCCAAAGAGATTGCACTCCATTATGACTGCCTTCCGGGACCAATACATTCAGTCGGCCTAGAGATACATGCAACAGGCGGACCCCTTGAAGGATTCCAGCTTAATTCGCATTTGTCAGATCCTGAAGTTCGACAGCCGTTTCTGAACAATGTGCTTTCTCTTCGCCGCAGGAACCACCGTGGAGCTAATGAACTCCTCAACCTGATCTCTTTCCTCGATCATACAATACCTGTCTCTCTCATCGAAATGGGAGCAAGCTCTCTAGCGAGAATCCGCTCTGGACAAGGTGGAAATATCGATGAACCATTAGGGATTCTTGTCCGCTATGGAGTCATTGGTATAACATTTAAGCCCCCGGATGCACCCACACCTAACGAGGCCCAGAAAAGCCGGAGGAGCTTCTCTAGATCCACTTGGGCGAAGCCCGACAAGCCAACCCTGGTGGAGCGCGTTGGTAATATATTTAGAGGGCGTGGGAAGAACAGTCCCAAAATACGTGAAAAATCCAAAAATTCCTCGAAAAATACGACTATGGGGGAAGATGGTATATATCTAGATCCACTTATAACCACCGACATTATCACGGTGGACAAAGACGTCCAAGCTTTCTGTCGTGACGAGCTGAGAGCTGAGGATAAAAACAGGAACGGAGGCAGCCCTCGCGGAGACGTTGCGGGGATTTACGACACTTGGCTCATCCGAGCAACAAAATTTCTTTGCAAGTCTTTTGAAAACCTTCGACGTCAGGCTCCTTCAGTGTTCATAATTGCTGTGAACCACCCCATGTACATGTCGAATGCTAAAGCACTGGCTGGCAACTTCCCCAAAGATTTATCTTCGGCACCAGCTACAGTTAAAGAGGCCCATAAAAATCTGAATCTACTGATGCAATATATATCTTTCAGTAAAGAAACAGAAACGCAACCTAGAGGTTTGATATATCATTGGTCGAAAGAGCCTTCATCTCCAGGGTTATTTTTAATGGATGTCGAAGTCGAAGCAGTGCCATCCGCAGAGGGTCTGAACCGGATCGACTCTCGTGCGAGCAATGCTTCGCGAGAAGGTAAGATCTTGATCCTGGAAGCTGGTTTTGATGTGGTACCGCTTACACGCAAATTCCGTTCCTAGATATCCCACATGTCAGCGATGAAGATCGTATAGACAGCGGTACAGTGGAGGAAGATCTCGACGAAGATGACACCTCCCTGGATAGTAACACGACGAACGTGCCGCCTCCAGAAAAACCTAAGACACCTAACTTCAGCGAGAAGCACAAGGGAGGCAATTATCATTCTAGCGAAGCATCCGTCTCCGACAATCTGCAGTCGCCCCCTGCTTCGGGCGAGAAATTTGACCCGAAAAGTACAGTAGAGTCTGTGTCACAGTACATCTCTGATCAAATATTCTCAAAGAGGGCCTCCCCTACCCTAGACACAGAACCTATCACAATTTCCCAGAAAGTCGAAGTACAGACAATTTACTCTGATGCATCGACAATTGATCCGTTTATCAAGGATGCATACATTCAGGAGCTCGCAAATCTGCTTCTTAATGAGGTTTACCAATATCGAACGGATAGCAGTTCCATCAACCGAGTTGCTACGGCCTTGCCTGGATGTTTGAAAGCATTCTCATTGAGATTTGGATTCACCCGAACATCAAAGATACATCGCAATATTATGGCGTTTATCCACAAACACCGTCGGTAAGTGTTCAAGCAAAATTCATTCATTGCTAAATCTTGCATTTGTGATGCTCATGGATGATGGAAATAGAGATATTACCGATGCGTTCGTTGACGGGTCGGCAGAAAGCCAGTACAAACCAGATGATGTTAGCCATAGTGACAAAATGAGTTTGACTGAACTCATGGATCTCTGGCGTAAACACGATAAAGGTCCTATGGATGAAGATATTCAAGATCAGCATATTGAACGAGACTGGGAGGAAAGCGAATCTGTTAACGCTCCATCCACGCCGATCCTCGACAACAGTGATGGGTACGATAGAGAGGATATTGATTTGCCAGAGCTCAGGAAGTACCGTCACTCGATCATAGAGACCGCTGCATACAAATGGCTCTTGACAGACCTAGGCAAACACTGCTTTCTCATTCCGTCCGACCCTGATGTGATGACCGAGATTAGACAGAAAATTCTACAGAGCCTACCGACGACGCAGAGATTTAGCAGAAGGGTGCCATCTGCTTCATATAAAATGACATACAATGTTGATTGGGACCCACTGTCATTTTTGAAGGACCAGGGATACAAGGAAGAGCCTTCTGAGGCCGTCGCAACGGCCATCACATTGACAGGCTCTGCCAACACAACTCAGGCACTAACAAGCTCACAGTACCTTGAGCAGACATGGCCCTCCTCTGCACCACTGGTTCTTGAGATTATCCAGCAGGCTCTTAGGAGCCAGCGAGGAGATCATGCTACAGGTAATTTGACAATATCCTAAGGGGGTTCATCGCGTTAACTTAGTGATTGAACTAGGCGAACTTTCCGACGGCACGGAATTTACAATATGGATTGAGACACCTAACCCGTCTGGAAAAAACACGCTGCTTGTCGAGGTCATTGGCACTCCCTATTCAGTTGCTGAAATAGGAGAGCAAATGGCCTGGATTGGTGCCTCCCTTCGCTCGTCACCATATCAAGGAGTCGCATTCAGCCGACCAATGGTAGACAATATTCGCGTCATTCAAGGAAAGGGCAAGGCTCCAGCAAAAGCTTATCTTGCAGAGCTGCAAAGCGACATCGGGTTCCAGGTTTATTCAAAACAGCCATCAGAGGCGAACGGCCTGTGCTGGCATGGCCTATTCCGGAATCCCGTGGTTGTAGAGGGCTTTCCAATTTTACGGCGGCCTGATGAGAGAACAGTGAGTGGCCTTGAGGTACCGTTATACATTATGGCTGGCCTTGCACAAGCAAGATACGTGAATACTTTCATGGGTAGGGTATATGTCAAAGGGTTTTCGACTATGCTGGTCCCGACTGAGCAGTGTGATGACATGACTATGTGGCATCTGGTTCACAACAGGAACGGAGATAGAATATCCTACCTAGACAGCCCAGTCATCCCTACAGAACAAGTAACGATCCCACAGCTTGAGAAAGCTCGCCATGTCCTTGGGTGGTGCTCGGAAGCTAAGTACCTCGCGGGTATGTTCTAAAAAGAAGAAGCCCTTATGGCTGCTGACGAGATCTGCTAGGAACATCGGATATCAGCTATCAGATAGCAGGGTCTCGACTTCCAAAGCCCCGTGATGATTGCATCCTTGACCAAACATCTGTCTCAAGTGGACAGATGATAGTTGGAGGAGTGCCGTTTGCCGTTGGCTACAAAGATACGCCATTCCACATCTCGCGTGGTGGCTACATCAGGAAGCTCAAATGGATTTTCAAAAAGTCGGTAGTGATTTGGGATGAGGGAGAAAAGCGGGGATGGCTGAACAACGGGACAAGCGCCCTGTTGCACCTTGTCTGTGCCTCTCTTGTGCATGATAGCAAAGACGAGTTCAGCTCGGAATTTCTGTTTCGATGGGAAGATCTACAGAAAGCACCGGTTCCTTTTTCAAACAAGCCCCACGCTGCCATTTCCGTGCTTCTGAACCACACCAACCGCAGGCTCAAGATCTACCCTGAAAAAGACGATTTCGTCCGTTTTGAAGACCGGGTAGAGCATTTCTTGAACATCCTAGAGCAGATCATTGACCATCAGGTGCTCGCGGCAGGGCCGGACGGCAATCTCTACAAATCCAAACGTATCCCTCGGGCGCACCTGGAAGGTTGGGATTTTCATGACCTGTCAAGTGACATCGATCCTGTTTATCCGAGGGTTGCAACACTTCCTACAATGGGCAAGGGATGGGTTGACTTCGTCCGTTCCATCCCTGCTATAACGTTGCTGGGACGCGGGTTCGGGGACTTACTACAGCCTGAAAATGTTTCCTGTACTCATTGGGCCTCACTTCCCAGAGACAAGTACTACCTTGCTGCAGGAATTGCTGACTTGGAAGAAATAATGGATTCATCCGGAGATAAGACAATGTATCCCATCAGGTTGACAGAAAATCTCACGTGGCATAATCTTGAGACGGCATTCGCGCCTTGCGAGTGTGTCAGTGGCCATGAGAAACATTTGGACGTTGTCCAGGTGATTTTACCGCCTACAGTATTGGATGAAAGCGGAGTCCCGAGGAGTCCCGTTGATTTTGAAGAAAGTGGAGCTGTTGTTTTCGGGTATAACGAGAATATTCAATGGTGCTGGGACGATCACGGCGACCCGGAAAAGGGCTCACTCGAGTACTTCGATAACCAATCCTCGTTCAAGGAGTCGGATCGTGGAAATCACCTGACGGTGCTATCTAGTGAAACCGCAACTGATAGTGCACAAGTATCGAGGGCCACAAGTCCATCAATGGAGGACCTGGTGGAAGAACCCAGAGATGTGATCTCTAATCGACTCGAACCACTGACTAAATCTTATACCAAGTGGAAACTGGAGGGATTAGTGGCGGAGGACTACTCAATTGGCATTGTATGCGCATTGCCGTTAGAGCTACTCGCTGTGCGTGCGCTTTTTGACATGACGCACCCTGACATCCACGTGGCTGCAGCGGACTCCAATCACTATGCGCTGGGTAACATGGGTAGACACAAAGTGGTAGCTGCATGCTTGCCAGACGGGGAGTACGGGACCAACTCGGCAGCAGATGTCGCTTCAAACTTGCGTCGAACATTCCCAGCGGTCAAATTCTGTCTGCTCGTGGGAATAGGCGGCGGCGTTCCCTCTTCGCGGAACGATATTCGGCTCGGCGACGTGGTCGTGAGCAAGCCCATTGGCACGAATCCCGGTGTGATGCAGTACGACATGGGCAAAGCTCTTGAGAACGGAATTTTCGAGCAGCAAGGGTTCTTGCAACCGCCGCCACGACTGGTCATGACTGCTCTCAGTAATCTGAAGTCTGACCCTCACCTCTCGCGGACGCCGCTCCAAGGCTACATCGAGGAGATTGCTGCCTGCAGAAGGGAGTACCGATATCCGGGGGCAGAACAAGACAGGCTATTTGTGAGCGAATTTGCACACGATCCGCGATACCCCACCTGCGACCGTTGCAGTCTCTCTCACCAGTGCAGAAGACCAGGACGGCCTGATACCCACCCACGCATACACTACGGGCTCATAGCGTCGGGGAATCGAGTTGTGAAAGACGCGCGACTGCGGGACCAGTGGAGCCGAGAGAAGAACGTCCTATGTTTTGAAATGGAGGCGGCAGGGATAGTGAATACTTTGCCGTGTCTGGTTGTGCGTGGGATCTGTGATTACTCGGACAGCCACAAAAACAAACGGTTCCAGGAATACGCAGCTGCGACTGCGGCGTCATACGCTAAGCTACTGCTATCCTACATGAAAGAGACGAACGACCTGGAGGGAGTATTGCGGCCGCCAAAGATGGACGAAACTGCTCTTCTCAACGTGTTTAGAAGGGGGTTTTCATTCCTGGCATGGGGAAATGCGTGATGTTGAAGTAACATGTCTGTACATAGCAATAAAATCCTACAAGCTTATGGTCTTATCACGTACACATCTCCTTAGAGCTGACGACCCAATTCTGCAAATACGGCCAATCAATATACTTCGTCGTCCACCCGGCCAGGTTTTAAAATTTACTCTTTCTCCCAATTGGCAAAAGCACAAACTCCCACTCAACACCCAACATGAAAACTCGACCATCCCAACTCATCAAGCCCTCCTCCCCAGCTGCAAAAAGCACTCTCTCATACGCGTTCTCTCCCCTGATCCCCACCGTCACCGAAACTAACCCATCGGGGAGATCTCCCGGATTAGGCACAAACCGCAGTCGGCAATTCGTGAATACATTCTCATTTCCCTCACCACGCACGCCGAATAACTCCTCCCATTTACGCGCTGCGCTGAGGGTATCTTTACTATTGCTGTAGTCTCCGGTTGCTAGCCGACACGTAACACCTAGTAGTTGCAGATGCGTACGACGGGACATCTCACGCGAGTAAGTAGGATAGTCGGCTCCGCAGGGAGGCCAGGGTGCTATTGGAGTGTCTGCAAATGACGGTATATTCGATTGCTGCTGGTTTGGAGTGTAGGTGTCTAGCTCGGGCATTATGTTTCCTATTCCGCAGTCGTCCGCTGATCAGTACCATAACCCTGGCATTATCAAGGGGTACGAGGGGTAAAAAAAAAAGAAAAAGCACAAACCAGGAATACCCTTCGGACTAAATTGCGTACGGTCTACACTCCCACTACTACCATCACCCTCACTAGCACGCTGTCGTAACACAACCGTCGCCAACTTCTGCTCCTCTATGAGCTGCGTACGCGCTGCAGTGTCACCCACCTGCATGATGAGCATGTATCCGCCGTCTCTGCCGCGCTTGTGGAGGAGTCGACTCGCTGCGGTGGGTGTGATAGGGTCTATTGGGGAGAGAACTTCGATGATGTCGCCTCCTAGGGGGACTATACACATACGACATCGTTAGGTTTGCGGGTTGATTCTCGGCTGGTATAGGACCTGGTAAATGGACGTACCGAGAATGTTGCGTAAACCAAATTCTGCGACTTCCGGCTCGCGATTGATTACTTCTGTGTTGAGGATTTTCGTCTGTTGCTTTGGTTAGTTAGGTGTACTAACTGGGAGACTTGGGGAGAAGGGTAAGTGGGGAGAGAAGAGGTACAATTTGGCGTTCGGCTTGGGGGAGGTCGTGGACGAGGAAGGCGATTTGGCGGAGGCGGATGGGCTCGGTCATTGTGTTATTTTGGCTTCAGATAATGTTGAAAAGCTTGGGTGTTGATATGGGGACGGTGAATGTTTGGGGAGATGTCGGCTGCTGGGATGCGGGGATTGTCCATCCTCGGTACAGGGATGTCTATATGAGGCGGCCAATGCCAGGCTGCATATGTATGTCTTCGTATTTCTATAGAGAACTGCTCTAAGCCATGGCAAGACCCTGGAATGAACGATGATTGTATATTTGGTAAGGCGTCTTAAATAATGAAAATAGATGTTAATAAACTGACAAACCACGAAGAAAAAGTATAGTATAGTACAGTACAGTATAGAGCAGACCTATCCAATAAACAACCAAGCCACCAACCCAATCCAAGCTCCACCAACAATAATCGTCAAAACCGCAGCACCGGCTTTGTCGCCAGTGGTAATAGGTGCCGGTTTCTTATTTCCACCCTTTTCGCTATCACTACCCGCATTAGGATCACTCTTACTATTGCCGCCCGTCTTCACAGACACAGGTGGCTTGTTCGACCGGACGATGAGATTCGACAGGAACGCACCCAGCGCGCTCATCTGCTGCTCCATGCCCGTGCTGCCGTCGTACTTATCCTTGTACCAGCGCTGGCCGCATGCGTTCTTGGGGCCTGTGCAGGAGCGCGCGGCTGCCTGCGCGGTGGATTCCAGCTTCGGGATGATGCGCTCGGCGGTGCTTGGGACGATTTGAGTCACGAAGGCGAGCCACGTCGTGTACAGACTTTTGTAAGTTTTCATGTTGTTATCGCAGGTTCCGACTTGCTCGCAGTAGACTTCGACCATGGTTTGGCCGTTGGGGTTGAAGCCGTCGTATTTCATCGGGAAGAACTGCTTGAGTCCGTAGTCGAGGAGGCCGTTGACTCTTTTGAGCCACTTTTCGTCGCCGTTCGTCTGCGTCTTGTTAGCATGGTGTTGGTGTGGAAAGGGCGGGTTGGTGGGGGATACAGACCAGGTTGTAGAGGTACGCGGCCCCTGTCATGTAATGCCCATAATTGTATGTCCACTGCTCGTTACCGGACTCCTTGCACTGCGAGTCAACGCTGACAGTATCGGCGACGTGCCAGGTTTGATCATTCAGGAGCGGCGTAGACGCCGACCAGTCCCAGATCTTGATCGCCCAGTCCTTGTACCTCTTGTCGTCGGTGTACATGGCTAGCCGGGCCGCCAGGTGGAACAAGCCCCCGTTGGAGACACTATTTTTGAGTTCCCACCCCGGAAGCCAGTTCCACATCTGCCAGCGCAAGCCACCGCCGCAGTTTCCCATGTCCCACCGGGCGATCTGCGTGTTGTAGACGGCCTGCGCGAGGGACAGCCAGGAGGGGCCACCTTTGGGATCGGGGAATTGCATCTCGGCTGCGGTGATAGCCGCTATGCCCCAGAACATTTGATCGTCGTTGCCCTGTGATGATCATTAGTTGTTTGATTTGGATGATCGCCGGGCAGCGGGAAGCAGGAGCGTTGTGGGGGTAGAGGGGGGGCATACGAGCCAGCTAGTCGCATTATCAGGCATGTAGTCATGTTTATCACCCGACTGATGCACCATGCCTTGCGTCGACGCGGCGTTATAGGTGTCATCGTCCGTTACGCGCCAATACTCGATCATGTGCATGAACATGATACTGGCCTCCCACCAGGTGCCATCGAGTTTACCGGGCGTTTGACCGGACTCGTTGCCCTTGTAGTAGTGCATCATGCCCCAGGCGGCCGTGGAAGCGGCATCCCGAAGGGATTCTTCATTTTCATCAGTAAATCATGATCGGCTGCAAGGAAGGCCACTGTGGAGAGGTGGAGAAGGAGAAGAAAAACCCACCATCGCTCTGGATATCCAAGTCGATAGCCGTAGCCGAGGGGACCAACAGCATGGCCAGCCATACTGTCGGCAGATATGACGAAAGCTTCATCACGAGGGGCAGCCGCAAGCTTCCAAACCGGGTATATTAATGATCAACAGAGACGAACGGGCACACGAAAAGAGGCCGTCCGGGGCCCAAGGATCCTCGCTGCAGGCGGCTCTGTCCGATCCTCGAATTTCCGTCCAGCTGTGTGTGTCCAGCGTCCAGTCGCGTGTCGCGACAGACTAACAGGAAGCGATAGACTTAATCCTGTCTACTAGCGTCTTACTCTACCAGCTCTGTCCTGATCGACTCGACTCTGTTCATCCAATGGGTGGTGAACAAGCTCCGAAAGAAACCGATCTTCTGCTAGGGGTACTCCGACGCGTGGAAGACGTGAGTGTGTGAGCGAGGGAATGCTGAGAGAGTGCTGAGGGAAGGAGGTCAGATCCTGGTTGACAAAAGTCAGAACTAAGGAGTCGTTCACAGCCCCTTAGGTGCTGATCCAAAGCCAATCCGAGACGAGTCGACGAGTAGCTGCAGCCGTTTTGTTACAAGAAACACCTTTACACAAGCGTGACAAAGGATGGTTGGATGGATTTGGGGAAGGATCAGGATCGGACGCCTGAAATGAACTTTGTATAATATTTACTGATATCTTTGGATATCATTGGGGGAAACTACCGCTTAAATTGTCCAGGATGAGATCCTTCCGGCCCTGACCGGGCTTTCCCAGGGGCAATATCATGCTGTTTGTAACATGGGCATAATCCACCAACCCTGGGATTGGAGCCTGAGGAAGGGACTAACCCGTCATGGAGATATTTTGTCAATGCTGACTTTTCTATTATTATTCAATCCCATGAGGCTGGTGTCTGATGGTGGGGGGGTATGCGTTCGGTCTAAAAGCACTAAAGCCACTAAATTAGAAAGTTCCCAGGCTGAATCGACTGACTTCATGCTGCAGCACTAGGCGTCTTAGGGCTTTTGCTGGTTGGAACAAGCGTCGCCAAGCGTAAGACAGTGGGTCGGGACGTTAGTTCTCACAGGATCCATCCCGCAGGATTCGTCGGGCATGATTCGAGTCCAATCAGCCGTGCCAACTCAGTTGAAGTCCGGCATTGTCATGTTAGAGGGTGACACGGGTTCGCCAATCAAAAGTCGATGCGAACCAACAAGTCGATCTCGATGGAGTACCGTAAGATTTCTCTAAATGGCGGAGCATCCATGGGTCATACCGAGTAGCTTGACCGGTCGCCACCGATCTCTTGTATCCATTCTACTATCCACCTCCCGATGTCAACCACATCAACGAACATGAGGGATTAAAGAACGTCAGTATACGTGCATGAGATGAAGAAAATTAACGGGAAAGAATAAGATCTTGGACGGAAGCGAGGGGCCAAAGGCCCGGACACCTGCATAGCCCTGCTGTCCCGAGTTGGTGAAACCGATGTCGATCACAACGAACAGCCTCATCTCCAGGACAAATGCCAAGGCGTGGTTTCGACCGGGGTCTGATAAGCTAAGAATCCTTTCAGTCAATGCTTTTTGAGACTTGTTTATTATTGGGCACGCGGGATCCTGCAGGAATTAATTAGAGGATATAATACGGAGGGGTTTGTGACAATACATTTCCAAAGGATTTCTGGAGGGCAGCCTTGCCCCGTACAGCCTGGCACGGGGTTTCCTAGCCCTAATTTGTCCAATGAACCAACACCTGGATGGGCACTGCGCATGATTCCCTACCTGTTCGTGGACAACGAGCTCTGGTTGTCGAAAGATAGTATCCATAGAAAAAAAAATTCTAGAATATCATTCAGAAACTCCGTAAAGGTTAAATCAGTGGGGTCGTACGGAGTAGATACTGACCTCATGGGAAAGGCTCAAGAACTTCCGGCCCCAGTCCGATCACACTGTATTATGTAGATCCGATGGATCAATGTAAGCAGTAGAGTTCGGCCGTGCAGAGCTAATAGACAGGGCAATCTGGCTGTTCTGTTTTAGACCTAGGAGTTCGATGCCTTTCGTTGAAAGGTAGTCGACCAACAAGACCCTTTCCCAGTCTTCCTTCCATACTCCAACCGCCGCCAGAATGCTATCCATAATTAACAGTCTTCTCCGGCAAAGGAAGAGCCGGTTCTTGCTTTTGGGGACGGTGCTCCTTCTGCAAACCTATGCTCTTCTCTGTCTCTTCTCCTCGCCTGCCGTCCCAGGCGAGGACGACTCCCAGATCAACAGATATTTCACAGTATGCCTTCTACCCCCTATCATCTCAAGATAGACAGATAGACGCTATTTGTCACATAGAGTTTCCCCAAGTCTAACGTTGTAAAGTGGGAGAACCCCTCCTTTGCCTACTTCAACAATCAGTTCATCCTCCACCTCGCCTCCGCCGTGAACAACCCCCTCCCCACCCGCAAACTCCTCTCCCCCGGAATTACGATCCCCGCCGTCCGCGGCGTTCAGAGCGAGAAACATGTTCCAGTAACAGACATCTTCGACGGCGCCAGTCTCGACAAACTCGGGTACGAAACCAGTCCCGCAGCGCAGGCCTTGGTCGGAGATGGCACCACACCGACCCTGCAGGTAGACCACTACACCGAGATCACCGACTCGCCATCGCACCCCATCGTCCAAGCGACCGCCGCCACGGAGTCTTACTGGAAATGGAGCGCCATCCGCTTCACAGCCGAGGCCTTCCTCCTCCCCTTCACGGGACACCGCTGGCGCAGCGCAGCACAGCACTTTCAGCTCGCCGAGCCGCTCCAACGCTGCGTAGACAGCATCCTTCCCGAGATCATGCCGCATGCAATCGCCATGCACCTGCGCATGTGGCCATCCGATCTCTCCTTCGGCCAGAAAGATCCATGCCACACTAACGAAGTGCCCGTCCTCAAACACGTCTTCTCCAAATGCGACTGGTCCGCCAACTACCTTTACCAGAACGTGCAGCGCGTGCAGACGAGCGCCTCCCAGCCCGTCGTCATCGCCACCGACGACAGGAAGCACCCCGCCGTGGTAGACCTGATCGCCCGTCTCGGTGATCGCGCCCACTTCATGGAGCCGACGGGCTCCTGCGCCGCCGCCCTGAACGCTACCGTTCCAGAGAATGAGCGGAAGTGGCGCGCGGCCGCTTACTGGCCCATCCTCGAGGCTGCGACTATGGTGCAGGCGGAGGCCTTCGTCGGCAGCTTTTGGTCGACGTTCTCGCAGCTGATTGCTGTCCGCAGAATGGATACGTCCCGAACGTACTTTGTGCAGAACAGGGCGCAGGCGTTCCTGTGGTGGTATCGGTGGGGCCTTATTAGCTCTGCGTTGGGTGTGGCCGCTGTGCTGACGGCTTCATTCTTCAAGCGTTATTCTCGGAGCCGGAGGGCCTCGATGTTGAAGGGAGACGAGGGGACCCTTCAGGTGTAGTTTATATATAGCTTCTTTTGTTTCTTTCTTTTGTAAATTGGCATGGGTTTGGCGGGTTTGTTTGGACACTTGTATATCAATTGGGCGGAGTTTTCTTTGTTTTGAACATAGTATGGGATTACTATAAGGACCCCGGGTATATATCGGCGATATCTATATAACTGACAACTGTGTTAGAGGGCATATATCTTGATCTCTATCAAATCCTGTCATTAATTTAGCTTCTTGGATTATACATGTGAGGAGTATGATACCACTGCCTACTACATACTGGATGTTCCCTTTCCTGACTCGTATAGGTTGAAGTTCAGCATCTGCAACCTGGCCAAACAACTGAAGATGGTGATGAGGTAGTAATAGTGAGGAGCTTCATATACTGCTCACTAAAATTTTAACCCAGCATCCAACATACTATCCTGTGCCATTCTGGTTGCAGGAATAATATAGTCTCATCTAGACCACGCCTAACAAAGTGCAAGGGTACCATCATGCACATGCGTTTTCGGAAATCCTGAGCATTGTTCCCTCTTGTTGTAATTGAGTTTCTCTTTCGGAATTTTTCAAAGAAGGATTGAATTATGTGTCGGCCACTGTTATTGGGTACCTTTTCTTTAGTAGTACATAGGGAAGAAGGTGTGATCAAAACCTTGATGAGAATGACGATATCGAGTCTATGGAAAAGGTTGCAGGATCGTATGAAAAACAAAAGAAAGAATGAATGAAAAAAAAAAAAAAAAGTGAAATGAAAACTGCAAATATCGCCGACCGTAGTCACCAATCCTACACTGAGTAGAATAGTAAGCAGACAACAGTAGGCGGTTGCCTATTTTTGTAGCAACCCTGTCATACTATCATTACCTATACAAAATTTTGACTACTGCCTCAGTCACCAGACCACGGGACAATTGAAAGGATTCAGCATCCTATAGATGTCTGATATATAGCCCAATTCACAACCTAGTCATAGGCAACAACTTTACCCGGATTTTTAGGATCGGACTCGATTAAAGTATGGCCATTCGTGCCTTAGACGTCCAGGAATAAGAGAACGACGATAAGCTGCTGTCTATATATGGGCTAAGCCTCACGAGCTTACGAGTCCCCCTGCGCGCGGGGAATTCATAAAATTGCGTCTTATAACCATTCTTACGTGTTTTGCACCTTGAAACACGGTGTTGGAAATGTGTTGTCTTGACACGTTTATCTTATGCCAGTCAGGTATCGTCAATTTTCATCTCTTCTGCTGAGACATTACTACTTGTTCTATCCGTATATCGGTGGTATATGACAGCATTATGGGGAGCTATTGTATGTATACCTCTACGCTTATGTTATGGCCAAAGCTATCATAATATCATTAGCAATCTCCGAACATTTCATGTATACCTGCAGATACCATTGATTATCCGAACGGGTCTACGTCAGATATTCATGCTTCTTCTACTATGATACCATATATTCGGACTCCTTCACAGGATGACCGCAGAATGATTCCGATTTGTGGAATTCTACAATATCTCTATAGATGTATCTACATTCTCAATAGCCCACCCGTTTAGGCATAATCAAAGATGTGATATTGGCGCACGTTTGAATGGTCTAAGCGTTAAGATGCTCCTGCTAAGCGAAACTGTCGGGGCCGAACTCCGTGACATTGTAGGGAGTGTAGGTAAGATGATGACAATGATGATTAGGCTGATGGATCCGGAGTTTAAAATAGTTTGTGGCTGGCGTTCAGGCACCTATATTCCACGCTTGGTATCAACACGACGCTCTGACCGACATCTATACAAACCTTGACGGGCATCATGAGTTGAATAACCTTAAAAGGCACGCTTACGCCCATGATCAACAGGGAAATTGATACTCACGAACCCCCCCGCACCTGAAGCCCACTTACTTTTCTTTCATCGCCATGTCGGAGTCTGATATTGTTTGCACCCTCGATACCTGCCCTATCGAATATGGCTACATCAATTACCAGCCAAATGTCGCAGGGAACCTCTTTTTTGTGGCTCTTTACGGCGTCCTTCTTCTCGCGCAGCTGGCGCTGGGAATATTCAACCGTACATGGAGTTTCACCATAGCAATCATCCCAGGCCTCATCCTGGAAATCCTAGGTTATTTGGGACGATACTTTCTTCACAACAACCCATTTAGTTTCGATAATTTCCTACTGTAGGTGTTTTCCGAACCCTCCCATCCCAGACACCTGAAACTGACAAAACCAGTTATCTCATCTGTCTGACGATAGCACCTGCCTTCTTCACCGCTGCCATCTACCTTTGTCTCGCACGAATCATCATCGTCCACGAGGGCGAGGACATATCCCGACTTCGTCCCCGGACATACACTATCATTTTCATCTGCTGCGACGTAATCTCACTGATCCTGCAAGCCGCTGGAGGGGCAGTCACGTCCATCGCGGATGAGAGATCCCTGCGAGACACAGGCGTAAACGTCATGATAGCGGGCCTAGCATTCCAAGTTGTGTCACTGGCCCTGTTTATGGCTCTCTCTCTGGAATTTGCTTATAGCGCTTGGAGGCGCTCGCGGAGAACCGCTGCAGTTGCAGACAAGGAGGGTACATACGCCGATGTACGAGAAAGCTTGAAGTGGAAGTTATTCCTTGCTGGTATGTCTCCGTTGTATATTTATTTCCCCAACTTGATTGTTTGGATGGTAGGCTCATATGGTACAGGTCTTGCGGTCGCCACGATCACCATCTTCGTGCGGTCGTTCTTCCGCGTTTTTGAGCTCAAGGGTGGTTTCGATAGTCGGTTGGCGAATGATGAGGTGGCATTGATGATACTGGAGAGCGGGATGGTTGCCATTGCGTGTATCTGTCTGACAGTGCTCCACCCCGGGGTTGCGATGGGGAGAGCTTGGGGACAAATTAAACTGTCTACTTCTAAGCGGGATACGTAAATATGGATGATTCTTTTTTCTTTTCTCTTTCCTTTTTTCTTCTTTTTTCTTCTTTTTTGTTTGCTTTGACAATTTTAACGCTTAGGCAGGCGGTTGAATATTATCGAATAGCTCTAGCAAAAGGTCTCTTGTTTCTCGTTAACGATGACCCTTTTTATTATGATTATATGTATAAGATTGATCTTTGCCCAAGAAGCCCGTAGAAAGGTGTTGACTAGAAATGATTCATCGTAACAACGGACGAGGGAAGAAAAGAACTGTATTACATAGTTCTAGGTCGAGATAATGGAACATTTTCCACGTCTTCTCGCAATAGCATCAGTCGCCCATGTTGCTTCGAGTACTGCAGTCGAACCTTTGTAGACTCTGCGCTCTTCTCCATCAAACTGCTAGTCGAATACTCATTGTTCCCAAGCTTCTCCAGTCCGTGGTAAAAGGATGGCAGGGCCGACGATTTCCACAACGGGACATGGTTCTTTCGACTCAGCACAATGGTGAAAACCAAGAAAATGGTACCCAGGAGGACCAATGAAGCCGGGAAAACGAGCCATGGCCACTGTACGCTGACGAAAATTTCGTCAGACTTGACGGTCCCATGAACGCTCTCGTTGGTCGACTTCAAGCCGAGTCTCGTCAGCGAAGCGGCAATCCGCTTCATGGATTCTTCGAACCCGATTGTCACGATGCGATCGGCATTGAGCTCAATCCCGTTGCGCTCAAAGTCTGACTCGCCCTCTACACCTGTAATGTCTGCGCTTGTACGCCATCCCTCCATGCTATCCCACTGCCATTCTATCTGGTTCACAACGGGCAGAACATCGGACATCTGGCTCTGTAGCTTCTGCATATCCCAGTCGCAGAACGTGAGGTTCAAAGCGGGCTGGGCGTCGGTTTTATATGGATCTTTTGGTCGCCAGCAGGGTATCGTCTCACCGGGTTTCAGAGTGTCTGGGCTCTGGGCCAGATACAGCACACCGAGATCAGGGGCGGAGGTGTGTATCGACGCGTCCCCATTGGTAACCGAGATGTCATATTTTCGAAGACAGACCGAGAGGCCGCACTCGGTCACTTTATTTAGAACCACATCATCGGAGGTCGGGGCGTTCTCCGAGAGCTGGCCTTTCTTCATTCCAATTTCAGCGTACGCGTAGGCCACCAGCGGATTTTTGACACCAGCAAAGGTACTATTAGGGTGATCCGGATCTTCACTAGAGAGAAGATCTGGATAGTTCTCATAGGCCTCATCGCTCTCGTCGAGATCCTGAACTGAGAAGCGCCCCCAGATGGCCACGTTCGGCATCGACATATATCCCCGTTCGTTCGATATGGAAAAGCTTCCAGGAATAATCTTATTTCCGGATAAGGAATCTTCCTCTACCCATGGATGGGGCAGTTCGATATGGCACGTTTCATTAAAGCTCTTATCCGGAACAGGCAAGGAACAATTGAGCTTGGCAATGGAGGTCAGATCGACACACTGGCTACATATACCGATCGATGGGAATGGATCCCAGGTACAGTTGCCGGAGGAGCATTTGGGTTCGAAGCTCATGTCCTCGCTGGACCAGAGCCCTTGCATGATCGCATTTTTCCAGTCGATAATTTTCGGCGCTGGGATATATTTCGTTACCTGTGGTGCCGCTGCTCCACTCCGATTATCATGATCCGGCACTGATACTAGAGGATAGCTAATGACCTGCTGTATAAACGGATCAAATGCCAAAAGAAGGATAATCAGGGCTGCACCGAGACAGACAAAAGAACGAGCACGATGATTGATGACGATCATCAGCGATCCTAGCGGTCCTCTGCTCGCTGCATCGAACGACTGCATCCCAAATAGCCGTCTCTGGCTTGGATCTTGGAACCACAGCCATTTCAGCTGGCATATGGCTTCTCCTATGACCAGGACCAAAGATGACTTGCATCCCGTTGCCAGCACCGAGATAATCGTATTCAGCGTAATTTTATAGGCCAGCTGCGGTCGCTTTTTGTTGTCGTACGCCACAAGAACGCCAAAGATCGCGACCAGACAGGCGATGCTAAATGACAATGAGATGCCCTCGAAAAGCCATGAGTCTAGCCATATAGATCTCTTGGCTTTGGTTTTTTTTCCGTGGGTCTTCGTCTCGGATGGGGCCGCCGAGAGGCTCCTCTCCTCGCAATCCTCGGTATGGGCGCCATTCAAGGGCGCCGATTCGACGGTCATTGTCCGGCAATACGACTTTCGAGTGTAGAGAGGTCAGTATTCAGTGATTTTTGGGGAGTATTCAGGATAGAAAAATGAATGCAAAGCGCATTATACCTGTAAAGGGCACGACGCAACAAAATGGACTGCACAACGCGCCCCTCGGCTTAAAAGAGGAGGCATTGCATAGTATGGCTTTTCTCTAGTGTCAAATTCAAGCAATAACATCTGAAGCTCAGCCGCATTGCTAAAGTCTGTTTGCTTTTGTCCCTGCATCAGGCTGAGAGCCCCAGTAAAGATCAACGTGGGGGCCAAAACGCCTGTTGGACGGAGCAATTGTTCGGACATTGGCCGAAAGCATTTATGTATGGATAGGTATCAGCTATCGTTGATGATCAGTTGATTGGAGGGTCATTTTAGATGCATGGGTGCGAGAGAGCAGTGAATTTTGTCGTCACAAATTGAGGTGCAGTTGAAGGTTTCTGGGACTGAAGCTGCTATGGTTCGCCTACAGCCCGAATCATTTTACTCTAATTTCATTGATTTCTCTTCGCCTCATTTTACCAATTCATAGGAAGGCTTGAAAATTCTCATACTGTATTTGAGTGCAATATGTAAACAACTTAAATGGTATCCAGCTGATGTGTCATGCCAGGCAACTCCACATACCACGCCAAATCACTATCCTCCTTCATCTCCCAGGCCGTAAACCCATTGCCCATAAACCGGAACCGATTGGCACTCGAGTACTCAATATCCCAGTCCTCCCCACGAATCTCCTGCATCATCCGGCGGAACAGGATCGCGCTGCCGCCGAACAGCGCCACAACACGGCCGTCTGCCGTCCCCCGCTTGTACCAGCTCTTGCAGCCGCCCGTCCATACAAGCGTCTTATGCACTTGTTCGCCGTATTGCACGAATGCCTTCTCCGCGTCCAGCTTGGGCTCGACGGACTTGATGTCTTCCGTGGCGATCTTGCGGATCCACTTCATGAAGTAATCGCCCGTCCAGTTGAGGGACTCGACCAGGGAGCCGTGCCCGCCGAGACAGTTGGGGCCCATCATGATGAAGTAGTTTGGGAAGCCTACTGTCGAGACGGACAGGTATGTCTCCGGATCGATATTCCACTTGTCGGCCAGTCGTTGACCGTCTTTGCCGATGATTGGGAAATGGGGAATGTGCGAGACATCGAAGCCGGTGGCGCAGATGACTGTCCATGTGTCAGTCGCTTGCTGGACTGGATGTGATGAATAAGAAGAAGAATGAAAAAAAACATACCAACATCGCACTCAAAAGCCTTCCCGTCTGCCGTGTGCACTGCGTTCTCACTGATGTGGGTGATGGTGCTGTTGCTCAGATTGCAGTTCGGCAGGGAAAATGACTCGAGATAACCCTGACCCGGGGTGACGCGACGACAGCCGACCTCGAACTTGGGGATGAGCTTCTCGCACAGCTCGGGGTCGTGGTTAAGTTTCTCAGCCATTTGATTTCTGCCGAAACTCTGTGCTTCGTCGTTATTGCTTCCTTTTATGAACTGTTCCAGTCAGCACCCATACTGACTTGCTTCTTTATATAAAGTAGGTAAACATGATAAAAGAAGACATACCAGTCTGAATGTTTTGTTCGTTCTCCCCAAGATGCCCTTCCGGTACTGTCGATGCGTCTCCGGGTCTTGGAATGCCTTGATTTGCTCCTCGGTGTATGGCGGGTTCGGATTAGGGTCGTCATTTCCATGGTGCCTGGACGGCGGAACACGAAGGTACACCCACGCGGGACTGCGCATGAAGTTCATAACCGTTGTTCCGGGCAAATTTGCCATCTGAGGTGTGATCTGAATGCCTGACGATCCATTACCAATGACAGCGATGCGTTTCCCCGAGTAATCAAACTCGTGGTCCCAGTCTCCCGAGTGCGTGAGGTGGCCCTTAAAGACGTCGAAGCCAGGAATTTTGGGCCACACGGGATGTCTGGTTTCATTAGTTCGCTGCCTTGGTAAAAATATAACAATATACGAGAGACATACACAAGAACTCCCTGGGCTGAAAGGACGATCTCCGCATATTCAACACGCTTCTCTCCCGTGAGTGTGTTTTCCACCTCGACTCTCCATTCCCCCTTCTCGGCCTGCCAGGCCATCTCCACAACCCGCGTGTTCAACTGCAGGTCACGATCAAGGTTCCACTTGCGGACTGTCCGATGGATGTAGTCCTGGATCTCTGTTCCGCTGGCATAGAACTTGCTCCAGTTGGGGTTGGGGTCGAAGGGGAAGGCATATGCATGCGCGGGGACATCGCATTGCACGCCGGGGTAGGTGTTGACGAGCCAGGTCCCGCCTACATCCCCTCGAGCCTCGAAGATGGTGTGCGATACGTACCCATCTAGTTCTGGGAAACGGTGTTGGATCTTGTGCGCGATTAACAGACCGGAAAAGCCAGCACCGATGGTGATGACGCGGATCTTGCGAGCTGTGTATGCGTGCTCGGTCTTGAGAGGGACCGCATACGGGTCGTGCTGGGTCGTCCCGGAAGGGCCCGCGGAAGTGCCATTGGGGACTGAGAGGAGGCGCTCGACGTGCGCTTTGAGATGGAGGGGGTCGGAATCAGGAGTCGGGGTTTCCACGGAGGCAGTCATTTTGGCTGGTCTTGCTGCTTTGTTTGTGATGGTTGGTGGTTTACAGATAGATGTGGTGAATGGGATGGATCCTTATATAAATCACTGCTAAGGTAGAGACCACAAGAGTATGACAAGACAAGTCCCTTAATGATCTCTGGACATGGCCCGGCACATATCCTCTTGGATCATGTGTCCGGTTAAGTGAATGCATTGCCTGAAGGCTGGTATCTCTGGTTGTTCGGCACTCGGTAGAGTCGAGTTGACCGTCTACCTTCCCGCAGGTAGGATGCCCGGTTACCCAATTTGGCAATGGCAATAGTAGATGAATGCTGTAGGTAAATCGCTATGCTATGCTGATTAACTTCTATAAGCCGAGAAATTGGTAGTATTGTCATTCTGATACAGTTTAACGTTACCAACGGAGGATGACTGCTTCGGTTGGACGTGGTTAAGGACTGATGGGAATAGAGATCATGTGCAGAGAAATGTAATCACATACTAAGCGTAACTACTCAGCTACAAAAGATACCATACATCTTTGGCCTTCGTCAAGATCTCTATATTCAGTGCGACAGTAATTAAGTAACGCTGTGAGAAATTTGTATATAAATTATGACAAAAAACTATAGACTACTAGACACTGCTTCGTATGTCTTCTCTGCTCCATGCTCCATCTTCAGGTCGCAATAGTTCCTATCTGCCACATCTTGTGCACGTTGTCGATATCCTGGCGCAGGCCCTTGGTATCGGGCGATGATGCGTTTCTGCTTGTGTCCTAGCTCACGATTAATGCCTGTCATCCATGAATCCACCTCATTAGCCAGAAGACCCTGCGCACACGTATGCACATGCTCTGTCCACTCTGCCACTTTCTTCGAGTTCGTCTCAGCACAAGTGATTTCATGATCCCGGCAATACCTCAAAAAGCCCGTCACCCACTCCACGGCGTACTCAATACTGCGTGGGATATTCCCAAACATCTGATGTGGACCCAACACCATAGTCATGTTCGGAAATCCCTCGACAAAAAGCCCTAGAAAAGTGCGAGGCCCCTCCTTCCAGCGATCGCCCAACCGAACACCATCCCGGCCGCGGAAGTCCACCGCCGTAAAGGCGCCCGTGATAGCGTCGAAGCCCGTCGCGTAGATGATCATGTCGAACTCGAAGTGCTCCTCACTAGTCTGGATCCCTTTCTCCGTAACCCGCCGAATAGGCGTCTCCTTCGCATCGACCAGGCGCACATTACTTTGGTTGTACACCTCAAAGTACCCACTCTCCAGCGGGACCCTCTTTGTCCCAAACCCATGGCACTTGGGAATCAGCTTCTCCGCCGTGACTGGGTCATGCACGCGCTCGCGGATCTTGTTCGCGATGAACTCGCTAAACAGTGCATTCGCCTCGCGGTCGTAGCCAATGTTTCTGAAATTTCCCAGCCACTTGGCAAACCCACGCTCCTCATACAACTTGTTCCAAAACGCCTCTCGCTCGTCCTTGGGCACGTCCTGCACGCGGCGCTGGTCCGAGGTGTGGACAAATCCAGAGTAGGACGAGCGGCACTTGGTGAAGATCTCGTCGTAGCGCGAGCGGATGTCTTGCATTTCCTCCGGGGAAATGCGCGCGTTGCGCAGTGGGGCGCTCCAGTTGGGTGTGCGTTGGAAGATGGTGAGCTCGCCGGCCGTCTTGGCGATTTCTTGCACGGCCTGGATAGCTGTTGCGCCAGTGCCGATAACGGCGACGCGTTTGTTCTCAAACGAGATCGGGGTGTGGGGCCAGCGGGCCGTGTGGTACCATTCCTTCGTGAAGTCGTGGATACCGGGGATATTGGGCAAGGTGAAATTACTGAGGACACCCATGGCTGTCACTAGGAAGCGAGAGGTGTATTTGTTTCCTTTTGCGTCGGTGAGAAGCCACGAGTTGGTAGGTTCTTGGAAGTGGGCAGATTTGATGGTCGTGTCGAACTGCATATCGTCGTAGAGGTTGAACTTGTCGCATATGAACTGGCAGTACCGGAGCGTTTCTGGCTGGGGAGCAAAGTGCTCGTTCCATGACCACTCATCGAGTAGCTCTTTTGAGAACGAAAACTGGTACGACCAGCTCTCGGAGTCAAACCGTGCGCCTGGGTATCGGTTCCAGTACCATGTCCCACCAGGGCCAGATGCGGAGTCTAGTACGCGGACTCGCAGGTTCAACGTACGCATCCGATGCAGCGCGAAGATACCAGACAGGCCGCCGCCAATGATGAGGACATCGTAGTCGAGGTCCTGGCTGAGTTGCTCAAACGAAGGTGCTTCGTAGCTGCCCATGATTGCGACAATGGTTGGTGTTGGGGATGATCAAGTCACCCCGCGATCTGTCGCGGAATATATACAAATGACATTTCTAGACCAACGTCATCCTTTTCCGAAACATTGGTGGCCGGTAGTAACATGGGCTAGTAATATACCGGATAGCCGGCGGTCGTGTCGACCGAATTAGGGCTTCCCCGCATCCCCGGATCGTCCAAAGCTCCACCTACCAATATCCAACCAGCTCAACTAGAGCTCCTCCAGGAAGGACGCCAAGATTGTATCTAGACACATTGCCGGATATGCCTCGAAGCTCCTTTTTAATCTCCTGGAAAATGGGTCTGCTCTTCTTTCATCATGCATACCCTAGTTCACGATGGACAATCTACGCGCCTTCGAAGAGTCTCTCCCCGACGATGAGAAAGCAACGAGCACGCACATCCCTGACATCAGGAAGATAGACACCGTTGACACGCTTCATCAAGATGAAGCTCTCAAGGTACTTGCTGCCTACACAGGCGACGAGTCCTGGACGCCAGAAGAAGAGAAGAGGTTGGTCCGCAGGATTGACTTCAAGGTGCTGCCTCTACTCTGCCTGACTTATGGCCTGCAATACTACGACAAAGCGATGCTATCACAAGCTGTAAGAGCCCTTTCACCTTGTAAGCAAGTGAGTTGAATATACTGATGATTGAACAGGCCATATTCGGTCTTCGAGATGACCTCCATCTCACGGAGGGCAACAGATACTCTTTTTCCGCCGCTATCTTCTACCTGGGCTTTATTGTTGGCGCCTATCCAGCCATGACCCTGGCACAGAGGTTTCCCATTGAACGTGTCGCCTCAGTTCTGGTTGTCGTATGGGGAATTTGTCTCGTACTAACCCCAGCGTGCTTTAATTTCCAGGGGCTGTTCGCGCAGCGATTCTTTCTGGGTCTCCTGGAAAGCGGCATTAGCCCTATGTTCATGCTCATTGTCGTACGTCTACGATCCATCTTTTCCAGTATATGAAAAACCACTGAACGGTTCAGGGAGGATGGTATAAGAAAAACGAGCAAGCGCTACGCATGGGGTATGCTACCTACCTACACACTTTGCACTCCAAGCCTACTAATATTTTCCCAGTATCTGGTACTGCTGGACCGGCTACGTCTCCATCTTTTCCCCGCTCATCAACTACGGCCTGGGCCACATCCACGGCACCCTATCCCCCTGGAAGTACATGTATCTATTCGGCGGATCAGTCACCATCGTCTGGGGCGTCTTGGTGCTGTTCCTCCTCCCACCTGACCCTATCCGCGCGCGAGGCTTCGATCCCCGCCAGAGATACATCGCGGTCGCCCGACTGCGCGTCAACAACGCCGGCGTGCGTAACACGCACTACAAAAAGTCCCAAGTTATTGAGCTTCTCACGGACCTCAAATTCTGGCTCATGTTTTTCATCGCCTTTCTGAGCATGATCGCCAACGGTCCCATCTCAACCTTTACGCCCATTATCATCAATTCAATGGGCTTCGACACGCTTACCTCGCTGCTCCTGATGATGCCATCAGGACTCTACGCAGGTAGCCTGATGCTAGTAGCGCCCTACCTGGCCTACCGGTTTAAGAATGTCCGCTCGTGGCTGGTGTGCGTCTGCGTGTTGATGTCGACGGTTGCGGCGCTACTGCTGCTGTTGCTGCCGTTCTCGAAGACGGGCGGGTTGCTCTTCGCTTGCTATATTCTACCCTCTGTGGGAGGCGGATATGCTGTTCTCATGGGGTTGCAGATTGCGAACATCGCAGGGTACACAAAGCGGGCGGTCGCGTCGGCGGGGTTGTATATCGGGTACTGTCTTGGTAAGTACAAAGTCCTGTCTTGACCGTTGGGAGATTATTGACTATGGTAGGTAATTTTGTGGGGCCGCTGGTCTTCGAGGAGAAAGATGCGCCCCGCTATGTACCTGGTTTTATCGTGGTCATTGTGACATCTTTTGTGTCGGGGATGCTGGTTCTGGCTTACAGGTTTGTTTGTGATCGCGACAACAAGCGGCGGGATGCGGCGGGCACGATGGAGGCATTCGACAACGCGTACCAGGATGATTTGACGGATATCACGGTATGTCTATACCTCGCCTGGTTTTTTGCCCTGCTAATATTTGCAGAATCCCGAGTTTCGCTATATCCTGTAAATTCGTGGTCCCGGGTAGAATGTATCTCAAGGAAAGGGACATGGTTAGGGCTCTGGTTAGGGTTAGGCGGCTATACTATACAATACAACTCCTCTCATCATCATCCATTTGACTCCACTCCATAATCTGGTTACCTGGCATCTCCACGTGGATACCCAAGATCCCTTTCCCCAGATTCACAGACTATACCCCAGATTCCCCAGCGAGGGCCGAAAACCCCCACGCGCCTAACCCCCACGTATCTATACACTGTTTCAAAACACCACGAGTATATCTCCGTAGACCCTGCCGGCACTAGGCCGTCTCAGGCGCATACTAGCTTCAACTTGGAAGGAGGAACGGACAGCGGGGTCCTTCCGCGCATGGCTACCGGCACCCGGTTATCATTAGGCATTTCGTTTTACCTTTACCATTAGCCGAATGCCGAGACATTCATGGTGTGCATCTAGCCAGACGTGGGACAGTCTGATACAAGACTAATATCGAAGTATACAATTCAACAAAGACACTTGCAACCACAATCAACACCGATAATACAGCACAGCAACCATGACTATCTCAGTTCCGCTCAGTATGCACGCGTGGAGGAAGCACAAGGGAAATCCATCGCCAGTAAGATAATCTCATCAAGATAAACAATTATAGGAATTTGTTATGCTAATAACCACAGGTGTGGGAAGAAATCCCTGTTCCCGGAGTCCCCCGCAGTGGGTTCTTAGTGAAATTGCTTGCTTCTGGGGGTATGGGTTCCCCGTTGTTGAGTTATCAGTTCTAAGTCTTTATAGTATGTCATAGCGACCAGGCACTGCTTGAGGTTGAAGACCGCCCACACTTCAACGAGAAATACACTCTCGTATGTATAATCGGCCAAGGGAAATCACTTTATGCTGATTATACAGGGCCACGAAGGATGCGGGGAAATCATAGCTATCGGGGAGGATGTCAAGGACTCTCGTTTTCGTCTGGTGAGATCATCAAACTGCTCTATCTAATCTAATTCAATGTATTAAAGTAACCCAATTTACAGGGTACAAGGATCGCCTGCGTGGCCGTGCCAGGCTGCGGCGAAAAGAGCTGCTCCGAATGCTCGCGGGGTTTAGACCAGCTGTGTCCCAACGGACAGCATCATGGAATCGGACAAGACGGATTCTACGCCCCATATGTTGCGATAGACGCTCGAGGGGCCGTCCTCGTTCCTGAAGGTGATTAATTCCAGTATACCCCAATCCATCTCAGGAACCCTCTAACTAGATGACATGAAGGCGTCTCCTCTGCAGTGGCTGCAGTGGCCACCGACGCCGTAAACACAGCCTACCACGGGATCGTGCGCCGGGCGGAAGTCAAAAAGGAAGAGACTGTCTTCCTGTTTGGACTAGGCGGTCTGGGGTTCAATGCTCTGCAGGTTGTGCGGTACATTGGGGCGCGCGTCATTGTGTCGGACTTGCGGAGCGAGAAACTGGAGTTGGCGGTGCAGAAGGGTGTGCCCCGTGAAAATGTCGTTTCTGTGGGGAAAGGCATCCCTGAGTTCGTGGCAGATAATGGGTTGCAGGGGAAGATAGACACGGTCCTGGATTTTGTGGGATCGCATCAGACCTTTCATGATGCTCAGCAGATTGGTGAGTTTTCTATCCTTGATTACTTTGCACTTATTCATATACTTCTATGTGTATTTTCTATTGGGTGAAGTGGACGAACAACATCGCTAACAAGATGAAAAGTCCGACCTGGCGGAAAGATTCTCTGCGTGGGCACTCATCACCGCCAAAATGAGGTTGACATGAAGATTGGCATTCGCAAGAGACTAAGTATTATCTTTACATATGGAGGACTGCCCGAGGACCTGGTTGCGGTCCTGGACCTGATTGCTAAGGGGACGATCCAGCCGCGGGTGGAAACAAAGTCTCTGCCGGAGATGCCGACTGTGTTGAAGGATCTTTGTGCTGGGAAGATTCAGGATCGAGTGGCTTTAGTCTCTTGAATATTTTATTTTTTATTTTATTTTTTTGGAATTGATACCTATATATTCCCTGAACGATGCGTACTTGGCAAAGTAGTTCTTGGATAAATGTGCCTCCCCAGACAGCAGTATATAATTGCTTTCCTGTTGTTCAATTTCTATAGTGACCGAGACAATCGGGTATTCTTTGCTTGTCTCAATTAGGATTATACATTTGTCAAGGAGGAGATTTGCATATAGAATTGTTATTTGACCAGAAAACAAAAATACTGGACATGCACTGCCCGCCTGAGTTGTATTCATCCCAGATGTACTTGAGTATGTATATTCCTGTCCAAGAGTATTTACAGGCTTAGTGGCAATTAAGCACTATTCTCCCTGCTGTTATGCTCTCCCACTGACCCGGCAAACCCTAGTGGGAAAGCCGGACAGTTCCCCGCACTGGGGGGGTCTAGTGTATATATATTAAATCACGACTTGGAGCTTCAGATATCAATAATTAACAATTACTGGCACGTTGAAATTAATCCCAATGATCAATTGACATATACTTCTAACTGACTTAACAACATCTATTTGAACTAAGCCTTAGAAATGCCTCCACTCCCCAAATACGAATACACCGGGCCGGTGGATTGCACTATCCCCCCCGACAGGGCCCAACTCAAGGGCAAGAGTGTAATTGTGACAGGAGGTACTTCTCCCTTTCTACCGGAGACCGCAATTACTCGACTAACCACCCCAGGGGCCAATGGAATGGGCGAGTCAACTGTTCGGGCGTTCGCCGCAGAAGGGTATTTCAACTTCATCTGGAACTTCGAGACCCAATACTAACAATACAAGGGCATTCGTCACCATTGCCGACGTCAACGACGAGCGTGGCAACAACCTCGCAAAGGAGCTCCACCCGTACGGTACCCATACCCCTACACCTGGACAACACTAACCGATTCCAGGAACGCCCAATTCGTTCACTGCAACATCACTAGCTGGGAAGAACAGGTGCAGACCTTCGAAGCAGCCATTGCGAACTCCCCAAACCGCAGCTGTGACGTGGTCATTGCGAACGCGGGCATCAGCCGCGCCAGCGGAGATGACCTGTGGCCGTTGGACGGTATGTCTCTCATTCATTCCCTTGCCGCTTTTGCGACGAGCACACTGTTAACATTAACTAGATCCCAATGCCCCCCCAGTCAAGCCGGGCCTCGCTATCATTGACGTGAATATGATCGGGACGCTGTATACGTGGAAGCTAGCTGTACATTACTTTCGCAAGCAGCCGGATGTTCCCGAGCGTGATCGGTGCTTTATCATTACCGGAAGCATGGTGGCTTGGATAGACTCGCCAGTATGTCTCCTTTCCCTGAAATAGATAGCTTCATTGCTAACAAGAGTTGGAAGGCCAACTGGCAATACACGTGCACCAAATACGGCCTGCGCGGGCTGATGCGCGTTGCAAGACGCAGTTCATGGGAACAGGGTATTCGGATTAACTACGTTGCGCCGTGGTAAATGTCCTCCGCCGAGTATATGCACGAGGAAGTACTGACACCCTCCGCTAGTTATATCAAGAGTGCGATTCGGTCGCCGGAATACGAAGCAGAGCTTACCCGCAAGGGGGTGCAATTTGCGCCGCAGGAGGATGTTGCCATGTGCATGATGAGGCTTGCTACTGATCAGACTATCAATGGTAGGTAGTGCCCCTCTTGATCACGCTAAGTAGGGAATAGTGCTGACAGGACAGGTCACTCCCTGATGATCACGCCCAAGTCAGTGGCAAAAGAGGGCTTCAAAGATGCCGAGCAGGATGACCATATTGAGGAGGGATACTTGAAGCGCAATCAGGAGACGCAGTTGCGCGTTATTGAGGATCAGTGGCAGGTGGGATGGAGCAAGACACGTACGGCTGAAGGGGCCACGAAGAGTAATGGGCATAGTTGAGCTCATCATTAGCTATATCGAAGGAATTCGCTGGAGCGCAACTACATTTTATGACATCCTCTTACATGTATACACTGGCTCTCCGTATGTTACTCTATGAGAGTCACTGCACCAAAATATCGAATCAGCCTTTGGTCGGGCTTTGCATGACTAGTATCCCAGTATTTTATAACAATTTTAGTAGATAGAATTCTTGTGAATTTTGCATATTTCAAATAGAGAGAGTAATTCTTGTCCGAGTTTCACCATCACAGAAAGGTAAACTAACGAAATTGGACCATAATTTTATATACGATCGATCATGGCACCTTGATCTTGAAAGCACTTGGCTCCGGCTTGTCCAAGGCCCACTTGATCCCATCCGTAATCACATCATCCCACTTCTTCGACCCGGACAGTTTATCCCCATATCGCCGGAACCCATGTGGTAGACCCGGGAACACGCTCACATCCGTCGGAACCCTGTCCAGCCTGTCAGTATCCTGCTTTATCCATTTCATACCCAAACTCATGGATGAAAAGAAAAGAGAAGAAGAAAAAAAGAACCAAGACTCACCCATTCTCACTGAGCAGCTTCGCAAAAAGCAGCCCCTCATCGCGCAGTGGATCCAGTCCCGCAACGCCAAACACCGCCGGCGGCAACCCCCTAACCTCCTCCGGTGTCGCATACCCAGGATTCGACCTACGATCCTCCAAGTCCGGCGCTGACCCCAGCAAATTCATAAACAGTTTGATCCTCTCCACCGGCAGAATTGGTGCATCCCGACACTCCACAAAGCTCGAGACACTCGGGTCGCGCATCTGCGCCAACATCCCGTCATAACAGGTGTGATGGACCAAAGGTGGGATGATGAGGACCTGGCCTCGAATGCGAGGCCGCTGGGTCAGATTGGCGTCTTTCCCCGAATTCTGCTGGAGGGCCAACGACACGGTTAGCAGGGCCCCTGCTGAGACCCCGCCTACTACGACCTGGTTGCCGTCGCCTCCGATCTCGGAGAGGTGGTCGTGCACCCAGTGGAAGGCGTCCTCCGTGTCGGTCCATGCCACTGGCGCCGGATATTCCGGGGTGTGGCGGTAGTTGAGGTTGAAGACGACTACGGGGCGTCCTGCGGCGGCCAGGGTGGCGACTATGCGTGCGCAGGCGGCGTCTTCGGAACTCAGCGTTCCAAAGAGGAAGCCTCCGCCGTGGAGATAGATGTAGATGGGGAGGGTTTCTGATGGGGGTATGCCGGAAGGTCGGTAGCTGCGTCCTTCTAGCGGGTGGCCGTCCCGCGCGGGAACGGTGTGGTCTTTGATTGTCACCTGGGAATCAAGGCCTGGCGTTGTTAGCTGCGCTGGAAGCTGTTTGTGAGAAGGGTGCGTGTACATACCTTCTTTGATCATTGCTTCTGCTGAGGCTGCCTCGCGATGGTTGTTTGAGAAGACCTTTAATTCTTCCAGGCTCTGCTTTGGTGGTGGAGGGAGGGTCGCCTCCAATGCGACCCATTCCGCGCTGGGTCCGCTGTACTCTGTGAAGTCCATTATTGTGTTTAGTCTAAAGAGTTATGAAGTTCATATTATGGTTAAATGCGGGATATCTCATGGCTTGGGTAAAGCTGTCTTTTCTACGTCACTATAACTCACTCTAACGTGGTGAACGTCCGGACGATAGTCCAGGCTTATCTGCGGGGAAGCCTCGGCTATCATGACGCGGTATTGCCGAGTGCCGGACACTATGTACCGGGCTGGATATACCGTCTTATTATCAACGAGCAACCCTCCTTGAAATGGAACATTGGGATTGGTATATTTGCTAGAAATATAGACTGGGGTGAGTAGATATGCTTGGGCTAGGGTTAGTAACTGTGAGGTAGCTTTCACTAGGGCAAGATACCAGATAGCAGAGTAGTCAGTCATCGGAGCGTGCTCCTATCTCGGGATTAGATCGTGTTGCTGTCACTATGCTAAGCTCCCCCGCATTTCCCCAGACTCCGTAAATTGACCCACTTCCAAGATGTTGCCAGTTTCTCATCTCCCAGCAACATGGCGGACGGGTATCGGTTCCACACTTTCAAGCCACCACAGACAAGAAGGCGACGAGCGGTGATTGTCTGTGTATGGTGCCATGAGAAAAAGGTAGTTTGAGACCGTATGACACAATAACCAGGGCTAATTTTGACAGATAAAATGCGACCTGCAAGAAACAAGCGGCCAAGGCTTCGGCAAATGCACCAACTGTGCCTCTATTGGCGTTAGCTGCAGGTATGCGAGGATCTCTTGCTTTCTGTTATGACGTGAACTGAAAGTGATCCTTGCCAGTATTCGTCCCTCCAAGCGGTGCCGACGGGAGCGACCGAGAAGATTAGATGAATCCATTGCCGAAGCGCGGCCGGATCCACCTCTGGATGTCGGCGAACAGGATCAGCCTCTCACACCTCCCCTGGGGACAGAGACCAGCGATGAGACGTCTAGTCAAACCCAGCTAGCACCGATCATTCCAGAGGGGGCCTATCCTGGTTTGTTCGATCCGGCCTGTATGCCGACTTCAGTCCCAGAAAATCATTCAATCGCGACTACTGAGCGTATCGCCACTGCCGACGACGCAGCAGACAGCTATCTCGGTGAGGTTAACTACGAAGTCGTGTACGGATCTGAAATCCGCTCCGACGCAGACGGACAACGGCGTCAAGCGCCTCCGTCCCCAGAGAAGCACGATCTTCCGCCACGAGACCTGCAGCAGGCGTTCCAGGAGACGTTCTTCGAGAACTGTTTTACGTGGTGTCCTGTGTTTGACTATGACACTATCCAGAATGATTTTGCCCAATCGCCACTGGTAGCCAATGCGCTAGGCCTAGCAGCTGGCCATATCAAGCCACCAGTGATTCAGCACGCCGATCCTGCCACATACTACGACCGCATGAAGCAGCTATTCTATGGCGATAAAGAGCCAAATCTGCTTATGTGTTTGAAAGCGATTTCTTTGACGTACTGGTGGAGCCCCCGTCCGCCATCGCGTGTCCATCGCGACACCTCCTGGTGGTGGACGACCGTAGCCATTCGACACGCTCAGCATGGCGGGTTTCATCGCGAACCACGGCCTGAGCAGATGGTGCGCTCTCAAGTCGATCCTGGCTTGCGGCGCCGAATATGGTGGACTTTCTTTGTCAGTATCCCACCTTCCTCTCTGCTCAAGATGTCAGGTTTAACAAAGTGCTAGGCCCGAGAACGCCTGACAGCCCTCTGTCAATCTCGCCCCTGCGTGATTGACCCTGCAGACTGTACCATCCCGCCTCCCACTATCCACGACTTCCCAGAGCACCAGCGCGGCGTTCAAGCAGAGATCTTTCTCCGATGGATCAACCTCTGCAGCACCATCGGCGCTATCGCAAAGCATCTCCAACGCACCGGCCCCGACAACATCATCAGCACACCATTTCCCATAGGGCTCGCCCGCGAGCTACTTACCTGGGCCCACGAGACCCCCATGCATCTGCGCCTGGACTTTCTTTCATCGACCACCACCAACTTCAACCGCAACGTCCACCAGCTCCACCTCCCCTATCTCGCCACGGTGATTGTACTCCATCTCAGCCGGACCCCATCCGCCCTTCCCAGGGCCTACCCAGCCGCCATGGTCGCCGCATCATGCATCGCACGCATCCTGCGCGACTGTCTCCTGCGCGGCCACATCAGGTACCTAATGGGCATCACATGCTGGTACTGCAGTATGGCGCTCGTTGCGCTGCTGCACGCGCGCCAGATAAACCACCTCTCGCGCGCCGCAGAAGCCGATATCGAATCTGTGGTGCTCACGCTGCGCGAGTTGCGCGCGATGTGGCCGACGGCGAACGTCTTTCTCCGGGGGTTTGAGAGGCTTCGCACGATTAGCGATACAGAGGACGCGATCCCGCCGGGCGAAATGGATGATATTAGCGCTGCCCAGGGAATTGACTGGAGGGGTTATTTCCCATTTGCTTCGCCTGAGACGAGTGAGATTACGGGGTGGTTGTTGGGGAGCGGCGCGGGTGGGGAGGTGATCGGGACGGAGGAGGTGGGGGTGGAAGAGCTGTTGACGTTTGAGTTGGTGGATTTGTTTGGCATGGAGGGTCTTCTTTGAACATACCATTTACCGTAGTATATACTACTAGCTAGTGCAAAGCCGGGGTGTAGCTATTGCGTGCACCATTCCCATCCAGGATAACCCCCGCACGGCTATCCGGCAGTCGGCTGATGCATCCTAACCCTAACTTTATATATCCTCTCTATACCATCGTTATCACCATTCCCTCTACAGCTATATCCAGAAGCGCAGATAACAAAATGATCCCCTCCAGTCAATCCATACTCAGTGTTAAGCTCATCAACCCCGTCAATGCCGGCCCCTCCCGCCTCCACCGCTTCATGGCCCCGGCGGTGCCGGGCATGGAGTCCCACGCCAATTTCCCCTCATTCTCCTTTCTGTTAGAACACGCAGCGTCTGGTCGCAAATTGGTCTGGGATCTGGGCATCCGCAAAGATTACCAAAACTACTCGCCGAAAATTGCCTCGTACATTCCGACGACGGGATATGATATCCAGGTGGAGAAGAACGTGGCTGACATTCTGGCCGAGAATGGCGTGCGGGGTGAGGATGTGGAGGCGGTGATTTGGAGGTACTTTCTTTTTGATGGAATTTTGATGAACTATTGTGTTAACCAAGGTTATAATGCAGTCACTGGCACTGGGATCACATCGGCGACCCATCCACCTTCCCCTCAACCACCGACCTCGTCGTGGGGCCTGGGTTCAAAGAAGCCCTACTCCCAGGGGCCCCCGCCAACCCAGACTCCCCCATCTCAGAAAGCGATTACTCGTATGGCTCCCTACACCTCTATCCCTCTCTCCCCAAGATTCCCCAAATTAAAGCAAATAATAAAACAGAAATCGCAACCTACGAGAAATAACATTCACCGGCCCCAACACGCTCCAAATCGGCCCCTTCCGCGCCTACGACTACTTCAGCGACGGCTCCTTCTACCTCCTCGACACCCCCGGCCACGCCATCGGCCACCTCTGCGGCCTGGCCCGCACCACCCCTAGTCCCAACCCCTCTTTCATCCTCCTCGGCGGCGACGTCTGCCACAACGCCGCCATCTTCCGCCCTTCCCCGCAACGGCCCATCCCCGAAACAGTCACCATTCCGCCCTTCTCCACCCCCTCCGGCAACCGTCCAGGATACACCATCTGTCCCGGCCACGCGTGGGAATCCCTGCAGACGAGCCGCGGCCGCAAGCCGAACCAGCCGCTGTTTGACATGACCTTTGGCCACGATGTCCCGCTTGCGATGAAGACGCGCGATAGGTTGCAGGAGGTGGATGCTTTGGATGAGGTGCTGGTCATCATTGCGCATGATGCGCAGGTGCGCGACGTGGTGCCGCATTTTCCGGAGGCGTTGAATGGGTGGAGGGGGAGTGAGTGGGCTAGAGGGTTGAGGTGGGCGTTTTTGGATAATTTGGAGCCGTATTGGAGGGAGACGGGGAGTTTGTGTTCATAATCTCTTTTATACATATACTCTTGACGCGTATAACAACAGCAACTGTGTCAAAATACTGAATCGGTCTTCTGGTCAGGATTCATGTGACTGATATCCCAATATACATACGATTGTGGATAATGTTTGGATGACGGTTTGCGTAGTTAGGATTGCTTGCATACCTTCAACAGGGCTACGGTGGTTGAGTTTCTTCTTTTTCTTCCTTGATCATTTATTTATACTCCCTGTTTCTATAGAAACTCAACATTTCCTGTTGGGTCAAAGTGTCAAGTAGAGGACTGATTTGACCTTCCCTTTCTCTCTCTTTTGTTTTCCCCAAAAATCTTTTACAAACTTCACAAGTCAACTTTCAAGTCATGCACATCTTGGTCTAGCTGCAATAGCTCATCTCATACACGTCTATAAGGCCTACTTCTCAACCTCCGAGGTCTGATGAAGAGGATACAGGTCCAGCCCAGTAACAGCACCAACAAGTCTGTTGACGCTACTGAGTAACATGTTCAACACCGACTCCAGGGGACAGGAAACAGCTCGACAATCGTGCCTGAGATGGATTTTTATCTGCGAAACCTTTGACACAATCTCTATTGCGGAACAGCGTTGAAACGGCTCCAGCGAAGGCCATAGGCCCGATTTTCCTAACAACGCAAAATATTCGGCAATGCGGAACTCCCTAGTGCAGTATATGTCCAGCAAGTTGGTGTTTTTGCAGGAATAGCATTTGATCGCCATCTTGTCGTGGCTGATCCCGCAGTTCGTGCATAGAAACAGCGGCGTGAGGTAGCATTTTCTTTTGTTTCGCAGGACGCCCTCCATGGCCTGAACTTCTGAGTGCATTTTCTCTAGCAGTTGCTCGATTTCGCTCGTGAGTTTATCTATTTGTCGTTTGTCAGGTCAAACCTTGATTTTTTTTCCCCATTGGATGAATGGCTGGCTTCCAAAATGCCTATGGATAAGACTCACCTTGGACCCCATAGGGTAAGAGGTCTAACATATCTACTGTTTCCCAGGTAGCAGAGAAATCAGATGAGAGCTGTATCTGGGCCTCTACAGATACTCGGCTAAACTCGTCTGAGGACCGAAAGAAGTGCGCCGCAAGCAGGAGGTAGCCGTAGTCCTTTGCATTCGTGATAGATCGAAGATCGTTGAACCATCTGAACGTCCAGGGCGAGAGTGCCCTGACACAGTCGTACTTGTCGCAGTGGATTGCAAGCATGGCGAAGTCCTGGGCACTCATCGCGTCTCCCTGCGGAGGTCCCCTAAAATGCAGGATGCTGATGATGGTTCCCATGGCTGCCGAGTCGTCTTCGTAAAGGGATATTGTAGGGCAGCTGCAGCTTGCCATCTGCGCACCTTCCGAGAATTTCGGGCTAAATAGATTGGCGAACACTGGGGAGGCCATGCTGAGGATCTTCGATGACACCAGAAACCGCGCCGTACTCGTCGGCCCTTTAACTAGAAGAATGACATCTCCGTCGGGGTCGATTCGCTCAATATCGGGTTCCCCATTCGCTGGTTGGGTTTGGTTAGATTCTTGGTCCGACAACTCCATCTCGTTCATAATTGCGGTTTGATGAAGCTATTTTTAGCAGGTGATACGTTTGTCGTGAAGGATGAAGCTAACGTACTAGATAGCACAGATGGTACCCCGCTTACTGGAGCACGTGATCCATACAGCCTTGTCTGTGAAAATGAAGGTGTCAACGCACCTGATGGAAACATGACGCGGTTAATGAAGCCCATAAATTTTTGGTGCTGCGCAGATAGGTATGGGAGAAGGTTTAAACCAGCAGATTGAGATAGAATGATGAGTGCACGCTACAGGGACCTGCAGCTGGCTACATATAGGATCAGGAGGGTCAAACACCCATCCGCCAAGACAAATGCAGTAGAGCATGATGTGGGTATACTACACCCTTGGCTGGGTTAAGACACACGACCTGCCTGTGGTAGTGCATCTCTCGGGTGGCTGCATCTAGAAACCGCCAGCTATGATATAAGGCAAACAAGAGCCGCATATGTACAAACAATGGAAACCAGCATGCCCAATAAGATTCCCACTGAACACTTCAAGAACGTGGCGATGGAGTTCTATGGAATTTTTCTTCATTTCTATACATTATTAGAAACATTCAGTATAGAATCTCCATGCTGGCTTTGTCCTCTAGTTCGCCATCAACCATGTAGCAAGAATTGATTTGCCATAAAGAGCAGAATCTTCCATAGACAATATAAACTATCTAGAATGCCCCCTTTCCGGGATAAGTACCATTGAGCGACGCACACTCCTTCTGAAAATCCTCTGGATTAAGCAATCTAGCAGTAGCACCATTGTGATGAGCCAGACCGACCAACGTTTTTGCTGCTAGAGTCAGTAATCATTCATCCAGGCTGATTGAAAAAAGCAACAGCAACAATGATAACAATGAACATACCACCCGGTTTGTACTCCGGCCACCCAAGCCTACTCAGACCCTCATGCGGATCAGCCACAAAAGCCACCCACGCCGACATCATATACATTGAAAAGCGATGCTGGTTAACGCTGGGCGGCAGCCCAGTCACCTCCTCGGTCGTTCCAAAGAGCAAGGGCAGGTCGCTGCCGTGATAAGCCCCACTGGTCGGGTACAGGCGCTGACTGGGCCAGTCGCCAAGATAGCGCGAGTGCCAGGTCGGCACGCCGTGGGATACGCGATCGGCGGCTGCTTGGCCGGTCGAGCAAGTGAAGGCGGCTAGATTAAAGCGGTCCCAGACGGCGTCTGATCGAGAGATGTTGGCTGTGAAGGCGTTGATGCGGTAATAGCCAGATTCTCTGTCGGTCATTGTGAAAAGGTATGGCTGAAAAAACACGGTTAGCGTGGGTGCTTCGTGCGACGTGGAGGTTGAAACTCACTATGTGGATGAATTGGCCTGCTGCTGAGCGCGCAGGATAGTCATCGAACACTGTGACGCCGTCGACGGTTGGATGGAAAACGGGCTGAGGGAGTGTTGGGGAATCGGCGGGAGGGACCTTTGCGACGGCTTTCAGGATTTCTTGGAAGGGTTTGTGGCGGATACACTGGACGACTTTCTCGGTTTCTGTTTGCGCGTCACCACAATCTAGCGTTTTAGAAACGTGGAAGAAATAGCTGGCCGATAGATTGGCAGAGTTAGGCTCAAAGCTGAGTGCGGTTCCGGAGTGTGAGATGAGGCCGTTTACCAGTGGCTTCTCGGTCCATGCATACGAGTAGTAGTCGACCGAGGACCCACCAACCGACTGCCCGAAGATCGTGATACGATTGGGATCGCCGCCAAAAGCTGCAATGTTTCGATGCACCCATTCTACGGCCATCCGCTGGTCCAGAAGTCCGACGTTCTGGGGAAACCCTGGAGCGCCGGAGAATCCGAAGATATTGAGGCGGTAGCTGAGCCTTGTCAGTTGTTTTGTTGCAGGTTCTGCGATTGATATATCACTTACTTGAAGGTTACTACGACTACATCCTTCTCATCGGCCAGCGCCTGCCCATCGTAGTAGGGACTATGGGCACCACCCAGGGAGAAACCTACTCTTGTTAGCCTGTTCTGACATCGGCGGGGTAGAGACAGCGCGTACGGCCACCATGGATGAATAGAAGAACGGGCTTCCGGGCGTCGCTCGGCCTGATCCACACATTCAGATGTAGACAATCCTCGCTCTGCGGCGTGTTCAATTGTTGAGCAAATGATTTGAAGATGCGAGGGGCTTGCGGCGTAAACCCGGGGTAGTCGGGAGTGGTACCGACGATTCCGGGACAGTCTCTGTCCATTGATACCTGACGTTAAAACTGTCGCCTAGTCACCAGAGGAACAAATGGCAAACCTACGGGCTCTGTTTTAGTCAGAGATTTAACAGGGAAAATAATTGAGGTAAAAGTATAATAAAATAAAATCACATACATATTCCGCCGCGCGAATCGTGTCGTTGGCGCTATATACAACCGGCGGCGCAAATCGTAGGTCTCCGGTTGGGGACACAGCATAAGGGATCCCCAGGTACTCCGACACGCTTGGTCGTCGAGCGGCTGCGTGGCCCTCAATTAATCCACTGCTGGTTCGGACGGGCGCGCCGACTCGACCCAGCACGCTGTGTAGGCTCAGAAGCCAAGTAGTAATTCCGACCGTCAACTTCATGGTGGTGCGTTCCCGATCTTCTAGAAATTGATGGTATGGCAGGATGCTTCCATGTTGTTTGAGTTCTGAGAATTCTCAGGGTCCCACCCGTGAGCTAAGCTCGATCGATTGATGGCGTCGGTGTTGGAGCCGCACTCGGGATTTAAATCGAGCCCTTGCACCAATCGCGGTTTGTATCGGACGATCGCTTAGCCGAGACACTAACGACTTCATTCTGTGGCTGCCAATTTTCTATGATAGTCGTGGATGTTGGCTGGCATGACTTGTGAGTATCGTTGTTGGGAGGTCCTCCGTCGGACTAGGGCTTGGCCGGTCACCTGTCTTCATCCGATCCTAGCTTATGTACAGATATGGGTGCAACTGATTGAAGTACAGTCTATCGCTCAGACATGGTCCACATTGAATCAATATCTGTCGAGTTCTTGAATGAGTTGGGCCTGGTTTCGAGCTGCAGATCATGACGGTACTAGATCTCTCCTATCTTGCAGAAACGTCAACACATAGCGCTATTCGTTCCAATATTGATTCGACAGGAGAAATAACCGAGATTTATTGTTCCCTCAATGCCAGTAGCTCAACTGCCGCGCGGAGGAAACCGGTAAATCAGATGAAGGAAGCTGGTGGATCCACAACAAGTAGATTGTGTGGCACACAGTTATCAAGTTCTTTAGGTGGACCGAGGCCGAAAGAATCCCAGTGTCGTCTCACATAGACCACCGACCCAGCGGCTCGAAACATTTTCAATTACAGCCGTTATTCAATTGATGGTTCGTGCCAGAATCGCCCAGTCGAGCCCGACGTTTGTGGAGACTCGAACGTGGGTACCATTGCGGGCCGGTCTTTGCTCAATCCAATCATACAATTCTTCAGTCCGAGGATCCATTGCACCCAGGCAGGTTTAATCATTGTTCATCGTGGTTGCTTTCTTGTGCATAATTTCGACCAAACAATATCTCGAACAAAAATCACGTATACCGGTGATCATGTCGAGGAAATTGGCATGGAGCCTGACCACGTTGGTCGATGGAGCCGGAACCTTGGATCCGAGCATGGCACGCATAGTCTTGTCTCGTTTTTACCATCCCACCCCGTTAAATATTGGCCGGCACCGCCCTGTTCTGCGCAAAAACACCCATCAGTCCCTTTTCAATGGCGTACGAGATCGGATTGAGCACCCCGGAGGTGCCCAATCGCGGCTTTCCCCTTTGGGTCTGTAGCGTGGTGTTCGTTATTGTCGCGGGAATGTTTGTGATGACGCGATTGGCGGTCCGGTTTCACTATCGTGGTTTAGGAACAGACGATTGGATGATCCTGGCATCTTTAGTAGGTCCCCGGTGCAAGGTCGAGGTCGAGGCATCGGCTAATAGAAACAGATCAGTTCGATCCTCCTATCGGTGACCCAGTGTATGGCGGTACATCATGGATATGGCAAACATTCGAAGGATCTCTCCGAACATAACCGGGAGGTAGCCCTCAAGGTACGCCGCATACCTTTCTCTGTCATGTCTAGAAACTAATTCCGCAGTGGATCTTCGTCGCACAAGTCATGTACAAAGTCGTCATCACCATCAACAAAACCTCCTTCCTGTGCCTGTATCTGCGCATCTTCATCCAGCCCGTCTTCCGTTGGCTCTGCTTTGCCGGCATCATCTTCCTGAACTCCTGGGGTCTCGGCTATATTCTAGTCACCATCTTCCAATGCCAGCCCATTGCCTCTTTCTGGGACAAATCGATCACGAACCCGAACTGTGTCGACACCAAGGCGCAGTGGCTTTCGTACGCAATAATAAACATTGTTTGCGACGCCCTCATCCTCATCATGCCTTTGTACCCAATCTCCCAGCTACGGCTTCCGCGCGCAAAGAGGTTCGGACTGGCCGGCATAATCGCCCTAGGCGCATTGTACGTGTCGACTTCTCCTCAACCTCCTCATTCATCTATCCGTGCTGACCATAGAACAGCGTCTGCGTCATTAGTATCATCCGCACAACCACACTCGCCGACTCGGCCAATAACCAGACCAAGGACGCGACTAGCGGGCCCATCCCGGCTGTCATCTGGAGTGTCGTCGAAGCCAACACGGGCATCATCTGCGCGTGCCTCCCAGTCTTCAAGCAACCCCTGCAATACGTTTTCCCCAACCTCTTCAGCTCCCAGGAGTCGCCCGACCCGACAGACAAGAAAAGCGCCCGGCCCGCGCTCTCGGCTGTCGCCACAGATCCCTTCAAGCGTGGAGTGTACTCAGCTAGTGGCTGGTGGCACCATGTTTCGTCGCATGGTCTGGACGTGTTCCACGTCAGGGGGAGGGAAAACCCACCGCTGGGAATCACGCAGATTACAGACGTGCATGTCACCTACCAGGATGATACGCGGTCTGATGCATCGTGGCGACCCATGCGCGGGTATTCCAGGATGGAGAAATAGATATCCTATTTTCCCTCTTGACTTTGTACATAGAATTATTGTAATAATGACGGTCTTTGTGACAGTTGCAGTCTTTGCCGCAGGCCGGCTCCCTAGAATGGACGTAGGCATTCGCGATGCAGCGTTTAGATCGTCAAACAAATGGATCGATTCTACAGAGAGATGACAATGAAGGTATGTCAAGCAAAGGATTGGGATGAGAAGAAAACGCAGCAGAAAAAGTCTAGATTTGCTTTCAGTCAGGTGACAGACCAAATATCTCAACTTACATTCGCTGTCATTCGCTGTCATTCACTCCATTATCTACGCAATCTTCAAATATCACTCACCTCCTTCATAGTTAAAACTGTGCTATGTCAAGTGGTATTCAAATTTGAAAGATTGATTATATTTAACTTTACCTCCATCTTTTACCTCAGATGAGACTATTGGTTGAGTTGGCGTCAGAAAATGCTCCAACCTCACTGACCAAGAGCTTTATAAATCTCCATCTCAACGGCTGCCCATAGACCAAGAACCTCAGCATTCACAAAAGGCAAAATTTGGGTACAGACAATCCCTGCAACTCCCTTCTCCCGATCTGCCCACCACCACAGATTCGGCAGTCCAGCCCAGTGCCCCGTTCCACTCGACCGTCCTGTCACGCTGCCATTGGCCAGCATGAACGTGAGACCCCAGCCCTGTGGCGGGTTTCCGGGTATCGGATACAACTCTAACACTGCATTGGACAGGTCTGGTTTGCCAGTAGGCATGCCCTGGCGGCTGTAGTTGGGGAACTGTGGAATTTGGTTGGAAAACATTTCGTCGACAGTTTCCTTGCGCAGCAATTTGCTGCCTGTGGTTGGGCACGTTCCATCGTTCAGCAGAACCGCTAGAACCTCTGCAGCAAAAACTTGTCAGCTCGTGAACACCGGCTGGTAGATTCTAGAGGTATGACTCACTGCAGTATTCCTGTGGCTTAGCAAACAGGCCCGCGCCACCGCTGTTTAAAATCGGGGCGACTTCGGCTTCATTGTCCGGATCAACAACCAATGGAGCTCGAAGAGGATGGTCTCTGGCCCTCAGTGTGCCGTCTGAATTTTTGGCATTCATATATGCTAGCCGTCGACGCATGTCGAGACTCGGAATCATCGACATGTCGTGGATACCAATCGGTTTGAAAATGTGTTTCTGAAGGTAGGTGTCGAGCCTCAACCCTGTTACACGCTCAAGTGCGATCCCCGCCCAGTCAATACCAAGCTCCTTTAGTTAGCAATATATAGCGCTTCTAGATATGGGGTACTCACTCCGTATTCCCAACCTTCGCCTGGCTGGAAAAGCAAAGGTTGCGTCACATCTTCGATCCGTCCGGAAAATTCATCCACGCCGACTGGTAACGACCATTCTTTCAATCTTTCATTGAACATGGTGTATCCAAGTCCGGACGTATGGGTCAAAAGCATGCGCAGTGTAATCTCTTTTCTCTTCTCTTCAGCACCACCATCTGAACGTAAGACCTTGAGGTTTTTCAGTTCAGGACAAAGACTCTCTATCTGAGTCCCGTCGTCCAGCTTGAGGGTTCCCTGCTCCACCAACTGCATACAGGCGATTCCCACTATCATCTTTGTGCAAGATGCAATCCAGAAGACGTGGTCGAGAGTCATGGGCTCTTTGGACCCCGAGCCACGTTTACCGGCAGAGTGGGCGAACAACTCTTTCCCATCTTTACCAACGACCACGACTGTGGCCCCAGGAATACCAGTTTCTTGGTTCTCGCAGGCCTTGTCTACTATTCCGCGTAGATGCGAGGTCGCTTCTGCATCGAGGGGCATTTTGGTGGCTTGTGGAGTGTGTGGAGATTTGATAGGATATTGTGGGTTTGAGCACCTGTCGGGGGTGACAGCGGGGGTGTCCTGCAGACTGCAGACATCGGCTATTTAACCACAATCGCTGCAGACCCCATTGACAAATACTACCCTCTCATGCCTGTGATAGTGATGCGGGGATACCCTAGCTGCATAAAGGTGCGGACCGCGCTTTGCGGATCCGCTGCGGACTGCGGACCACGGGCCTTGGCCACGGGAATCGTGCATTCGGCACTGCAGCTTGAGACCCAATCGCTTGCTGCGAGTGCATGCTTCATGATGACGTGAGAACCAGGGGGTGCGGGGAAGCTCGATGGACTGTCTAGAGCGGGGTCAGATGTATGCAGTACAGGTGCCAACAATATCTCGAATATACAGAGAGGCAGTCACTGTACAACCTCGATTCATGTGGTACTTCAGGCAGTATTTGGTGGCTAGCTAAGCAGCAGGGGATGTATAGCCAATGGAGCAATATAAATAGCTGTTCGAGGAATCACAACCTGCCCACCTTCTGAGGAGCAACATCACTATAGTTCCACATTACTGAGACCCGCCTGTTACTCACGATGGGTAGTTTAGGACCAACGGACACGTTACCCAAGAAGTTCAACACTGAGCTCACCGACTACTCGACGGTCCATGCCGAGAATACAGGGCCCTATGCCGAAAACCTCGAAGTCGATGCCTTGGTAGTGGGTGCCGGTTTTGGTAAGACACTTCTCCATGACCGCT